CGGCGCGCAGCGGCTGGAAGGCCGCCGTGTTCTCTGCTGCGATGGGTGGTGTCTTCATCGGTCTGATAGAGTCGTTCCAGCACATGGTCGAGAAGTACAGCAGTCAGTCCAAGCACGAGCAGGATCAAATGATGATCGAGGCCCAGAAAAAGGCCGAGCAGAGGAAAGAGCAACAACAGAAACAACAACAGAAGCAACAACAGACACAACAGCCACAAAAGAGGAGAGCTCGCAAAGAAGAGGAGGAGGAGATGCAATAAACAGTCTTCGAATGATATATATATTACAATGACATCATTGATCGATTGATTAACAAGGAGGACTACACGTGAATTAAGATTTATTGGATGTTGATAATGTGTAGTTTGAATGAATGTTCAAGCCAAGCAAGCCAAGCAAGCTAAGCAAGCTAAGCTAACCAAGCAATGCAACACATACATGTTTAGATGTCAGAGAGAGCAGTGACACCTGGGAGCTCCTTACCCTCGAGCAACTCCAAACTGGCACCACCTCCAGTGCTGACATGGCTGACCTTGTCAACTGTGTTGTATTTGTCGGCACAGGTGGCAGTGTCACCTCCACCAATGATGGTGACAGCACCATTCTTAGTGGCACCGACAACATCATCCATGCACTCCTTGGTACCATATTGGAAGTTATCAAACTCAAACACTCCCATTGGTCTGTTAGGATCGGGGTGAGTTAGTTAGTGATCAATATGTTGTAGTTATGTGTACTACATACCCATTCCAGACGATGGTCTTGGCCTCAGCGATTGCCTTCTTGTTAAGGGCACGGGTCAATGGACCACAGTCGAGTCCCATCCATCCCTTGGGGATACCCTCATCCTCACTGACGGTCTTGAACTTGGCCTCTCTGCTGAAGCTGTCAGCAATGACGTAGTCTACTGGGAAGATGAGCTTGACACCCTTCTTGGCGGCCTTCTCAATGATTTCCTTGGCAAGCTGCTCGGCAGAGTCCTCGCACAGCGATGAGCCAATCTCCTTGTGGTCGATAAACTTCTTAAAGGTGAAGGCCATGCCTCCTCCGATGATCATGGCGTTGACCTTGTCCAACATGTTGAGGATCAGCTTGATCTTGTCGCTGACCTTGGCACCTCCGAGGATTGCCAGGAATGGGTGAGTTGGTGACTCGAGAGCCTTGGCAAAGTACTCGAGCTCCTTCTTCATCAGCATACCGGCGGCACGGGTCTCGAGCTTGACTCCGACCATTGAGCTGTGAGCACGATGTGCAGTGCCAAAGGCATCGTTGACGTAGACGTCGCCCAGCTTGGACAGCGAGGCACGGAATGTAGCGACCTTGGCTGGGTCGGCCTTGGCCTTGGCGCCAGCAGCGTCGACACCAGATCCCTCCTCCTCAATGTGGAAACGGAGGTTCTCCAACAGGATGACAGAGCCGTCGGCTGGGGCAGCACAGGCCTTCTCAACAGCCTCGCCAACACAGTCGTCGAGGAAGGTGACCTTCTTGCCGAGATGAGCCTCGAGCACTGGCACCACTGGGGCCAGAGTGTACTCCTTCTTGACCAATCCATCTGGACGGCCCAAGTGGCTCATAAGAACAACGGAGCGAGCACCATGGTCCAGACAGTACTTAATAGTTGGAATGGCAGCGTCGATTCTCTGAGTGCTTCCAATCTTACCATCCTCAATGGGTACGTTGAAGTCAACTCTTTGATTATATGTATTAGCACAAGTAACACAAACAACCAAAGATAATGTTGATCCTTACCTAATAAGCACACGCTTTCCCTTTACGTCAACCTTATCAAGGCTGAGCTTGTTTCCAATCTTGTTTGAAGACATTGTAACTATGTTGTATATATTAAAGGATATTTATAAAGATAACTGTTGTTGTTGTTGTTGTTTAATCAAGGACATTCAGAGTGAAGTTAAATACGAGAGTGAGTGGGAGTGACAGAGAGTGAATCGGATGAATGCAAGTTCACCACACTGTCCCAAATTTACTCAACAAGGTATTTGTTTGAAGTTCTGTTGTTGTTTCGTCGTCCAATAATGGTTGGTCTGGAAAGTCATCATCATGGCTCAAAGAACCAATGATCAATCAGATCGTATAAACATATATCTCCAATCCAGCAAGAACAATGTGTATGTCATTGTTATAAAATATTATTAGTATATATTCTTTGATATAATGAAATCAATGATAATAGATATATTCGTTTAAAAGATCTGTGAACATTTATATATGATTGTCAACATAATCATTGGACAACCAACACCTTGCATTTGCCAACACAGGAGGAGTCTAACATTCCATGAATGTTTAAATAAAAAATAATGAGACTGTCTAACTTATTAATAAGATAGTGAGGGAGTCTCTTCAACTCAAATACTTGTGTGATCACTTTCCACTTCATTTCTTTTTTTCACTTCACCAACTCACAAGCTCAATCAAATTACACATCCACTTTCTTCATTATCTACATTCACACACACAATATATAATATACGTATATATTTATATTACTCACTCTATACTTTTATATATATATACATACCCATACATAATATACAATGGCAGACGTTGACACAGAGGCATCATCATCATCCTCCACAACTGCCTCAAAGGGAGGAAACAAGAAGAAGTTTGAGGTCAAGCGTTGGAACGCTGTGGCTCTCTGGATTTGGGATATTGTTGTAGATAACTGTGCTATTTGTAGAAATCATATTATGGATCTTTGTATGTATTGATGAATGAATGATCATCATCTTTAAGTTATCATTATCACCAATGTGTGATTGGTATCACACTAGTAAGATCTCTTAGAGGTGACTAACATGTTTGTTCTTATGATGTTGATGTTATAGGTATCGAATGTCAAGCCAATCAGGCTTCAAACACCAGTGAAGAATGTACTGTTGCTTGGGGTATTTGTAATGTATGTGATTGATTACATGGAGTTTGAAACATGATCATGATAATGATCATCATCATATACAACATTAGATGTCAATACTGACGTATCATCCCATCCAATCAATCAATCAATCAATCATATAGCATGCTTTCCACTTCCATTGCATTTCAAAGTGGTTGAAGACAAGACAAGTCTGTCCTCTGGGTATGTACTTACATGATCCTGTCAATCTATTTGATGACACATCATTGTTGTTAACATTCTTAATTAACAATTCAATCAATCAATCAAACGATCAATCAAACACAAACAGACAACAGAGATTGGGAGTTCCAGAAATACGGAAGATAAACTCGATTGTAGTGATATTAGTTATATGTCTGTTCAACAATGTTCAAGCTCTTCCAATAAATTTATGTTCTTCAGAAGAAGAAGAAGATATGATAATAAGGTACACGAATAGAGTGGACAATCGTAATTCAGCATGATCCAAGGATTGTTGGTGTTGGTGATTCGTTGGTGCTGGATGCGTCCATGAGCCAGATTAAGTTCATAGCCATTGCACTCAATCAATCAATTCACATTGTCCTGGACATGATATATATCGATGGCAGGAGCAACCCTGACTCTGAGTTGTGGCTCCACAAATATGATTTCCAATCTCCAACACAAGTTATATTCTCTTCATTTGTGTCTTTATCTCTTTGCCTATTTAATCAATTAATCAATCATCAATCAATCAATCATTCAATCAAACAAGTATTCATTCATTCTTTCATTCACTAAATCAATCAATCAACCTTTTCTTTTGCACTCATCAATCAATCCATCCATTCCTTTCAAACAAACAATCATAGATTGATTATCGTCAGCAATTATGTCTGAAGTTGGACGAAGATGGACAACCAAGTGATTGAGTGCGGGCCATCAATCACACCCCTGGTCAGAAGCCACCAAAGGTGACAACGACACCTCTATTTTCCCCCAACACCTAAACCATGTGATAAGGTTGGAAGTCTGAGTCTTATTGTGTTTGTTTGTTTGTTTCATTCAAACAAACAGACAGACATTCAGGCAAACGACCATCATCATCCATCAATCAATCAAGAGAGTGAGTGTTAACACTAATTTAAACACACACACAGACACACAACTTTTGATTATTTGAATCAACAAACACACACTACTCCTGCATTCAAACTATTGATGCCTATTTTAAAATAAATTAAAATAAGTTATTTGAACTAGCTGACCCATTCACATCAACATCAACATTTTTTTTATTATTTAATTTCAAACATAAGCCCACCACCAAACATCAACACCTCTCCATCTCTCTCTTCCTTCCCTCACTCTCAGACTGGACCACCAAAGGTACACATTGGCAACAACCCTCATACCCCTAACCATCTCTATCTCTCCACTTCATTAATTATATATATATATATTTATATCTTATAATCAAACAAACAAACAAATATTTATATATTATATTCCACCTAAGGTATGTTTGATTGCTTGAGTGATCGTCAGTTATTTGTGTTTTGCACATCACAAAGTTGATCTTCACACTCATTCATTCAATTTTAAACATCAACTCATTCATTCAACTCATTGCATTCATTCATTCATAGTAGTATTAGCAGGATTGTACATTAAGAGAGATAATAATAATTAATAATTAATTATGTCTCATCCAGCCGAATACGACGATACTTCGTCAGACGATAGCTCTGATGAGCATACCTCACCATCAAACCAGCAACAAGAGCATGATGACACTCCCGTGCTGTTCGTGCCCGAGAGGAAGTTCCTCAAGGAGGACGAGGACTACTCCGTACCATTCCCAGTGATGCGTGAGTGTCTGGTGCTCCTCCTGCAGTCTCGCAGGATTCTCCGTGACATGATGTACTATAGATTCAAGATGGATCGTTTCCTCTCTGGTAACCTCTCTGTCTTTGAGATTCAGAACCTCTTGCACTCCCAGCGTGAGGACAATGAGAGTGATTGGATTGCTGGTATGTATACATCATCCGCCACGACATGATCATGTCCACTCATTCATTCAATCAATCAAACCAAATCCAAAACACAACAGAGATCCAAGAACTTAAGAGAAACCTTGTTAGTGAGGTCAGAAGAAACCATACTTTGGAGAGAGACCTCAACCGCCTGGACAAGAGAATCGCCTTGCTCATTAAGAACAGAGGCAACATCCAGGACGTCTTGGCTGACAAGGCCGGTCTCAAGGCCCAAAAGTCAAAGGGTGACGCCCACAAGAAGCCAGACATGCTCAACGATCCAAAGAAGCTGGAGGCCTACCAGAACCTGTTCTACCTGCTCCAGACCGAGCCCAAGTACTTGGCCGGTCTCGTCTACCTCGTGCAGCCCGAGCAGATGGAGTCCTTCCTGTCCACCGTTATCTTGACGCTGTTTGGTGATGCCTTCACCCCACGTGAGGAGTTCCTGCTGCTCTCCCTCTACCGTCTCTCGGTCCAGAAGGAGATGTCCAACATTGGAACCGTCGGTGACTTCCTCAAGGCCGACACCGTCGTGCCCAAGATGATCATTACATACAACAAGCGTAAGCAGGGTACCGACTACCTGAAGGCCGTCATCGGACCAATCTTGTCCTCGGTCATCAAGCAGGACTTGAACCTCGAGCTCAAGCCATCGGCCGTCTACGCCGCCATCATCTCTGAGCAGGAGATCAGAACCGGAGAGAAGTCCACCCTTGACAGAAACGTCAGCGACGACAAGGCACTCGAGGTGCCAGAGGTCACCAAGACCATCAAGGCACGTGTCGAGCACCTGACCGCCATCTGTGACCAGTTCCTCGAGGGTATCATCAACTCGCTCAACCGTCTGCCATACGGCATTCGTTGGATCTGCAAGCAGATTCAGCAGATCGCCGAGAAGAACTTTGCCAACTCCTCCCAGGACGAGATCCTCAAGGTCATCGGTTACTTCATCTACTACCGTTTCATCCAGGTGGCCATGGTGTCGCCGGAGGAGTACGACCTGGTCGGCCGTGAGATCCACCCACCCGCCCGTAAGAACCTGATCAACGTGTCCAAGGTGTTGCAGACCCTCTTCAACTTTGCCCAGTTTGGTGCCGCCGAGAAGCACTTTATCCCACTCAACGCCTGGATCAACTCGCACATTAACGACATCAAGCAGTACTTGGAGGAGATCACCGAGGTCGGTGAGCCTGAGGACTACCTCCAGGTCGACAAGTACATGGAGCTGACCCAGAAGACCAAGCCAGTCATCATCGTCTCGCTCCAGGAGATTTCCTCCACCCACATGCTCATCTCCAAGAACCTCGACTCGCTTGTGCCCAAGGGCGACAAGGACGACCCCATGAGAATCATCATGAAGGAGTTGGACGAGTTTGGCGCACCACCCGAGATCTCCCACGAGGACGAGCGTGAGGTCCAGCTTACACTGACCAACAAGTTCCAAAAGTCCATCGAGGAGGAGCTGGCCCCAGGCGAGAGTTTGCTCTCTGCCACCAAGGAGATGGTCATCTCTCTGCTGCGTTCGCTTCCCTCACTGCCCGAGCAGAAGGAGTCCGAGGAGAACACCCCCAACTTGCTCGAGGTGTTGAACAAGGCTCGCCAGACCGACCCATCGCTGGAGCCCGAGATCAAGAAGATCTTGGACAACCTGAAGAAGCTGGAGGAGTACAACCTCACCACGCACACAGACAACTACGCCTCGTTCCTCAAGGCTGTCGCCCTCGAGGTCGTCAACCGTGCCGAGATCCGTGAGCAGCAGAAGAAGGAGAAGCAGAGACTGACAACCAGTTTGAACAACCTGCGCAAGCATCAGAAGTACCTCAACGAGCAGATCACCCAGTACAACCAATACCTGCAAGACTGCCGTCTCAAGCATTACCAGAGCAAGAACAAGAAGAAGAAGAAGAAGACCGACGGTGCCAAGGTCGGTCCCTTCAAGTTCAGCTTCTCCGAGCTGGCCAAGAAGAAGGTCATCGTGGACTCTGAGGTGCCCCAGATGACGCGTAAGAAGATCAAGTTTGTCATCTCGTCCGACACTGTCGGAGTGTTTGACGTCAGCGCCAAGATGGCCGGTATCGACGTGCAGACCATGAGACTGGAGCTCGACGATCTCCTGGAGTTGAACTCGATCGGAACCACCACCCTCGAGCTGGACCAGATCACTCTCGACGTCAACATGACCATCCATTTGTTGAACAAGCTGTTCATGGCTTAAACGTCAGTCGTTGTCCTTGCTTACCATCCACCAACACATACACATATCCAACATTAAACAGCTCTATCCAACATAACAAACTGATGACAACCAACTACGCGCATAGAGTCAATAAACAATCACTTTGTAAACATGTAACTACCCTTGATGTTCGTCGATTAGACAACAATGACTGGCAATAGCGAGTGAGTGGGTGACTAAAGGTTGATCATGATCAACATCACTTGGTTGAATTTATGGTACATCTTTCATACTCTGGCAACCTCTTGTTGCCTCTGGTGTACTGATCATGGGTCAGCCTATGAGTTGTGTACGTGTCGAATGTACCTGCCAACGAAGCTCCAAGCCACATGAAGTAGTTTGGTTGGTACTGGTGGTCGATGAACTCGAGATGGTTGGTCAATCCCTTCAACTGACTATATATGCTATCATCGTCTGCCTCGTCCAATCTCTTCTTCACCTGCTGGATCAACTTTGCTTTGAATCCAGGTAGCATTCCTGTGCCTCCAATCAACAATAGACTGTGTGCCAAACTCTTGGTCATATCAATGTCGCACTGTTGTTTGAATGTGTGAGTATGAGTATGATTGATTGATCACGTTCCATCCACTCCAATCATACCTGAATAAGTGAGTCTAGCAATAGAGTGACGATGTTCTCTTCATCCACGCCATCACAGTCTTGTTCCACGTTGGGATCGTGGAAGAGTGCATCGCAGATGTGTGACCTTTGCTGTGAGCTGATTGAAAGGCTTGTGGTTGGCGTCAAATGGTACTCAATGTTGCTGATTGTCACTGATGTCGGGTCCAGTGCCAACACAGTCGTCTTGATCAGTATGTCCTCCAACTGTTGAGATGTAAGTGATTCAATGATCGATCTTGCTTGGGACTGTTCCAGTGGCTGTCTTGTAAGAGTGTTCGATACGACCGTTCTATTGGCCAGGTCGTCCATCAATGACTTCTTCAACTGATCGCGTATAGTCTTGCTTCCGACTCTTGCCGTCTTGTATGCTGACATCATTCCAATACCTTCATATACCTATGGTGTGATGGATGAGTTAGAGCGTGCCAGCATGATTGATTGATTGATTGATAGTTACAGGAAGTACCCTTGACTCGCTGTATCCACAGTCGATGATTACAGCGGTTGTTCGCAATAGGGGGAGGAGTGATACTGTTGGTGATAGGAGTACAATCGACTGCACTTTGAAGTGGTCGAATAGGAGTGATACAAGTAGTTGTCTGAACATTCGAGGTACAAACAAGTTCTCTACAATCACAATCTTCTTCTGTTCTGGCTTGCATAGTAGGTACCTAAGTAATGAATGAGTGAGTGAATGAATGTTTGATAGAATGTATTAATAAGTTGAGTAGTCGTCAACATACTTGAGGAACAGAGTGTTTAGGAAGTTGAGCAATGGCTCAGTAAGCTGTTGGGCGGTTGGTAGTATGATCAAGTTGTTGTTGTTGTTGTTATCGGTTGTAGTATGATCATATGATATACCTGATGATAGGTATTGTGATAGATTGAATGGATGTAGATCAGTTGGAACTATACATCTTGGTGTAGACTCGCCTGTGTATCCACACTTTGTATACGATCCACCAATATCCAATACAATCGATGCTTTCTCCATCTCTATCTCTATTTATCTATGTAGTTGATGATGAATCAGAATGATATTTCAATTCATTGTTCTCTTCAGATTATTTGAACTTGAACTTGTCAAAAATCCAGACACACACAAGACTACTTCCAAAATTGGAACTGATCAATTTATCTAGTTGTAGAAGTTGTTCAACTTATATGTATGTATTCGAATCGGTCTTTATTTCACTCTATGGTGATATGTTTATGCATATTACAATGTAGAACAGCAAGCGGTAGGTTCTACTTTTTATCGTTGGCATCGAACTAATAGAGCGAAAGAGAGCGAGAAGGAAAGAATGTTAGCGATTGAACAATGGTATGATTGATTGATTGAGAGGAGTGGACTTACCATGCTGGAGATATTCTGGCACTTGATCTGCTCGATATATTTACGAAGTTGCTCCTCGCTGACGCAGAGGTTGTAATCAAGACCGTACAGGAACCTTCTCTCCATTGTGTTCAGGTCTTTTACATTGAAGGAAAAGATGTCTGCAATGGTTTTGTTCTGGATATACAAGCTTTCGTTCCAGAACTTGAGGTTGACAATGGAGCTGTGGATAGAGTGATGGAGAGAGAACAGTAAGTTAGTCTTTGACGTCATTCGATCAATCAATCAATCTTCAACAACATAGACATACCTTGTCAACAATAAGTTAAATATTTGATGATGATTGATACCGGTTCTGGCGACGAATCGGTCAGAGGCGAGTATGATTAAGTATAGTACAAAGGAAGGGGCACGGTGCAACTCGATCAAACTGATGATCATGTTGATGATGTCACTGATGGCTGACACTAGCTCCTCGGTCTTGTTGCTCTTTAGGTAGTCCGGGTCGTGAGCCGCCAGCCAGTTGAACACCTTCTTGACAAAGATGATGCGGCTGGATGCGGAGCTCTTGTGGAAGTCGGCACGTCGGTTTAGCGCGGCGTAGATCTTGGACGTGCTTTCTCCGTTGAAGTTCCAGCTCTCCAAGGACACGGACTTTGGATGCTCCCCAGGCTTCTTGGCACCAGCCGCCGAACCACTGCTTCCGGCGGCCATGTTGGTGGTCTTCTTGACTGGGGCAGATACATGGTTGTTGAAGATGTTGTCAGAGTTGATGTCAATCACACTCTCTTTGATTGGCGCCAGTTGCTTCAAGTGGGTGGCCGTGGAAATCGGCTGGTGTTGGCTTGGAGCATTGCTGTGGTTGGCCTTGTAGAGGTGATGCCTACTTGACTCTTGATTGCTGGCATCGGAGGCCGAGGCAGAGCTGGCGGCGGAGGCGGCCGCTCCAACAGCTCCAGCGGCACTGTCCGAATATTGGTAGGGATTGTAGAGTGGATATGTTTGTTGGTATTTGATTGTCTGCAGAGGTGGCTGCGAAGTAATCGGGTTTGGTTGGTATGATGATGTTTGGTAGGTATACTGTGGCTTTATAGCAGAAGTTGTTGTGGCCGTGTTTGATGGATTATAGTATGCTTGTTGTGATTGTTGTTGTTGGGATGATTGTTGTTGCTGTTGCTGGATAATATGTTGTTGCTGGATTGCTCCAGGAGGAAATTGTTGAGCAACCTGGTGATAGTAGGATGGGTTCTGGATCTTGTTCCTCTCACAGTAGTACACATAGTTGTCATGTGGCGGGTAGATTGAATTCATTATTATTATTATTATCTTCTCCTTGTTAGGCTAATATTAATAACTTGTCATTTGACTTATAAGTATGAGTCGTAGTATTTGTTATTGTTGGTTATTGGTGGATTGACTGAAACATCGATTTAAAGAATCAGTGAATGATTGATTGATTGAATGAATGAATGAAAGATTGAGTGATACTATATAAGTCTGTTGTCTGTTGAGTCCACCAATAATTAGCCAGAAGGATGATGATTAATATATATAAATATTAATATATTCTAATACTTCTCGTACTCCTTCACAGTTCTGTCTTTGTCTCTATATTTATCTTGATAGTAAGTTATAGACTATTTAATTCTATTAAATGTTTGTTCTTGTTAGAAGAGAGTATATAGTAAGTCCACAATAGTTAGAAGGCTGGGTTGGCAGGGGGTCGATGCAGCACTCAGTCAACCATTCAGCCATTCATTCTGCGAGACTACGCGTAGATCCGCAGACTTCACTCAGTCAGTCAGTCATTCATTCCAGCCAACCAACGGCATTGCAGGTTAGTGTCTTGACACAAGCACACCACAAATATATATAAATTCATTCAGATACACACAAAGACAAATATTCCTGTCAGTCCCAATGTGTCCAAATTCAACGATGAGCTCCTGCCCCTTTAGGCAAACTCGCACTCTTACACTTCTGAACGTGTTGTCAATATAAATTGGGGGAAATTCGTCGTTGGAGAAGCCTGGGGGGTAGTGTGAGTGAGGGATAGATGGTTAATTGAGATAATAGTGGTGCTGTAGTTGAATGGAATGAATGGGGGTTTGATATCATCCAAGATCTGAAATTATAGAGTGGTAGGGGTAATAGTGTTATCACCAGCCCCCTATTCATTGTGTAATTCAAGTACAACAATAATAATATTAATAAAGATTTATTATTTATTACCATATCCGTCCATGTGTTTGACCTACACCATCGCAGCCAGGGATCTTACCACCGCTATCCACTTTTGGTAAATATTTGGAGTGCAAAGGCCGTTACCACCACTGCCATCTCTTTCTCACTCCCATCATTCTATTCAATCTAAAGACTAGTCTTGATCCTCTGAGTGGAAGGAGGGATAGTTTATACAGATTCCTCTTATGAGATGTGTGTGTATCAGGCTATCTTTGTGGACTGTAGTCTAGGATTGGGTATCGATAGTGATTTCGAAAACTGAGATTGGTTGGTTGTTCCTCATCTGAACTACGTCTTGACTCCACAGTCAATCACTCACATTAGTATACTTTGGCCTTTACTTTGGACGATGGTCTACGAGGACTGGTACTAACAGTCAGTGTACCTCTCATATATAAATGAAAAGTTTGTTTAGGTATCAATGGACATACAGATGTTTCTTCTTGATTGAGTCCGATCGGACTCACTATTAGAGGTCCTCCATGTTGCGAAACTTCATCAAATGAACTAATTTTCTTCAGTCATCTATTCTCGTGTATTTTGATCAATGCGTGTGGTGTTGAGTTCACTATTCAGCTGCAAGGTCATCGTGGGCAACTACAGATAACCTAAACATCAATTTATCACTTTGGACTCAATCGATCACTTCACTCTGACCGACAGAATCCATCAAACAATCAAACCATCACAATCACCTCATATATATACCTCACTCATTCACTCACTTATTCATCTCCTCTCTCTCTACATCACTCGATCATCATTTTGGTCGTTCAACTCTAACTTCTAATTCTATTCTGTTCTATCGCGTCACAACAACATATATAGCTGCAACAATGGTAAGTTTGTTTGTCTGATCACAGTGCAACGCAACACAGCATGCTCATCTGTTCTAACCTCTTTTCAATCACTCAATCAATCATTCAATGAACAAACATTATAACATTACACAGAGCACAGCAAAGAGCAGTAAGATGCTCCAGTTTATCAATTACAGGATGCGAGTTACCATCCAAGACGGAAGAGTCTTGGTTGGTAGATTCTTGGCATTCGACAAACACATGAACATAGTTCTATGCGATGCTGAGGAGTTCAGAAGGATCAAGCAGAAAGGAAAGGAGGACAGAGAAGAGAAGCGCGCATTGGGTCTGGTGCTCATCAGAGGTGAGACTGTCATCTCGTTGTCAGCCGAGTCGCCCCCTCCCGAAGAGGCAAAGGCCAAGGCTCCACCTCAGGTGCCAGGCGGCCCTGGAGTTGGACGCGCAGTTGGTCGTGGCATGGCTCCATCGTCAGCAGCAGGCAACGCAGGTCTCACAGGACCAGTCAGAGGCGTTGGCACAGGTGCACCGGGCGCAATGATGCCCGGTCGTGGTGGCTTCATGGGACCCCCACCAGGCGGTATGCCTCCCGGTGGAATGGGTCGTGGTGGCTTCCCACCCGGCATGGGACCACCTCCACCCGGTATGCCTCCAGGAGGCATGCCACCAGGCATGGGACCTCCAGGCGGTCGTCCAGGCTTTATGCCACCTCCTCCAGGTATGATGCCTCCAGGAATGATGCCACCCGGTGGTTTCCCTCCAGGCATGATGCCCCCTGGAATGGCGCCCCCAGGTATGGCTCCAGGTGGTATGCCACCCGGCATGGGACCTCCAGGCGGTCGTCCCGGCTTTATGCCACCTCCTCCAGGTATGATGCCTCCACCCCCAGGTATGAGAGGATTCCCCCAACAAGAGTAATCAATCAATCAACGCGAGCGACCTGTAAACAAATAAACATAGAGATAAGCAAGTATGCAACCGAATAACGAATGAGTGATCGATCGAACGAGTTAAGAGATCGGTTTGTCAATGCGTGCGCGCGAGTTTATTGGGTTGATGGATGGAAGGCGATGGTAGGGTTTGTGATGGTTGGTAGTTTGGTGTATGAGTTGGGATGGATGATGGAGAGGTAGTTAGGTAGGTAGGAGTTGGTATTGATCAATCGTCAAGACTGGATAGAGGGCGGATGACACTCCTGCCCCGCTGATGTAATCTTGCCGAGTTTAAAAGATGGTCTTGAGGGAGCCTTCGAATTTCAGAATGGAGTTGATGAATGAATCGGTCTCTTTGGCGTGGAAGCGGTTGTCGATGTGGATCATGTCCTGGTCGATGGTGAAGTCAATGTCGATTTGGTTGTTCCACTTGTTGTCACCCTTGCCCAAGACGTTGATCAGCTTGTGTTTGTAACAGATGAGCTTGACTCGCAGCTCCTCGGGGTCGAGCTGCAGCAGTGTGGCCAGCTTCTGGATGGATATCGATGAGTAGAGGGTGATGTAGCTGCGAATGGTGGTGAGCAGCGACTGCTGCTTGACCTCCTCGATGAACAGCGACAGCTGGAGTCTGGGTGGGTCAAACACCGTCTGGTTCATGCCAGAGATGTATGGCGAGACGGGGCCGACGCATCTTGGTGACGAGAAGGTGAACAGTTCCTCGTACACAGAGATCTCTCCCTTTTGCATCCTTGCCAACTTCTCTCCAAACTTCTCCTTGAGCAAATTGTTGACATTCTCATCAATCTTGCTTGGATAGAGTGCTTGGCAGATGGCCAACAATGCGTACATTTTATCGATCTTCTTGACATTCTGTTTGGATTGTGACATTTGATTGATTGAGTGAGTGAGTGATTGAGTGATTGGTGAGCGTTAATCACATGATGTTGATACATACATGGTCAGCCTGGAAGTTCTGGATTCTAGACTTGGTGGCCATTGATATCAAGATGGTGTTGAGGGCCTTGTTGGCCTCATTGTATCTCCTTGACATGAGGTAGGCAAAGGCGAGGTAATAATAAAGAGTGATGTGGCATGCTGTGACAAATGTATACATAGCCTATGATTGATTGATTGATGGAGAACAATGTTAGTCCACATCCAAGCCTCAAGCCAATTGATCCACTAGTTATACATACTCTCTTTCCCATATCAATGAGCTCCAATGTCTTCAAGGCGAGAGTGTAATCACCGAGCAAACATTGAACACGAACCAAACTGATGATGCTGTAGTAACCCAACATCTTGTAGACTGGATGTGAACAGAAGTCATCAATGGCCGACTCGGTACCTGGGGCGGGTGCATTGAAGATCTGTGACTTTCTGATCAACAGGTAGAGGTACTGGATGACCGAGGTCGTGTCCCAGATCTCCGGGTTCTCGTTGAGGAACTCGACGTCCGACTTCTTTAACTTGGCCTTGGCAAACGTGTGATACTGGTAGACGAACTCGTCGACAATGTCCCACACCCATGAGTTGGGCAGGTCAATCTCCACCTCGGATGGTGTCTGAGCGTCCAGCAGGGTGTTGAAGATCATGGCGTAGTTCTGCCACGACTCGACGCAAGTGTGGATGTTTGGCTGAGGCACACGAGCATAGTAGTAACGATAATAGATCTCCTTGTACAACAGAATGAAGAACTTGTCAGTGACTATAGTGTGTCGCCAATGGGGAGAGTGTATGTTAGTATGATTGATTGATTGAGTGAGCGAGTGATTGGAATGGTTCCAGTGAATATACAAGACATACAGTTGTTCTCATCAATCTTGTCGCCGAGGACACTGAGGAAGACGTCGACGGTGGGGAGTGCGCAGTTGGGATAGTAAATCTCACAGGAGCGGAAGAAGTTGTCGTAGGACAACAGGATGTCTTGGTGGGATTGCGAGCGGAAGTTGGTGAGGAAGGTGTTCATGTAGTTGATCACGGGTGCGTACAGAGCGGTGGCGGGTGGCAAGAAGTTGGTGAACTGCTGGTTGCCCGACGTCTGCTGCTGCTGCTGTTGCTGCTGGTACAAGTGGAGCTGCTGCTGCTGCTGTGGAGTCAATTGAATTGGGAAGGACTCGACGTTTGCGGGTGGCTTGCGATGCTTGCCACCGTGCTGCTGCTGCTGGCCGTCCTGGCCCTGCTGACCGCCCTTCTGGCCGCCAGACTTGCCGTCGCGCTGCTGCTGGCCACCCTGCTGACCGCCCTGCTGTCTGTTCTTGTTGAACTGACCGCCGCCCTGCTGCTGGTTGCCTTGCTGACCCTGATATCTTGGGTTGTTATTTCTACGCTGACCTTGACCGCCATGCTGTTGCTGACCGCCTTGTTGGCCTCCCTGTTGTTGTTGTTGTTGTCCACCAGTTGTTGGCGTTGTGCCATTTGAAGACTCCATTCTATTATATTATAAGTAAGTAAGTATATAATATATATTATATTATATTATATGTATCACTTAAGGAGTATGAAGAGAGGAAGAATGTCTCAAGTCAGTCGCCTCGCACAAGTACACCCTTCTCCCACACACCTTTCCTTTCCTTTCATTCTCTCAGCCACCTTTACACACATCAAACTTCAACAACACTCGATTGAACTCACGAATGAAATGAATGTAAAAAAATTAAAAAATGTGTGGTGTATGTGATCAATTTGAAGTTCCTTTCTCCAACCCTTCCCACACCACCATCCCTCGCCCTCATTCAACTTCACTCTGGTGTATCCTGTATCCCTTTATCACTTATAACTTGTGTATCTCATTGATTAGACAATCAATCTTAATCAATCAATCGATAAACAATCACAATGGCACAGTATCTAGGTATTAATGAAACATGTCTTCAGAAGGCAAATGGTACGCGTCACTCAATCAATCAATCAATCAATCAACTTACATCCTTATTCAATCATGATGATGTATAGAACTCGTTCAATTGGGTCAACCAATGGCAGCAATCGACAGGATGAGATCATTGTTGTTGGAGAGAAACGTTTGGAGCCCATCGTTGGAGCAGGTTATGATCTTGTATCTTAGACTCTGTGTGAACATTCAACCAGGCACACCAGAGGCAAAGGATCAGGTCGCATACATCAAGGATGGTCTTCATCAGTATCGTGGATCTCTCACCAGTCAGAAGGAGATCAACGTCACTCCATACGACAGCATCGTCAAGGATCTCTTGGCTCAGGTCGAGGTCAAGATCGAGGAGACCAAGAAGGTCATCGAGCAGGAGTCCGTCGGTCTCGATGAGGAGGCTGCCGCTGCACTCAACGAGCTCAAGCTCACCCCATACCTCCGTCTGATGGCCGAGGTCTACCACATCCTCATCGACATCCTCAAGCACAACAAGCTCGAGTCGCTCTATCAGAGATACGCACTGCAGGCTATCAACTTCTGCGTCAAGTACGAGCGCAAGAAGGACTTCTACCGTCTGGGCGACATTCTTCGCAACCACGTCGAGAACCTCATGAAGGGACAGTCGCAGTACATCACCACCGACAGCATCTACATCCACATCGACGTGCGTTTCGCTCAGCTCAACGCCGCACTCCAGATGAGCCTGTGGCAGGAGGCCTTCCGCTCGATCGAGGACATCAACACTCTGTTTGGTCTGCTCAGCAAGCCCAAGCCCAACGTGCTGGCTGCCTACTACCAGAAGCTGGCCCAGATCTACTGGATCGCTGGCTCGCATCTGCTGCACGCCTACGCACTCTTCAAGCATCTCTACTACAACAAGAGCTTCAACACCAACTTCTCCAACGAGGACGCCATGATGCACTCGTCGGTCTTGTTGGTGGCTGCCCTGTCGGCACCAATCCAGGAGCCATCGACCTCGGCCCAGCTCCTCCAGTTCGACCCAATGTCGCAGCGCAACATCAACCTGGCATCGTTGCTCGGTCTGTCTGCCTACCCCAAGCGCGACAACCTCCTCCAAGAGGTGAAGCGTGTCGCCAGCTCTGTGTACCCAGAGCTCGCTGATCTCATGGCTCTGTTTGAGCGTCGCACCTCGCCCCTCACTTTCTCCAAGCAATTGACATCAGTCGTCCAGTTCATCGAGCAGAACCCACAGCTCAAGCAGTACAGCGACGCATTCCAGCGCATCATCTTCACCAAGATCGCCATCCAGGTCGGCAAGGTCTACGACGTGATCAAGATCTCTGAGTTTGTCAAGCTCGTGCCATTCTTTGACCGCAACGAGATCGAGCTGTTGTTGCTCAACGCCATCAAGAGCAAGCTGATTGGCGCCAGGATCGACCACCGCAACGGTGCCATCCACTTTGGCCACTACGACTTTGACTCAGCCAACATTGGCGACCAGCTCTCAGGCCTCGCTCTGGGCATGCGCAAGGCACTCAGAATGATCGACGAGGAGCGCAAGTCAGACGCCTCCACCAAGGCCAAGCGCGAGATCTACGTCAAGGTTATCAACAACCTCGGCGACGAGCACCGCCGTATCCTCGCCCGTAAGGAGATCATCGAGAAGAAGAAGATCTACATGGAGCAGCAGGAGCGTCTGCGTCGCCAGCAGGAGGAGGAGCAGCTCGCCGCTGCTTCTGCCGCCAAGGTCGAGAGAGAGCAGGCCCTGATCAAGGAGAACATGGGTCGCATTGAGAAGGAGAACAAGGAGTCCAACCACTCCAAGATGGTCAACCAGACCATCAACGCCTTGGACAAGGCCAAGGTCGAGATGGCCGCCAAGGTTGCCAAGCTCACCAAGCAGATCTCCTACCTCGAGAGAGCCTACCGTCACGAGGAGGTGCCCATCATCAAGAGCCAGCTCGACACCAAGCACACAGAGGACCGTCAGCACTTTGCCAAGCAACAACAGGAGTTCCTCAGGAGCCACAGAGAGCAACACGATCGCTCTGTCAAGGAGAAGCAGCGTATGAGCAGAATGCTCGACGACATTGTCTCGTACACCGCCACCATCCTCGACAAGAGAAGACAGCAGCTGCCCGCCCAGCAGGCCGAGCAAGAGAAGAGGTTCCAGAAGTTCCTCGAGGAGCAGGCCAAGGAGCAGGAGGAGAAGCGCGAGCGCAAGAAGGAGCAGAAGCGCATTGCCGAGGAGAAGAGAGCCAAGGAGGAGGAGGAGCGCAAGCGTCTGGCACTCGAGCAACAAGAGAAGGAGCGCAAGGAGCAGGAGGCCCGCGCCAACGAGTCCTGGTCCGCCAAGAGAGAGAGAGAGAGAAGAGAGAAGGAGGAGAGAGAGTCCCTGACCCGTGGAACCGAATCAGACAGCTGGAGAAACGACTCTGCCCCTGCCAAGAAGGACGAGGGTGGTTGGAGAGAGTCCCCAAGCAGAGACGCTGGCGGCTGGGGTGATGCCCCAAGAAGAGGAGGCGACAGAGATAGAGACTTTGGCGACCAGCCCCCAAGAAGAGAATTTAACGATGCACCAAGAAGAGGTGGAGATGACGGAGGCTGGGGCGACAAGCCAAGAGGAGGCTTCGGCGATGCACCACGCAGAGGAGGCGACGATGGAGGCTGGGGCGACAAGCCAAGAGGAGGTTTTGGCGATGCACCACGCAGAGACTTTGGCGACGCACCAAGAAGAGACAGAGACTTTGGCGGTGATGCACCAAGACGTGGAGGTGATGATGGAGGCTGGGGCGACAAGCCAAGAGGAGGCTTTGGTGATGCACCACGCAGAGACTTTGGCGGTGATGCACCAAGAAGAGACTTTGGCGATGCTCCAAGAAGAGACTTTGGTGACGCTCCAAGAAGAGACTTTGGCGACGCCCCAAGACGTGGAGGTGATGATGGTGGCTGGGGAGACAAGCCAAGAGGAGGTGGCTTTGGTGATGCACCAAGAAGAGACTTTGGCGACGCCCCAAGAAGAGACTTTGGAGGTGAGCCCAGAAGAGGCGGAGACTTTGGCGGCGATGCTCCAAGAAGAGATTTTGGTGGTGAGCCAAGACGTGGCGGAGACTTTGGCGGTGATGCCCCAAGAAGAGACTTTGGCGGTGAGCCCAGAAGAGGCGGAGACTTTGGTGGTGACAGACCAAGAAGAGACTTTGGCGACGCCCCAAGACGTGGAGGTGAGGAAGGTGGCAACTGGAGAAACAACGACGCACCAAGAGGAGGAGATGCTCAAAGAAGTTCACCAAATGAACCACCCAAGAAGGAGAAGAACGCTCCAGATGCTGATGGATGGACCACTGTTGGCAACAAGAGAAAGTGATCTATTCCTAGCATCACTCGTATCAATAAAAACACAACCAAGGTTGTGAGTTATAGTTAACCTATCTACCTCTCTGACATTGAGTCACCCTGAATGACACTCCAGATCCAGGGTGGATCAGAGAATGTTGAGTTGATTCCGGTCCCACACAACTCACTCTCACAGACGACTTGTAGTTTGGGGCCAAGTTTGATTGACCGAAGCTTAGCTATTTAACAATCAAAGAGCTCAGGCCCTGCCTTGAGTGGGAAACCGAAGGCCAGAGTGTACCCAAGGGTATTAATAACAATCCTTTATATCTTAATATTTATTCATAAAAGAGAGAAAACAATAACATCTAATATGGATATAATAAGGTCAGAGAATTGTATCAAGTATCTTAGGACTGTAAGTACATCCGATCAATCAACAATGAGCCTACCAATACCTAATACTTTTAAAAAATAGATCCAACTTTATAGACTAGAGAACAACCTGTCTACTGAACAACATAATGAATTGATGACCAGTATCCAGTCAAATCCATACTTCCGTGATGTACTATCCAGTTGTATTAATAACATAGATGCTATGGTAATGATACTTAGTACCTATCCAAACTCTCAAGTTCATCTGGTTGAATACCTTTGGAATCAAATCAATATGATGAGGCTTAAATACCCAGATATGGAGGTAAGTAAGAACTTTGTTACACATAACAATTAATCAAACAAGTATACATACTTACTTAGATACAATGTAGAAGAAGTTCCAACCTAATGTGATAGAGACCAAGGATGAGTTGTATGAGAGGAAGTTGATGAAGCTAAAGGAGACGCCAAAGAATGTTTCAACCACATCCAGGACTAAGAGGGCTATGCCTTTAAACCCGGCCCAACCACAGGACAAATTGATAAACCACCAACAGGAGATGATTGAGTACCAGCAAGAATCATCATTGCCTTCTCCCATGACAACTCCTTCCGAACCTTGTTCTCCAAGAAATGAAGCGGATGAGGAGGAGGTGAAGACATTGGTAGTCTCCAATGATGTCAATACCATGGACACCTGTCAATATCCAGACTTGATGATGTCTACTGATGAGGTGCTCCAAACTTATGGCTATCCAGTTTTCTATGCAGTGGATGGAATGCCCAACTATCCCTTGGTCTACCTTGATATCCAGACCCATGAGACCATAGTTGTCTACCCACCTCCACCTTCCAATTCGAGCTGGTACTAGAAGAACAGATGCATGTGGATTGGGTCATAATAAATAGCGGGTTGATTGAAGGCCGCGCTGCTGTACAGGTTTATTTAGAACCATTTGCCTTCGTTGATCAGGATGATACGGGATGTGGAGTAGGCCATGCCTAGGAAGAATGTGAAGCAGATCATAAAGTGGAAGCCACGTGGATGTCGCTCTCTGTACAAGATGTCCAATTTGTGCACTCTAGACTCGATGTAGAATGACAACAAGTCTGTGACCCATTCCAATGCGAACTGGATGGCCATACCAGCCAAGATACGCGAGTAATTCAAGTTGTCAGGGTCAAACACATGGAAGTAAGCCAAGTATACTGCTGTCGCCGTGATGATGGCTATATTGATTGATTGATTGGAGTTGATGTTAGTGATTTATTGGGCGATGGAATGATCCCAGAGTGACTGGTGAGTGATTGTTTACATACATGAGTTCTCGTACATCTGCTCATGACGCAGGAAGTCGCGGTAAATCCTTTCAAAGTTGTTGGTGTGGCGTAGTTCAACATTGAAGCAATAGCCGCAGATGGCATTGATGATCTTTTTGTCACGTGGACGCAAGGTAGTTCTCCAAATGAGTTCCAGGAGTGAGACAATGGCCATTGTACCAGTCATGTAACCAAGGTCCATGTTGCTGTTGAAGAATCGTCCGTAGTAAGTCGAGAACCACATGAATATCAGCACGGGGAAGACGTTGGTGCCGCGGTGGTAGGGACGGATACGTGAGGAGCATGCACGTGAGATGAACAGGGCGATGGCGCAGATGGCTGGGTGCACAACGACTCTGATCACGGCCTTCTTGATCTGGTCATCAGTAGTGATGTAGAACTGAACCAGGAAGAAGTCGTAAAAGACGAGGGCGACGGCGGCCAGCACAAACTGACCCATGAACAGATGACGGAAGTTGCGCGACTTGAGCTTCTTGCCAACGTAGGTGGCGCTGGCCAGCAGGGCAATGACAAAGAAGCCGTACGATGGCAACAGTGACAACTTATGATTGAGAACAGGTCTGAAGATGTTGTAGGTGGCCCACGCCGACGCGCCCATCGACGACGCTATTCCAATTGGCAAGCAGACCAATGTCATGCGGAATCCATACGACAGGGATAACAATATGTAGGGATACATGCATAGACAGGTCTGGCGGTATGGGTAGAGTGAGTGAGTGAGTGTGTCGCGATGATGGATGGAAATGGCGACCGAGAGTACTTACATTTAATACAATGCGACTGATGGAGTAGGTGATCTTGCCCCATAGTGGCCAGGTGTCCTCGCTGACGTCGACGAAACGACAACCGAGGAAGATTTCAAACATTCCGTAACCGACGGATACGGTCGAGACTAATAATACAAGGATGAGCAGACGGCCAAAGTAGTAGAGCACCTCGCTGAAGAATGCTCTGTTGCTAAAGGGTGGTGCTGGGGGATATTTCTTGATCTCGGCCTCGTCAATCACTTCCTCCTCCTCTTCGCCGTTGAACTCGTCGGCGCCGTCCTGCGTGGCCGCCTCCTCGTCGTCATATTCGCCATCCTGTGTAAAGTCCTTCATCTCGATCTCCTTTGGCACTTGAGGCTCGACCGTTGGCAACATGATGATGGTTCCGGTGTAGTCTCGGAAGTCAGATGCCGCCGCCGATGACAGTGGCAGCTCTCCATCCTCGGCGGATGGCAGGGGTGTTGGAACAAACACCACCGTGTTGTTGCCATAGCCAACGTTGCTGTCAATGTTGGGAACGCTTACAATACTCAGCTCTGGTGTTGGGACTTGTGGTACCGCGACAGCAGGTACTTCGCCAGCTGTTTCCGTCGACGCTAGAGTTTGAGGTTGAGTTTGAGGCTGAGTGTGAGGTTGAGTTTGGGGCTGTTGTAGTGGCTGAGGTTCAGGTTGAGTTGTGCGTGGTTGTTGAGATGCTGGAGCTTGAGCTTTGGGTGGGGCCTGGTCTGGCTCAGAGAATGTGACGCGTGGCTTCATACGCGGACTGGTCTTGCCAGTGCGAGGACTTTGTTTTGCTCCTCCTCGTGGACTTCCCTGCTGATGCTTGTCCTGATGACCGGAGGGGACTGTGAGATTGAGTGATGGCACCAGTGGTGATGTTGAGCTGTCCAATGGTGTCGCGCCCGCCACAGAGTCGCCACGTGTCTTATGTAAAATTGAAGTCCTTCTACCCTTTGGACTACTCTTTTGCTCCTTATTCTTTCCATTATTGTTATTATTATTATTATTATTATTATTATTATCCGATGGTGTTACAGTGATCGAAGTTGATACGCTGGTATTTGTGGATGTGGTTGATGATGTGGATGTGGTTGGATGGAATTGGAAGTTTGGAACAGTTCCAGATGGATGTGGTTCTGCAATTGTACGTGATCTATTCTGTCTAGTTTGTTTCTTACTTGGTTTATTATTATTATTATTATTATCTGTTTGATTATTATTGTTATTATTGAGATAGTCTAATTGTACAGGTGTTGGTGGTGTAACTTCGGTCATTGACCTTGTTGATCGAGGCTGTGAATGTGGTTCGCTGCTGTTTGACTCGGACAAGTCACCATCTTCATTGACTTGTCCATCTTGTTCATTCTGCGAGTCTGACCTGAGCCTCGATGTCAGGAGATCAAGAATAGAAAACAATGATGTCATTCTATTTTATAAAGTATATATAAGTATATAATATAATATATAATTATTATATAATTGTATCTGTTGCAACAAGGTATGCTGTTTTTGTTGTTGGTAGGTGTCAACAACGAGAAAATAAGTAAGATGTATGAATGAATGAATGATGAGTGAGGAGGCGGGATGGGATGGATCAAAGAGTTGCAAGTATGTTCTCAGATCATAACTCAGCTCACAAGTATGTGATAACATGAACTGTTGCACAACCATTGCGTTGGATTCACACCACCTCCACCTCAAACATCATCAACATCCACAACAGCAACAACAGCAACAACAATAACATTCCATTAATTATCAAAGTGATGAGCAATGGATCAATCGATCATCGACATATGAAAAAAAATCAGAAGGCCAATGGGCTCGCAAGTCCAAGGAAAGAAGCCGGGCCTTCACACTGGTTTTGGGCCTATTTTTTTAAAGTGATCCAAGCGTCAAACTTCAAGCCAAGAAGATATTTAAAGCCGCACGCGGGCTTCTCTGCCTTCATTCACACACGCCTCCCAGATTTTGATGTTGTTCAAATCACACCCAACTCTGTATATCTCACATACTTGCATGAGATGTATCGTAATAATTAACTATGGCCAGATGGACTAAACGGTGTGGAATGGGTATGGTAGTTTGTGGTGTGGACTGTTTAGAAAAGCCCGCCTCGTCTTCCTGGGTAGGGCAACCATTCTTATTCATCCCATGATCTCAACAGCCACACTCCACATGATCATACTGATTAATTATTTAAATGACACGACTCGCACATCCAGCCATCCACACACATCTGATCTTCGATTGGTTAATGGGTATTTCCAGCATCTCTGATGTAGTGTAGAATAGTCCGCCCATAACACATTGTTTACACTAAAAGTCAAAGGATGATTGGCTGGACTTGTTGAAGCCGGTCCTTCTTGAACACGCCCATTCCATGTCTTGGGGCCATCAAACATACAAGTTCGAAMCCCCCTCAACTGTTTGGACCTATTCAACCACTCGATGCAAACAGTCGTCTGATTGGATGAATGGATGGATGTTCAACACCCCATCGCTAAATCGTTTAAACGATCATTGCTGTAGTGCTGCTAACATTGGAAGTTAAGTCATGTGTTCATCACAATCCATCGGACTGAACAGGACTGGACGAGACTGGAATGGACGGGTTGTTTGGATTTGGGAGTTATTATTATTATTACAAGTTGTTTTGGGTTAAGCTACACACTGGTAGGTGTTGTGCTGTTGCCATTGGTATTGGTATTGCTGGCACCAACTGTGCTGGCGCCATTGTTCCTCATGAAGGACAACTCGGCAGAGAGGTCGCCATACTCCTCCTCGAGAAGACGTTGTTGTCGGTTGAACTTGCTCTCGATTGATTGTAGTTTCTCTTTGTGGTCGTCCAACAGCTCCTGCTTGAGTTCGCTCTGCTCGATGGCCATCTCCTTCTCCAGACGACGCAGGTCCTTCTTCAGGCGTCGGTCGGCCTCGGCCTTCTCCATCTCCAGCGCGTCGGCTCTCTCCTTGAGTTGGCGCTCGTGCTCCGCCAGCTCGTCGGCCAGTATCTTTGCCTGCTTTTCGTACATGATCGCTTCGCTCTCCTCGGCGATCTGGCGTTGCTGCAACAACTCAATCTCCTTCCTCATCTCCTCGACCGATTGCTTCTTGTCGGCGTGCTCATTCTTCTCCTGCTCGCCGGCCGACATGGCCTTCTTGACGTCCTCCTCCAGTTTCTTCCTCTTGATCTCTGTGGCCTCCTTCTCGAGCACGATCTCTTCCAGCTTGGCCGTCGTGTCCTTGAGCTGTCGCTCCTCTTCGGCCTTCTTTTCGTCAAGTTGGGCAAGCTCCTCGGAGCGCTCGCGCAACTTCTGTGCGGCCAGGTAGGCCTTGGTGTTGAGCTGCATGTTCTGTTCCTCCAGCAGCTTCTTCTTCTCGCGCATCTCCACCTGGTACTCTGAGACCTTTTGCAGGATCTTGATGTCCATGTTGGTCTCAGCTTCAAGTCGTGTGGCGTTGACTTCAATGATCTTCTTGTCAATGTCTGACGACTTGGACTTGCGCTGCTGTCTTGCCTCCTCGAGCTCCTCGGTTTGCTTCTTGGCCTTGCTCAGCTTCTTGGCCAGCGCCTCCTGGTCCTTCTCCAGCGCGGTCTTCTTCTCCTCGAGCTGGGACCTCTTTGTCTGCTCGCCCGAGATGGCGCTCTGCAGACCCTTGGCATCCTGCTCCAGCTTGGACTTGAACTTCTCCCTGCTGGCGCGACCCTTGTTCTCGAGATCCAAGAACTGGCGCGCCCTGTTGAGTTCGTCCTCCAGACTTCTGTTGGCCTTCATCGCCTGCTTTCGCTCCTTCTTTTCGGACATCCACTGATCGCTGAGTTCGCCATCCTTTGCCACGAGCTGGATCTTCTCGTTTTCCAACGAGGCGCGTGTGTCGCGCTCCTTGACAATCGACTCGGTGGCCTCCTGTTTCTTCTTGGCCATCTGCTGCTTGGACTCCTCGATCTTTTTGAGCACGTTCTCGTGCTTCTTGGCCAGGCGGTCACGGGTGCTCGAGAACTTCTCGTCATGGTAGATCAGCAGCTTCTCCATGCGGTCGCGCTCGTCTTCAATCTCGTTGGTGGTCTCCTCAATCTTCCTCTCCAGGTCCTTGTTCAGGAACTTGGCATCGCGCACACGCACCAGCTCCACGTCAAGGATCTGATTCTTGTCCTCGTACTCATTCTGAGCGATACGCTTCTCCTTCTCGGCCTGGATCTTGGCCATGTGCTCAGCCTCGCGCTCGGCCCGCAGCTTGTTCTTCTCGGCCTCGATCTCCTTCTTGGACTTGTCGCGCAGATTGTAGGTTTGGGTCTCCTCGTCCAGCGTCATGATGGCCTTCTTCAGGGAGAAGGTGAGCTTCTCCTTGGTCTTTTGTATCTCTGCCTTCTCCTTGAGCTCCAGGTCAATCGAGCGGCCAATGTCGCTCACGGTGAACTTGAGCTTCTTCTCGCTGGCGATCAGGTCGCCCTTGGTCAGCAGCTCGTTCCTCAGCTCACGCTCCATCTCCTCGGTCTTGGCGTGCGAGTTGTTGAGCTCCTCTCGGAGCTTCTTGACCTCCTCCTTGTGCTTGGCCTTGGCCAGCTCCTTCTCCTCCTCGATCTTCTTCATTGAGTCCTGTAGCGCCAGCTTGGCCTTCTCCTCATCGAGCAGTCTTTGCTTCAGCTGTGCAGTCTCCTCCTCAATCTCGCGTCTCTTTCGCAACAGGTCATCCTTGGCCTTCTTCTGTGCTTCCAACTTTTGTTTCAACTCCTCTTGTTCCTTTGTATTGGCCTTCAATGCCTCGATCTTCTTTTGCAACTCGCTGATGTGATTATCAAACTGTTCCTTCTCTCGTTCAATCTTATTCTTGATATCCTGTTCTCTCTTTTCAATCTCCTCTCTGAATCTCCTCTGTTTGTGTGTCGGTAACATGTTAGTGAATGATCAATGTGTGATTGGAATGATTCCAGTCATTATTTGATTGATTGAGTGATTGAATGAGTTGTGGGATTGTTCCAATGATTGATTGATTGATCAAGTGATTGGAATTGTTCCAATGATTGAATCATTGGAATGAGTGAATGATTGATCATGCACCACCAGTGCACTGGACCGACTGACTTACCGATGATGATTCGTTCTCAATGAGCTCCTGCTCAATGTTGAGCATGATCTTCTCGAGGTTGTTTAGGATCTCCTTGGATTGTGCACTCTCATTCCTGCGCTTCTCCACGACCTTCTGGCTCTCGTTCCACATCTTCATCTTGCTGTTCAATGCCTCGATCTCTTTGTCCATCGTCTGTAGACTCCACCCCGCGGCAGAGCTGTCCTCTGATGTCGTGTCGACATTGTTGATGTTCTCCAAAAGTGACTTGAGCTGTGCGTCCAGCTGATCATCGCCCAGCTTCTTCTTTTGAAAGTGGAAGATGCAGGAGATGTATGTCTCGACGGTGATCTTCTCGGGCACGACGTCGCCAACAAAGTCCTCGGGCTCGAGCAGACGTCCAACGATGCCCTTGTCCTCGATGAAGTTGAACACAGACTTGAGACGCTCGTATTGTTCTTTGGCCAACATCTGATCGAGATTGAATTCATCTGGGAACACTGCATGTGTGATTGCCACGAATGCTGAGCCATCCTTCCAACTAACTGAGAAGTCATCTATCTGTACCACCTTATTGCCATACTGCTTAACAGTGTCCTGGCACCATTTTAATAAGTTCTCTTTACTCTTGGCAACCATATTCTTCCAATTCTTATTATTCTGTTTGATTGATTATATATTTGTTTGATTGAAATGTACAATATAGTGATTGATCAAAGATGTGTTGTTCCTCTAATGTAATACCCTGTTGGCTAAACAAGATAATATAAAGTAAGAAGTACTATGTCAATAACAAATCAATCAATCAATGTCCAATCATTCAATCATTATTATTCCTCGTTCTGCAGGGAGTGATGTGTGTCTGTCGAGTTCCAAGCCCGCTCCACCCATGCTCCACCTCATCCTCATCATCCATCATCATCATCATCCCTAGGGTAGTGATCAGGTGATTCATTCATACATACATACTGTGTTTGTTGTACCTCTCTCAAGTGTTACAATAACAAAGTATTGATGAGACTGATGATGATGAATTATATATGTTATATGTTATAATATGTTATTATATGTTGTTGGTCTATGTACATGTACATGATAATAATAATGTTTGATTGATGTTAATGATGAAGCAATAAACAACAAGAAGGTGTTGGAGGTGCATCGCTTCCATTACCCCCCAAAAACACCCCCTTCATCTCGAGATCTCCAATTCTGTTCCCTGTATGTATCTCAGTCGACACATCTGTGTGTGCGTGTGTGTCTGTGTATGTCATATATCTGATTGATTGATTGATTTAATGATCATAGTTGTGGACAATACTTGTGTAGTAAGTAAGTAAGTAAGTAGTAGTAGTAGTAGGGGGGCTATTTATTTATATATAAATGATAGAGTTGGTCCACACATTACAATATTTGAATGAATGAATGAATGAATGAAGTGATAAGATGAATAGAGTTTGTTGGGTTGGGTTGGTAGGATGGTTGATTGGTTTGAATGATTGATGGCTTATAACTTGGAGGCCAGGTATGCTTTACAGAATTGGATAAGGTCCGATGGAGTCATTGGAGGTGGATTGATTATTTTGTAGAGGTATGACAGGTAGAGGATCAGTGTTGTCAATCTAAGGAATCCGAACCTCTTCTTGTTGCCAAAGCTGTGAATGTATTTGGTGACAGAGACCGCTGTGTGTGTACATTGAGTTGAGTTGATTGAGTTGATTGATTGAGGCGCATGTTAGTAACCCACACATAAACCATGTGACCCTTGGGTCTAGAATTGCGCAATGCATAACCTAATTAAGTAAATACATACCTGTTGTCAAWTGTTTTATCCTTYCTTGTTCATGAAGGAGAGAACGCTAATGATTGTAATGATTAGTAGTGAACCAATCTCACGGATGTCTCCACGGTAGATGGCATAGACCAGGTCGAAGAAGACAGAGGTGATCATGCGGAAGCGATGGAGCTCACGCAGTATGACGGGGATGGGCGTGTGCGTGAGGATCATGATGAGCACGTTCATCATGGACTTGATCTGATCGAGGTTGATGTTGGCGGCCATCGCAATGATTGAGCCCCAGTTCAGGGGGAAGCCCTCCTTGGTCTCGCGACTGCGACGCGCGGGTGCGGCACCACCCATGGCGCCAGCCTGTGGCGAGCTCGATTGATACGAGGCGGCCTTGTTGCCAGAGACGGCGTTGGTGGGTGCGCCCTGCTTGGTCTTGTTGGCGGCGCGCAATGGTGTGAAGCGAGCGGCAGCGCCAACTGGACGCAAGTAAGAGTCGAGCGCGGCAATCTGCATCTCGTTGCCGTCGAGCTGGGCGGCAGCGTCGCCACAGATCTTTGTAGACATATCGCGCAGCATGGTGAACTGCTGCTGATCGATGTATGGCTGGAAGAGGTCGATGGCGTCCTTTGCAGTGCCATTATCAATTCTCTCGATGCAGTCCTTGAACACGTCGACCAATGTCTTGATGAATGTATCAACTATCTTTTGTGGATCAATCTGTGACTTGTCATCTGATGTCTTATTATTGTCTTGTTGTTCATTCTGTAGTTGTTGTTGTTGTTGAATGTAAACATCGATACCTATATCATCAACATCCACCAGACTACTACTTAAATATTTAATCTCGTTATCCATCTCTATCTATATATCTATATATCTATCTATCTTTATGTATATTTAAATGAATGTTGCTAAATAAAACGAGACACTCAATCAATCTTCCACCCAACTGCCATTTTTCACCATTTTCACAAAAAAATGAAACTCCTTGAATTCAGGACTTCAAGCCAAGACCAGAATGGAAATAAGAAAATATTCTATTTTATTATTAATATTAATATTATTATTTTATTTTTTATATTTACAGATTCAAGGAAAGCAAGTTCACTTCTTATTAAATTAAGTTTGAAAGAAAGGTGCCCCCTAATGAGTACTTGGTCAACCATCAATATTCATCTTAATTGCTATTCACATGCATCTGGAGTTACCGCCACTTTTTTAGTTCCCTCTAATTAATAATAATAATAATTAATTATTGTGTAATCAATTAATGATTAATCAATCACATTATACTTGATCATCGTCCAACTGTATACCATTCACCTCTCATCCCATCTTATCTCTATCACTATCTATCTCTATAATTGATTGCTTAATTGATTGATTGATTCATTAATATATTATTATTGATTGAGTAATACTTGAACAAATACATAGACATGTCTGTTGATATTAAATCATCCGTCTCACTTTCTATTAAGACTGATTTGAATGTTAGTGTGAGTATACTAATAATAATAATAATAATAACTTTGATTGAGATATATGATCACCTAACTAACATATACTATATCAATTAATAATAAAGTTTAATAAAAGGAGAAGTCCTTTAATACCAAAGAAAGACTTGTTCTGTCACAAATGTCATGTGAAGGATACACCAGAGTGGAGAAGAGGTCCAGATGGTCCTGCTACGTAAGTACTCAATCAACCATAGTAGAGCATTATTAGAACTAACCTAACTCTATACTTAGATTGTGTAATGCCTGTGGTCTAAACTATGCCAAGACTATGAAGACAAGTGGAGTTACATCACCATATGGAGAATCATCTGTCCCTTCCAAACGATCAAGAAGGACAAAGGAGTGTGATGGACAAGGAGGGAAGCCCACAAGAAGACAATCGAGGACCTCAATTACCCCTTTGGCGACATCCTCGACATCCACCACTTCCACAACCTCCACAACTTCTACATCCGAATCGCCACTATCAAGTCCACAAACACAGAGTATTGAACCTCTACTACCTTACTACAACCACTTACAAACCAATTACTACAACATCAACAACAACATCAACAACAATGTAAATAACTACAATTACATCAACAACAACAATAATAATTATGTAGTACCATCATTCATGGCAGAGGATGAGAGTTGCTTCCCTCAAGTATACTTTGATCCTCAGGCACTGACTTTCAACTCTTCATTGTATATGATGAGTGAATGTCCTCCAAGCAATTTCATCACTCCATTGTTCAATCCCATGGCCACCAACGCACTGTCCCTGGTCACCTACGACTCCCTCTCCAACTCTGCTGACCAAGAGGCACCCAACCTTATCAGTAGTAGTGATAGCAGTCAGAGTAGTGGCTGTGATAGCAGTGATCCATCCTCACCATATGATGAATAAAGACAATCAATTCATTTACATGTTGTCGCCTGTACTTCCATCATCATCATCTTCTTCGTTGTCGTCGCTATAGTACTCATCGTCATCATGATGTTCATACATGTCTCCATCGTGTTCATCGTCCGAGAAGTCGCTGGGAGACTTGGGCACTTCAATGTCCATTGCATTCATGATCTCTGTGACCTTTTCCAGTGTTGACGTCAAGATAAGCTTCTGATCGATACGATACTGCAGCACGATCTTCATCTGCTCGGTCGATTGGTGCTCGTGCTCCTCCTCGTCGTCACTGTCCTCATGGTCGTCGCCATCATGTACACCAGCGCGTGCGATCAGCATTGGTTGCGGGTTGTCCGAGGACATCTGCTCGCATAGCTGCTTGTCCTCCTCCCACGTCGAGGTGAACTGTTTGAGGAGCATCAGTGCAGTCGAGTAGAGCGTGTGCAGCACGGCCTCTTCGTTGCGGCGCGAGATTGGATTCCAGATGTCCACGTGTGGGTTCAGCTCCTCTGGTGTCATGAGGGCCACGCGCAACGCCGCCAGTACCTTCTTTGGTATGCCATCGCGACGGAGATAATGTGTGTCGATGCTCAACAAGTTGTCCGCGAGCACCTGCTTCTTGGCCTGCGTGGTGTGTCCACCGTCCTCGTCGTCAGGCAAGTCAAAGCCAATGTGGAAGCTCTCATACGAGTTGTTTGGTATGACGAAGCCATAGTACAGCGACAGCTCCCAGTTCTGTAGCGCCCCATAATGAAGGTAGATCTGCGCGCTTGGTCCAATGCTGCAGCATGATATCATCTTGAAGGCGTCAGCCTCTTGATCAAAGTGGCGCTGGGAGATCTGAGCCGTGACGTGATGGTTGACCATGTCGGCCATGGGCACCAGGCAATTCATAATCTTGCCATCGATCTTTAGCTGGATGGCGCGGCTATCAAACAGTGAGCGAGCCCACAAGAAGTTCTCCCATGAGAACAATGACTCGGGGAATATCGTTGGATACTGCTCCGACAGCTCTGGGAACAGCATGTCCCTGATTGATTGCAAGTGTTCCTTGACATGTATAGTCTCGGCAAACAAGTTGGTGCCTTCCAGCTCGAGAAGTTCGGTTGGTCTATTCGTGATGTTGGACATTAGTATGATTGAATGATTGATTATGATTGGAATGATCCCAGGACACTTACGTAAAGTGGATTGATGTTGGGAAGTAGGATGGGAGTGTGTCAAAGAATGGTCGCCAGAAGGAGTTGGGGTTCTCCTTCTCATAGATGACAAAGAGGAAGAGGATGGTGTCGTCGTTGAGTCCGGAGAAGTCTTCAAATATCTTGCCAAGGACTTCGTGTTGACGCGCCACTTGTACATTGATGAGGAAGCGACGCGGCACACTGATCACGCACTCATTCTCCTCGACCTTCTTGGCTGTGACGAGGCCACGCCCTGTGCCATCGGAGAAGTTGGCAATCTGCAACTTGGGGAAGAGCACGCCGCCCTCGACCAGCCACCGCTCAAACTTCTTGTAGATGCTGTCCAACGGGCGAACAAACTGCACGGTCTTGTTGGCGAGTCGGCAGTGATTGTTCTTGTGCTGGATGATCTGCTGCAGCGAGCGCTCCAGGATGGACTGATGGTTCTTGTAGTATCGCTCGAGCTCCGTAGGCAGCTGCATGCTGCCCTCGCCATTCACAGAGAGGAATACGTTCTGAAGGAACGAAGAGATGCCGTCGAGGATGCGATGGATCGTCTGGCTGGTGGACACGAGCACCTCCAGCTCGTTGCGCTGGCTGATCATTGTGGCGCATTGTCCACTCTCGTAAAAGTACGCTTCAGTCTCGCGCAGCTTGGCCACACGAGTGATCTCCAACAGATTGATGCCCAATGGTTTGTCACGTGTCAACATCTCGATGTAGTTGCCGTCGCGTATCGATGCGGCACCGACACCCAGCTCCTTTAGTATGCTGATCTTGGCTGCCTGTAACAGACGCTCACGCTCCATCTCGCTATCGTCCTGGACCAGCTGCTCTAGCTGCTCCAACGTCTTGTAGACCTGCACATCGATCGATACGTAGTCATAGTCGTCCAGAGTGTAGCCATAGAACAGCATCAGGTCCTCGTTGGCGATCAGGTCGAAGCTGGCCATCTCGGCCTCATCATACTCCTCCACATTGCTTTGTCGCAGAGTCGACTGTTGTTGTTGTTGCTGATATTGTTCTCGTCGTCTGTTGAACTCATCCATCGTGATCACCTCCACATTGTCCAAATGAATGGCCGAGTCCTTGTACAGGCGCTTCTTCAACACGGCGCACAGCTCGGGGACGGTCGAGGGAGTCGCGGGCGTCGAACCCGGGGTCATGCCGCCCATCGCCATCATTGAGCAGGCATGTGCGAACAGATTGTTGAGTGCCGGTGACTGACTGTCATAACGCACGTGATGTCGACGACTCTTTGCCTGCATCAGAGTTTGCGCCTGTTGTGGCTGGCGCTGTACATGAACGATTGAGTGAAGCATGTGATGTGGGATGGGGAGGAAGCCATTGAACGCCGGCGCCTGGTCCACTAAGTAGGGAACGATTGCGCCAACCTTGACCAGGTTGTAGCTCCTGTACAGCACGGTCTTGAGACGGTAGACCAGCTGGTTGACGTGCTCGAGCAGCGGCGACTCGTTGGACAGCGTGCGCCTGTACTTGCTGCCAAGTCCGACCAGCTCGAGCGTCCACTCTAGAAGCAGATTGAGCGAGTCGGACTTGCTGATGAATGCTTGTGATAGGTCGTTGTACGTGCTGGATGCGTTCAGCTTGCTTAACAGTGTGTGGCATAGGTCGTCGTCGTTGTTTGTGAAGGGTGTCTGCAGTGCGAGCAGCCTGTCTATGATCTCAAAGTGCGCCTTCCTTGTCGAGGGTGTCGTAGACGATGACAGGCTGCTGCTGCTACTTATACTGATGCTGCTGCTGTTGGTTGTGTTTGGTTCGCCAAAGGATGATGATAACATGGGAGGTGAGAGGGCAATGGGCGTCATTGTTTGATTGAGTGATTGATGATGGTAGTCCACAAAGAGATAGATGATCCAGACGAGTTGCTCAATGTTGAGCGACAGGCGGTCAAACAGACGGTGTTTGTTGGAGAATGAGTGGATGGCTTTGGAGAGCAGGATGCTGGCCTCGACCGTGCTGGCGGTCGGCGCAAGGTGTGTGAGCGGGCGGAAGTAGTGCAACAGCAGACCCAGTGCAGTCGGGTCGACAAATGGGTGTAGTGGCACCAAGTACATTGGCAGGATGGCAAGTTCGTCGTGAGTGCCCATGTCGTCCATGGCGTAGCCCAGTATCCAGGGCGAGGTCTGTGGCGAGAGAAGCGAGGTGGAGAGCGACAGCAGCGAGGGACTGGCTCCACCAGCTGTGTTTGGGTCGTATGAAGACAGGAGTGAGCTGCCCTGCAGCGGCGTCGTCGAGGTGGGAGTGCCGCCCTGCGAGCCCGACGTCGAGGTGAGTGTGGCATGTGATCGGGAAACCCTCTGATTGACCTTCAGTCCCTCCCTCTCAAACTCCTGCATCAAATTAGTGAGCAAAGTATCATACTGCTTCTGTTGTTGCTGTTGCTGTTGTTGTTGATGCTGTTGATGCTGTTGTTGATGCTGCTCTTGTTGTCGCTGTTGATCTTGGGTATTCATTGTGTATATGGGTTTGTGTAATTGTATGTTGAGGCCCAAGTAACAGTCTAGCAAGCAAGTCCTTGTTGTTGTTATTGTTATCACTTATAAGTGATTGATTGATTGATTAATTATCTGTATCTGTTCTGTAAGTTTGTGATGATTTAAGTGAGTGGTGTCTATCAGTATCCCTCCCCCACAAGTTATTTTTAAATCTAAATGATCGATCGACTTCCTTTTTTGGTTTAGGTATTAGATCAAAATGAGAATATATAATAATTTAATGACACAATAATATCAAACCCAATAGATCCTGTACATTGGTCTTCCTACTCCTACAAGATCATTGTCTCATGTGGAACGTCAGGTTCGACGAGCAAACTGGCATATTTGTTGTTTGTAATCTTGATCTTCCTCACGTTTCCGCTTGTGGCAAAGAGCTACCACTGCATTCTCCAACTGCCTCTCGAGTTGTTCAATACGAGCATAGGGGTCCTCCATCGATTGGATCCAATTCTTCTTGAAATCCTCCTTGGTCAATAGGTGATTGAGGTATTGGTCTTCAAATCTTTGGGCTGCATCAGGTCCTTCTTCTGCATCCATATCTCCCCTAACATATCTAATATATGGAATGTACGATTGTGGCATGTGCTCAGACCCATGTTTAATGGCTCCTAAAATTGTGGCACAATTTGTAGCCCATACACTGTACTCTTTGTATTTGCGAATGAGGACTTGTCTGCACTGCTCGGTGCATCTTTCGTTCAACCATTCATCGCGATAGTCGTCAACACGTGACGGGTTGAACCAAACTCCACACTCGTGCAATCATCGATTGACGCAAATGTACCAATCAAGACCTTATGATGGTCACAGATCTTACTAGAATCTTGAATTTTAAACATTATAAATATAATAATATAATATAATTATAATTATGTATGTTTTGGGAATTATGAGCAACTTTTGCAAAATAAGGGGGATTGGTTCGGTACATAGACACAGAACAATAAATAAATAATAATAATAATAATTAGTTTAATGGAAATAAATGATACAGCACGTGGAGGTTTTGTGAGATTGATTAAGGAACATTATTTATATTTTTAAAAATAATAATGATAATTATCATTCATAAATAGGTCCTTCAAAATGCAATTTGTAGCATTTATTGTTTGTAATCTTGGTCTTCCTCGCGCTTGCGCTTGTGACAGAGAGCCACCACAGCGTCCTCCAACTGTTTCTCTAGTTGTTCGATTCGTGTATCGCGATCCTCCATAGCCAGAATCCAATTCTTCACGAAATCCTCTTTTTTTAAAGGTCTGATAAGGAATGTATCCTCAAACTGTTTTGATCCATCCGGTTCAACTTCTTTATCCATCTCTCCTCCTACATACATTACATAGTCATAGTATGATTTAGGCATATCCTTTGCACCAAGTTTGATACTTTCGAGAATGGTAACGCAATTTCTAGCCCATGCATTGTACTCTTTATACTTTCGTATGAGTGCTTGTCTACATTCATCAGTGCAACTTTCTGTCAACCAATAACTAAAGTAATTTTCGACACGAGACGGATTAAAGAAAAATCCACAATCATATCCCTTGTCAACTGTGATAAACTTGAATGAATGGTTTGAGCAAAGCTGATTAGACATTTCTCTTGTGTTGAATAAAGTTGATGTTGTGACAATGAAACTAATACTCCAATTTGGTTTTATTAACGAATAAACACAGGTGGGTTAATTACATGTGTAGTTTGTTCCGAAAATTTGATCACTGCTGTCCAGGCATCTATCAATATTGTTGGTCATTATGTCAGCGAACGAAGAACGCTTCCATGAACAGTATGTTGAGTGAATCATTTAATTGAGTAGATGATCCACTACGTACATTGTCATCCAATGCTTCCACTTATTGATCTCCTTAAAGACTTCCATATTTCTTTTAAGGACTCAGTCCGACTTGGCTTCGTCTGTCATTTGAACTCCGAGCTCATCGAGATCTTGACGTAGCATACGACGACTGATATCATCGATCACATCATGCCAAGGTCCATCGATGAGGTGTCTGTCCAGAAGTGGTAGTATCTCTTGTGTAGGTACGCCCATGACTCCTCGCAACGTTGTTATAAAGTGTCCTTCATCGAGTCCACTTGATCGTGTAGCTTGCTGGACCATGTATTCCATCTCTTATCATCCAGTCTATACTTATCTCCACCATCAGTGACACTCATGATATATCGATGAACACTATTCTTTGTGGTGAGAACAGGGAGTTGTTCCTTTCGCAGGGTACTCGCCTCTCTAACGCGATTGACAATCAGATCCCTTGTATCCTTGTATAAACCGTGTCGGACACCAATCAATGATTATTATTAATTATTATTATTATTGACAACAACATTACAAGGACTGCTTTCCAACTCTAAAAGCCACACAGGTGGTATGATCCATCTTGCCTGGATACGCCTTGAGATCTTCTGGAAGTGGCCTGTTGGGGAAAGTCTCCATGAAGTCGCGACTGGACCTGGTGGTCTCGAAGCAGTGCTCCAACAGCTTCTCCACGATCATCTTTGAAGTCAGAGGGTCGTCGACGTCGGCCGTGCGAAGCTTCATCTTGAGGAACTCCTGCATGTACTTGATCTTGCTCTCCTGTGCCTTCTCGGCATCCATGCTCTCCCACGACTCGTGGGGCAATTGGATGTCCTTGGGCTGCACGCCAATGGTCTGTGGGTCGAGGTTGTCGTGCACGCCGTCCGACACCAGGATGATGATGTCGTTCTCCTGGCACGGCAAAAAGTGAAGACAGAGGTTGCGCAGGTCAGGGTGGCCGTTGGCCACGTATGGGCCCAGACGGCCGCCTGGGTCCTTGCAGTCGTCGACACTCTGGCGGTTGCCCTTTGTAATATCGACAAACTTCTTGGTGGCGTGATTGAAGTGGAAGGCTTTGCAGTCGCCAACACTCGCGCAGATGAAGCCCCACTTGGAGGGTGGTGTGTTGTCACGTGGCGAGCCCAACGTCGTCTTGGTCAGGTCCTTCTGCTGGCCAGCGTTAGACACGGGCACTGAGCGCGACAGGGGCGCTGCCTGCTGTCCAGCCACAGTTGAGCTGTCATTGAGCAACTCGACCATCACACCTCCAATGAGCGTGGTGGTACCCGCCTCCCAGATGTCAGTCTTGCCATCAATGATCTTGTTGTGTGCATAGTTAAAGGCTGACAGGATCTGGTTGCCAGCGTCCTGCACGGTCTGGATCTCGGAGGAGAGTGCACGTGAGATGAACTCGACAAACGACGTCGAAGCCTTGAGTGCAGCTTCAGCGGGCCTGATGCCCCAGTTGCAGCCGTCGGCTACAGCGGCAATGACACGGGTGCTCTGCACTTGCACGCAGAAGTGGTCGCAGATGGGATCGCCCTCGCGCTTGGGGTGACCAGGCAGATGCGGGTACGTGGAGATGGTGCGCGCAAAGAAGTGGCTGTTGAAGCATGAGTGGTTGGCTGACTCAAGCTGGTCGTGCGCCGGACCGTTGATCGTAAAGACAAAGTTGTCGTTCTTGGTCTCGGCGATCAGGTACTTGGGGAACTTGTTCTCAACGCAGCCAATGACGACCGGCGCCAGGTCGATGCCCTTGAGCGCGCCCGTTCCAAAGTAGCTGCTGCTGCGCTGTCGCTGCAACGATATCGACTCCTCGGTGGCGGGCACAAACTTTGACGCCACTCCGCTTGGCGCGGTGGTAGCCGCCCCCGCCGCCGCGGGTGTTGCTGCGCCGCCAGTCTTTGTCTTCTTCATCTGCTTCAAGTAGTTTGTCTGTTGATGTGCGAGGCGTAGCTGCTCCAGCAGTCCCGACTCGATCTTCTCAGACACTGCCAGTATCTCATCTACATCTGGTTCACCACCTTGTCCTCCTTGTTGCTGCTGCTGCTGTACTTGTTGATGTGAGTCTGTTGTAGTCGTGGACTTTTTTGCTGTGTGTGCTGCTGGCGCTGCCGATTTGTTGTCTGGCGTGCCAGACGAGGCGACACCACCGTCGCCATTCTGAGCGACGAATGATATAGTAGGGTTCTGTAGCATGGACAGTATCTGATTGTAATGTTGATGTGTAGTGTTGTTATGTGGTGCGGCTATCAAGTTCAACGTCTGGTCCAGCAGTCTAAGACCCAGTAATGTGTTTGGCGACGACGCCTGGTTCTTCTCGCGCAGCAACTTTTGATATACCTTTGTAGCATTCTCAATCGACTTGTGTAGTCTATACATCAGTGCGGGACATGTCAGCCCAAAGTCAGTAAGTACAACATCATTCAATCAACCAATCAATCAGTTGAACATACTTTGCAATTGGATCAGCACTGGCGACATCTTTGTTTGGCGCGTCGTGCTTCAGCTGTGTCCATTGGTTCTCATCGGTTGATCTACGGCCATTGGACTGTTGTTGCTGCTGTTCATTCTGTTTCAAACGAAAGAGTTGATCATCATCTCTGAATGGATGAGGAGCAACATGATCAAACACTCCACGATTCCACAACATCTGACCATACTCTGCTGCCTTTGGTCTAGTCAACTGCATATTAGACACCAACCAATCGACCAATGCCGATGCCTTCAATATATCATCTCCATTCAACTTTGGTACAACACCTGTTGTTTGATCCCTAAGTTTCTTCTCCAACAACTCAACCTTATATATTGATTGATTAGGTTTGATTGATTGAGTGAGTAATCAGGTGAGTGAGTGATGGGCGATTGAGTGATGTACATGACATGACATACCTCTTCTTCTTTTAATACAACGACATCCATATCTTATATGTAATAAATAACTAATCTTATAATATATAAATAATAATAAAGGTGTAATAGAATCAAATCAAACAATGAATGATTGATAAAACAATCATTCTTGATGTGTGTGTGTGAGTGTTTGTTTGATTAGGGTGATCATGAGTGTGGGGTGTGTGTGGGGGTGTGGGGGAATTGATTGATCAGATCGGTGATTGCCTCAAACAGTCGCCCAACCGGCCAGATTCAATAATCATGGAAGGACATCATGTCCAGACAATGAATGGGTGGGCAAGACACATGACCATTCACCATCCATCAATCCAAGTGAATGAATGAATGAATGAAATGAATGAAGTTGAATTGATTAATGCTCATCACGGGTTTAATGTGTGATTGAATGAATGAATGGTTGAAGTATGGAAGGGAATAGTAGTTTACTTCTTCTTCTTCTGGATCTTCTTGGCGTAGAACTCCAACTCCTTACCCTCAAGGACGACACCGTCACACTTGCCAACCTGACCTGGACGCGAGGTGATCTTGGCGTAGAACTTACCCTCGGAGGCGTTGGCCTCGAGAGCGGCCTCGATGCTTCTGGTCTTCATGCGCTTGGCAATCTTTCTCAGGAGCGAAGCGGACTTCTTGGCTGGCTCGACCTTCTCCTCCTCGACCTTCTTGGTGGCCTTCTTCTTGCCGAGGGTGACTCCGTAGTGTTGCTCGTACCACTGTCTGAATGGAGTGCAATCGATCTGGATGATAGATCCCTTGACCAAAGTGTTGGTACGCACCAGATCGTTCGAGGTGGCGTTGTAAACTACATTGACGATACGGCACTTGCGGGTGACTCCTACACAAGTTTGATTGATTGATCAATGATGATGTATCGGTATTAATATCTGTTTGAATGTAGTCGACCTGTATGTTTGATCATCCTCTGTCTATGTCGCCTGCGTTATAATGATTGATCGATAACTCGCTCACTCAATGCTGTCGACTAAACTGTTGCTGCTGTGCTGTTGTGTGACACCCTGTATCCAAACAATGTATAAAGATGTGATGACTTACTCTCGGAGGACCAGGAGAAGTTGCCAGTGTCAAGACGGAGGGCTCTGAACTTGAAGTGACCTCCACGGACTCTGAGGGCTCGAACACGCTTCTCACCAATCTGAGTCTTGGCAGCCTGACGACCCAACTCGTACTTTCTCTTCTTGTAGTTTGGCTTACGAGCAGCGCCAGTGGCTCTGTGCTTGTGCAACGCGTCACGAGAAATACCTGTTTAGTTTGTTGTTGTTGCATGCATAAGAGGTATTAGCGCTACAATCCCTGTTGTGTCTTGTGTATCGCATTCATCCATCTCATCGCCATCCCAACTCATCAGCGTCGCAATGTGGATGGGATGGTGGATTCATAGTCTAGTCTGTAGTTTGATCGATTGATATGTACCCATTGTGAGATGTATATGTGGAGACTGAGAAAAAGGGAGATACCTAAGTCAATCCTACACTACATATCAGCTTGCCTCGCAGGTTGGAAGGTGTGGCTGGGGTGGAAGGCGAGTCCACAGGATGCTGAGTTTCGTCATCCTCTAACACAACAAAAAATAAAATTAATCGTTTTCACACATTCTCCACTCTCTGGTATCGTTACTCAATCCATCAAATTAATAATTGATTGATTGAATGAATGAATAAGGATATATAATATGATATTATATCAATAAATCATGATTATGAAACTATTAGTTCAATATACAACTTGGTTATTAACATCTTAATCTACATTGATTCCAAGATAATGTGATCATAATCAATTAATCCTGGAAATACAACCTGGAATGAAGTAGTGTAGAAGATGGATAGAGGACGACTAACAAGTCAACAAATTGTCTTTTGGTAATCATTTGGGTCAGTCCATCAACTATTCAATCAATCACTAACCATCCATGAACTATTCCAATCAATTAATTAATTAATTAACATTGTTGTTGGAGATTTTTGATTAATATTATACTTTATTCAAAGGGGGGAAGGGAACAACTGAAGGTGTGATTACGGACAGCGTTTACTTCTTGGCAGCAGCAACCTTGGCCTTTGGGGCAGCCTTGGCAGCTGGCTTGGCGGTGGCGGCAGCCTTCTTCTTTTCCTTGATCTCTCTCAAGGCAGCCTCACGCTGAGCAGCACGGAACTCTGGCTTCTGCTCTCTCTTTTGCTTGATGACCTCGAGCGAAGCACCGACGATCGAACGCTCGAACTTCTGGGTCTTCTTGGTCTTCTTCTTGGTGTTGGTCTCAACCGACACAGACTTGTTGATTCTGCGGTAGACAGAGGTCCAGGGGACATCTCTTGGATTGATCTTTCTGAAGAACAACGACTCGTTCTTGGCGTTGATGAACGTGAAGGTCTTTGAGTCGCCACGAACGTACTTGATACCCTTGGCTGGGTAGATCTTGAACTCGGAGAAGTTGCAAATTCCAGTCCTATTCATTCATTCATTCATATCAATTGTGTTAATCTATGTGTTCTGTTGTATCCTGTATCCTGTCCTGTCATGTCTGTCATCCTGTCATCATCATCATCATCATCTTGTCGCTCGTCTTGTATCCACACAGTTAAGCCAATAATTGATCGCCAAAGTGTGTATCCAATATCCACATCCGATGACATGACCTATCTAGCTACATACTTCATTGTTATTGAATCCCCTGTGATGTGAACGAAGCAAACGATGTTGGATGTATCAGATCATTGACACAGTCAAATGTCAGAGTCGCCTGAGGGGATGGTCTGCAGCCCTCGCAGCACCTCTCTTGCCCCCACACAACTTCATTAATCTCTAAAAATTAATTTTAATTCAAAATAATTAACTCTTAACGTTACTAATACCATGAGTCGACTTCCATTTTGCCCGAAAAGGAAACATGTAGATCTAAAAGAAGTAATTGTAAATGATGATGTTGATTCACTTGCATTCATACTTATAACATGATAGGGGTTAATCTACAAACAAAGATAGAATTAACTTTGTGTACAAATATGTGCGTGTGTGTTCCCAAGAATGTCGGAGGTTTGTTGGAGGTTGGTTGCCTGGGAGGGGGGTAATTATCTTGCAATGCAAAGCCACTATCAAAGCAACAACATTACTCAAACAAAACAAAAGGTCACATATTCATTCATTTTGCTCATTTATCTATCTCTATCTTTCAATTATAATAATAATAATCAAACATGGACGACAGTTCAACAACATCAACTACATCTACGACGACAACGACCACTACAACTATGATTACATCAAATAATCTAAGTTCACCTGTAGAGATATTGATTGATCATTGTAGAAGAATACAGGCAGAGACTGATACATTCATACAACAAGTTGATATATATACACATCATTCAGAGTTCAATGACTTGGCAATTGATAACAAGTTCAACTATGCAATCAAACAATATAACACATCAATTGAGATCATTGAGAATATATTGAAGAGTATGTTTGTGTTCAATGATTGAATGATTGAATGAATGAATGAATGGACATCAACTGACACGCCACGACATATACATTAGATGACCCAACATTATGCGATAGATTGGCAGACTTCTTGGAGTATTCGGTTGTGACGAGGAATCAGATTATACAGACAAAGGCAAGCATGTTGGATCAACAATTGGAGAACACTGATTGTGAGGCATTGTTGTCATTGTCTCGTGTGACTGTGTATAGATGGAGGGTACATCATGACCTTTTGAAACAAACACATGACTATGAACAGAGTGTAGAGAGACAGACTGTTGGAGTGGGCGAGCTACATCTCCTGCGAGCATCAGACCTGTTGCATATACTAGAGTTGAAAGTGACCTCACCATCTGACTTGGTCATCGACACAACAACAACAACAATTGGAATCAGTCATGATGATGGGATCAATCTCAATCGATCACTGGATCATTTGATAACAATTGATACTGATACGAATCGAGAGGTTGACATCCGATTCCCATTGGCACGCGAGACACCCATATTCCTTGTGGCACGTGGCAACTATATATTACAACTGGAGGATTATTATTATGGAGTAATGTTGCCCTTTGACATTCCCGATGTATATATCAATCTATTCGAGTCAAAGTTAAACAATATATGTTGTTTCGGTGTATTACATCAACAACAACAACTACTTCAGCAACAACAACAACAAGATGAGGCACCCACGACAGCACTTGATGGCAACATCAATCAAACAACCGATCAAACATCATCTGACTCACTGAGTAGCAACAACACCAACACCTGCCCAAGCTTTGCAGTGCGCTCAATGAAGTCAATGTCAACAAGCATTGACAATGGCGGACAGAATTTAACGAATGGAATAATGGCAGCGTCATCGATGATATCTCTTGGATTACGCGGAGGTGGATTCTACCTCAAGTCAACACTGGCAAGGAACAACTCGCCAACAGTCGTCTCACCAATGGTCGCGGGCACCATTGGATATATTCGCTCGGCCACGCCATACGCATCAAAGGGCTCATCCTACCTAATCACTAAGCTGTCCGAGGTGGTCGAGGTTGTTGGCACAGGAATATACAGTGGCATCAAGACTTTGATGCCAGCTGGCGGCGAGGGCGGTCCAAGCCCGACAATGGAGGCGGCCACACAGTTGGGAGCAACATCAATCAAGGCCATATCATCAATATCCAGTGCACTGTCCGAGGGATTGTCGACCATTGTCGAAGAGGCCACCGGTACAACCGTGGACGTGGTACAACATCGTTATGGCAAACACATGGCCAATCTAACACACGACACACTCAACATCAGCAAGGACGTCGTAAACACTGCACTCAATCTACAAATGGGCAGTGCCAAGGCATTCGCCATCAAGGCTCTGACTGAGGGTGGCGGCAAAATCGCAGCCGCGCAGTCCGCCTCCTCCTCTTCCTCCCCAGTCTCAGTCTCAGCCTCAGAGAATAGTAATGATGGTGGTAATGATGATCAGGACCTTAAGAGGCTACAAGATCAAGTGGCTGCTGATTAGAATATATTGTAATAACATCAAACTTGTAATAAAGTGAATGCATTGGCATTATGGGACATGTTTCCAAACTTCAAAAATCTGATGGTCCTGTGGACGCGACTCGACTTGAACAGGGTCAGATCAGAGTTCATTCAAGGGATTGTTACAACAACACAACAGAGAAGAAGAAAGATGAATGGTCTATTGACACTGAAAGGTGGCAGAGCACTATGTACATCAGTCACTTCATTCATATCACATCATCATCATCATCATAACTACATACATCTTTGTACACAACAACTACGCATACGACATAATAGTAGTAGTAGCAGTAGCAGTAATATATTATATACACAGTCATTACATAACAATAGTAGTAGTCGGAGGTACTCCACATCAACGACGACAACTACGACAACAACGACGAATACACAAGATACAACAACGACAGAAGAACAGTTTCCAAACAAGTCAGGATCGATAAATAGTAATAGTACATCTAGTGCGCTCGATGCATCATTTAGCATGGATGCTATTGAGGAGCAATTGGAAGAGTTGACTGAAGAGACTGAAGCGATCAACCAACTGGCAGCTGAGGCATCACCCTTTGACAACATGACCGAGGATCAACTACAAGATCACTTTAGCAACACCTTTACAATCAATAGCAAGGTCGACTGGAGCATGTAAGATATGATATCAAGTGGCTGGGATACTCGTGAATCACTCACTCACTCAATCAATCACTCAATCAATCAATCACATCGATAAATGAATGAATGAAGAGTTGGACAGGAGATCACAAAGCCTCACTACCATCAGTATAACGTTATGAATAGTGTTTTGAAGTGGATCACATCGATGAACTGTCTTGAAGTACCAATATATAATGTGTTCTTGGCGTACTTTAAGAGATATATGCACTCCAATGACTTTGCTCAACTGCTCAAGTACATGCGCAAGGCTAATTTGGAGATGAATGTCGACACGTTCAACTTGGCGATTGGCATGAACATCAGTCTGGGCCGCACTCGCGAGGTCTACCAGTTATACCGCGAGATGAATCAGACGGGCGTGGCGGCCAACATCGACACCTACTTTGATCTGATCCGCTGCTACAGCAAGACCCTGACGACGGTCAATCAGCTGATCGGCGATATGCAGAGCAAGGGCATTGCGCGCAACGAGAAGATCAACGCGCTTCTCATCGGAATCTTCCTGTCACACGAGGACACGTTCCAGACGGCCTTCTCGCACTACGACGAGATAGTGCGCGACTTGGGCACGCCATCGGCACTCACCTACAACAGTCTGTTTGTGGGACTGGCCAATAGCGGGCGCTTCGACCTGCTCAGACAGTTCTGGCGCCAGATGAATCAGCTGGGCGTCACGCCGTACGAGGAGACGGTCTCGCGCATCATCGAGATATACTCGGACAAGCGCGACCTCAAGGCCGCCATCGACTTCTATCTCTACGCCGTGCGCGACTACACCTCGTTCAAGAAATCGCCCAAGATCCTGGGCGCGCTGCTGCGCGTGCTGATCGTGGGCAAGCGTTTCGACCAGCTGTCCAACATGCTGGACTACCTCGAGAACAACAACATCTACACGCTCGAGATGTACAACATTGCGCTGAACCTGTTCTCCAAGTTCCGCAACCCGCAGGTGTGTCAGCGTCTCTACGAGAACCTGCTCAAGAGCGGCATGACGCCAAATGCCGCCACGTACTCGCCATTGGTGCATATGGCCATCTACTCGGGCAACGTGGCCGACTGCCACCACTGGATGGAGAAGATGCGCACCAACGGCATCCTGCCGCAGGTCGAGGTCTTTAGCAACGTGCTGCGCTTCTACCTCACGCACGGCGCCGTCGAGCATGTCAAGGTGCTGATCAACGAGATCATCAACAACAACCTGCTGACGGCATCGTCGTACGCCTCGATCCTGGTCTTTAACCAGATGATGAACCTGCAGGCGGGCTACTACCGCCACAAGCTGCAATCGCAGGACACTCGCTTCCGCGAGATTACATACGACCAGATCATCGAGATCTACCTGTTCTTTGACAACTATGAGCGCGCGCTCGAGTGGTTCGAGCAGCGTCTCAGCATGGCCAAGATGCAGCGCGGCCGCACGCTCACGCTCTCCTACCCGCTGCTCCTGTTCATCACATACCATACGATCAGAGGCGAGACCAACATTGCGCAGTACTGGGAGAACATGATGGTGCAACACAAGGTGTACCCAGACAACGAGTCGCGCATCAAGATTCACCACCACTTCAAGAAGTTCTATAGCAGCGGCAATCGAGACAACTCGGGCGAGCAGGGCAGTCGCAAGGAGAAGATCACCATGGACCGCCTCATCCAGCTCAATCGCCAGAAGCAGCAACCACAGCCCGACCCGGCGCAGGCGGAGAAGCAACGCGAGGAGGAGGAGCAGAAGAAGCGCGAGCGACAGGAGCGCGACGAGCAGAGCGATGACATCGACGTCAAGGACTACGTGGTTCAGAAGCAAAAGGCGAGCTCGTTCAAGGACATCATCAAGGAGTCGCCCATCTCGTTCCGCATGCGCATGACCACGTTGGTGGACCGCAAGTTATTCAAGCAGGCGATGCAGGAGCTGGACGCCATGGGAGGCCAGCGGCTTCCCCGTGGACAGCAGTACGTACTCCTATCTGACCAAGAAGCTGGCGGACGCCAAGGACCACGTCAACGCCCCGATATACTATGAGCGCCTGCTAAAGATCGGCTTTACCACGACGCCGGCGCTCTGCTACAGCATCCTAGAGTTGAACTTTAGCCTGGGCACGGCCAAGTTCCAGGCGTTCGTCGACCACATGCGCCAACAACCCTATGTGCCTTCAATCTTTGAGGGCATGTATCTCTCAGTGATGGCCAAGTTCAATGTGGTGCGCTGCATCACCGAGATCATGAACCATCCAGGCGACGCCACGATCTACACCAACTCTAGCTCGATCCGCAACTCGCTCATCTATGGCCTGACGCACCGCGGCGAGCTGGAGCTGGCGCAGAGTGTGGTCCGCTCCATCGTGCTGTGCAACTCGTCATTGTCCATCAACTCGATCCAATTCTTCCTCAAGACCTACCTGGAGCGCAACGAAGTGCCCGCCATCGCCGAGGATCTGTACAGATACTATCACTCGACCAGCATGCGCATCCCCGACAACCTCGTCAATATCCAGATACTGGGTCTGATCAAGGAGGGCTCGTACGAGTCTGCGCTCGGCCTGCTGCGCGAGGCGCAACAGAAGGAAATGGTCAACCGACACACGATACCGCTGGCCATGGAGATATACGCGAACCGATTCCCCATGCCACCTAGCATCAACCTGACCATGTGGCTCAGCATCAAGAAGATGTGCATCAAGAACGGCATCTCGACGGCCATCTTCTACACCGAGCTGTTCAAGTGTCTGAAGCGCGCCAACATGGACAGCATCATCATCAAGTACGCGACGCAGCCCAACTTCTTCACGTCGCAGCAGCTCGAGACGCTCAAGATCGCCCTGTCCTGCTGCCATAACGACAAGGAGGTTATCCGTATATTTAAGATGGCCAATTCGTCCAGGCTACAGATGGACAATGAGGTTGAGGCCATTGTCACCGAGGCCAACAAGACAGTGAACGATCATAATGTCCTCAAGTGTAAGTTCAAGACCACGTTGCAAGCCGAGCCCAAGCCATTGCCCACCGAAATAAAGAACTTTATCAAGGAGAGGATGTCCCTGTCCGTCGAGGACAGTGACACATCCGATCTTCAGCTTCAGGCCTAAGTGCTGAGGCCTTTGGAAACAATACCATCGTCCGTGTATCACTCAATCATTCATTCATTCTAAGAATGATCAATCAATCAAAGTGTGAATCAGTGAGGGAGTGAACGCGACAAAGACAACTTCATTGACCCACGTACTCACTCATTCATTCATTCTCTTTCATAAACTCGCATGGATCAACAGCAACAAATACAAAATCATCAACAAGCGATCAGTCAGATCGAGAAGGCATGCAATGAACTGCAGTCGCATGTGCAGGAGGCACGCACTCAGGCAGAGCAGTTCATCATCCGCTTCAATCAGATGAAGAACCCTTATGATCTGTGCATTGCTGTGCTCGCGCATTCAACCTCGCCGCTGGCACACTTCTACACGCTGTCCACTATAAGAGACGCGGTGATACGCGAGTGGGCTGCACTCGATTCACAGACACGATGGATGATCGTCGGCCAACTCATGGGCTATGTCATGTCGCGCTTTGGTATGCCGACGTCGACCAAGAACCAGAGCTACAACACGCTGGCCGTCGTGTGCAAGCGTGCGTGGCTCGACGACGAAACCTATCTCGACGCGAACAAGCCCATCCGCGAGATCGTCACAGATCACATGATGTCGCTGCTGTCGTCCACCGACTCAAAGTGTCTCGAGGTGGGCATTGGCGTGCTCTCGTCAATGATGGTGGAGTTCTCCTCGTCACCCAAGTCATCACAGATGCAGCAGACATGGGACGTTCATCAGAAGTGTCTGGTATCATTCCAATACAGCTTCCTGCAGCCCATCTTCCACAACATCGTGGCGGTGCTCGTCAACTTCAAGTCGATGATCGAAAAGCAACAGCATCTCTCTGACGAATCCGTGCACCTCATTCACAAGTCGCTCATGCTCTTTGGGGACGTGCTCGAGTGGCGCTTCGTGGACAGAGACTCATCGGCGCTCGCTTTCATCTCTGACTTCAACAGGTCTCACGATCAGCTTCGCCCACCCGAGACTTGGGCATCAGTGTTCGACTCGCCAGTACTCTTCAGCCTCGTGTTCGACTTGTACCCACATGTCAAGTCGCATCGCGAGATATCACATACGCTGCGCGTCGCCATGACTCGCCTGGCCAGCCTCAACGGTCCGTTGATCAAGAACAACGAAAGGTGCACGACATACCTCAGCACTCTGCTGAGTTGCGTCACGCCGCTGCTGCACCTCTCCGTCGAGTCGATGCACGGCAACAACTGGAGCGAGGTAGAGGATCTCTCGAACCTGCTGCAGTGTCTGTGCAGCAACTTCAAGTTCCAGGTCATTGCCCAGATTCCATTTGAGCAGTCGTCCGCCTTCCTCGAGAACCTCACCAAGTACACACTGTCCTCATTGCGATTCATGAAGGCGACCATCGAGAGCGGTGAGGACGACCTCGAGAACGAGCTGGAGAATGAGTTCTTTGGACTCTTGGTTCGGGCTTGGGTTGGTCTGCTGGCCGATGCCGAGACACTCATCATGCAAAAGAAGAATGTCCTCTTGGAGGACTTTGACAAGCTCTACGCCGTTCTCAAGAAGTGCTCAGAGCACATCTATCACTCATACGTCAAGACAAGGATCGAGCTGTCCCTGATCGAACTACAACAAGATGACTCTGCAGCTGACAATGGTAAGTACCTCGAATGTCCATTGTGCCCTCACACTCACTCATTCAATCAATCAATCAAACAAACAGAGTTGGAGGAGGACAAGAACAAGTATAATGAACAGCTCAAGTTGATCGCATATGTTGGAAGGATTAGTGCTGGAAGCTCAATGGATTTACTTAGGAATGAGGTCAATAATACGATTGAGCAGTTAAAGAAGAATGGAGATCATAGGTCATTCGAAACACTTCATTGGTTAATATTGCTGTCTGGTCACCTGCTCTTTGACTCAGACGAGCAGAGCATCTCAGCCATCCCCATCGAGGTCGAGAAGTTCTCATTCGAGCAACATCAACATGGCCATCCCACAGACTCAATCATCGAACTGACAAACGCCATCATACGCTACGCGCTCGAGTTTGAGGTGCAGGTGCTTCAGCACTACAAGAGCACCGATCGTCTCTCACCACTCATTGCAGAGACCTCCATGTGGTTCTTGGCTCATTGGTCCCTGGTCTATCTCATGCCATCATCCGACATCAACATCCATCTCAGCCCCAAGCTGGCTGAGGCCTACTGCCAGGAGCAGTCAGTGATTGGCATCACACATCACCTGTTGATGAAGATAATGATCAACTTCCAGTTCTGGTCGGGCGAGCACGATGTCATGCGCGAGACCTGCGAGCTCTTCAAGAACCTCTGTCTCAACACCCACGCGGTCAAGTATCTCGTGCAGTCGAGCTACTGGGGCGACCTCTTCTTCCTCAGGTCGGGCGTAGACAAGCTGGCACCCTTCATTCAGGAGCGCCTGTTTGAGGGCTTCACCAGAGTGGTCTACAAAATCAATGGACCAGAGCAACAGGCCTACTTTGGTCATCTGTCAAAGATGGTGTCGGAGCCCCTGGACAAGCTGTTCCAGCGCACTGACTTTGCACAGATAGCGCACGATCCATCCATCAAGGAGAACCTATACATACTATTGGAGCGACTGCGAGGTATTGTGCGTGTGCCCGAATCAGTCTTTGACCAAGAGGATGCGCAGCCCAATCAACTACTCGCATTCGAACTGATGCTCAAGTACTCCAAGTCACTGGTCTCACTCATCCCATTGTACAGCCACAATCAAGACATGGTCATTCTCATTCTCAGAATATTCAAGAGTCTTGTAGGACATCAAGAGTTGATCGATGGTATGTTCCCAGTCCCATCCACTCTCACTGGAATTATTCCAATCATACTAACTCAATCATTGGATCAATCAAACAGAGGAGAGATCAAAGATAATCTTACAGGCGATGGTGGAACTGTTCCAGACAGTGGTCAAACAGACAATGAGTGTAACAAACAAGAGCAATATTGATAACAAAGAACAATATGATAAGATCAGAATGTTGCTCAGCATAATGAATAATCTAGTGACCATACAACAGAGAGGATCATCGACAGTGATCACCGATCTAGTGACACACGCAGCGTTCTGTGGCGTCTCTGTCACTGTACCATGTATCACCAGCCATGGACTGTTGCAATACTCCAAGCTTGCCAACCGTCTATTCTCCATCATCTACCACCTCTACTCCTCAGACTCTATCGAGCTCTCTCAATTCCCACCCGACATCTCCAACACCCTCATGTCACTCATTGAGAATGGTATCACACAGTATGTATTCATTCAATCAATCAATATCCAGTCCAGTCCACTTACCATGTCGCGCCAAAATCACACTTAGCTACGACTCTGAGATTGCCAAGAACTCTTTGGATTCAATCACAGCAATTTCCCAATACTTGGCGGGCATGAAGGAGAAGAACATCAATGTGGATATGACCGTTGTGACTAGATTGATTGGCGCCATGATCAACTTCTTATTGATGCACGAGTTCAATATGGATGAGTTGTTGTACTCTGCCTCCAACGACCTTTGTAGAGCTGATCGCTCTTCATCCAGAGGGACTGACTTCCAAGGTTGGCGAGCTCATCCAACTCCAAGATCCATCGATTCAAGGACGTATCCGTGGACACGTTGAGCTCCTTTTGCAATCATTCGATCCATCCAGTCGCAGATCCAAGGACAACTTCCTCCCAGCGCTCAAGATCTTCCTTGGCAACGTCCGTCCCCTGCTCAAGAAGAGATAATGATAATAATAAACTCCGCGAGTTCTTTGATATTACTTTATATATACACATGGAATGAGTGATTGATTGATTGATCACTTCTTGGGAGGGTTGGTCCGCAGCTCATTTGCGAGCCAGTCAAAGCCTTCGTAGACACCCTCGAGGGTCAGTGCAACGATGGACTGACAGTACCATCTCCTGTTTCTTAATATGTAGTTCAAGGATAGTTTGTCGGTGATCTCTGCCATTGTCAATGAATGAGGTAGGTCTTGCTTGTTACAAAGTATCAGGAATGGTACATCTATCAACTCTGTGGCCAAAGACAGACGTTCCAACTGTTCCTTTACATCTGGTAAACGTTCAACATCACATGAATCCAACACCAATATTATACCAGTTGTAGTAGGATAGTAATGAATTGCCAATGCTCTGATCCTATCTTGTCCACAAAGGTCCTATGTATTGGATATTGGTCAGTCAATACAACAAACAAGTTAAATGATAAATCGCTTGCGAACAACATACCCAAACATCGAATGATATATTCTTGTATTTGATTGTCTCAACATTGAAGCCAATTGTTGGGATTGTTGTAACGACCTCACCTAGCTTCATGCGATATAGTAATGTTGTCTTTCCAGCAGCATCAAGTCCAACCATCAATATCTTGTGTTGTACATGAGAATCGAACAGACTCCATATTCTTGCTATGATGTTACCCATGTTGATTGTTTGATTGTGTGATTCGTTTATGTTTATGTTGTAATGAACTCGATCTCATTGTTGCATATTATAGTCGTTGTTGTACAACAACCATTTATACATCGATGTTGAACAATGTCGTGGTAGTGTCGACTTGAGAATGACCACGAAGCGGGTTTGACAAGGTTTGTTGAGTGCACAGTACCTCATGTTGTCCACCACCCACCTTTTGAGAGAAGAACAAAAATCAACTCTCTCAACCCTTTGTAAGTTCTCAAAAAAGTGTAAATTCTAAGAAGACACGATTTGAAGAGAGATAATATTGGATAATGGAAAGTTCAAAGTTCAGAACCATACATAGACACATAACATAACATATACACACAAGAATAAAATGTCAACAAGAAGAAAGGGATTATCAGAGGAGGAGAAGAGAGAGAAGCTAAAGAAGTTCTTTCATGAAACAGTATGTATAATCAACAAGATGACTCATGTATCCGTGACTAATCAATCAATCTGTTTTATGGCAATATAGGCAGATGTCTACTCGGCTAAAGATGTTGAACAATCCGCCTCTGAGGCATGTGGAATGAGTATGTTTGAATCACACTAACTATTGGATGATAGACCGACCAACTGACTGACGACTAACTCGTTGACAAACAATATAGATATGATACAGGTCAAAGAAACTTTAAAGAGTTTGGTAGATGATGGCGTTGTTCAGACTGATAAGCTTGGATCATCCAACTTCTATTGGTCATTCCCTTCATTCGAACTGAATCAATTGTTGAACCAAAAGGAAGAGTTACAAAAGGGTGTCGCCGATGCCAAAGCAAAGATAGAGAAAGAGCGCGAGCGTATAGAATCATTGAAGATAGGTAGAGAGCCAACTGTATGTATATCCCATTGTCCTTCAATCAATCAATGAATCAAGTACTAACAATGAACTGGTTGAATAACAGGATGAGAGAACAAAGAAACTTGCACAACTTCAAGAGTTAAAGGATAGGGAGGCACAGTTGAAGGAGGAGTTGGCCAACTTTGCTGATGTTGAGACTATAGAGTTGATGAAGAAGGAGTTGACAGTGGCTGTTACCGCTGCCAACAGGAACACTGACAACATCGACGCACTTAGAGCCTACTGCGACAAGAAATGGAACATCACTAGAGATGACTTCAACAGAAACTTCCAGATCGATCCCAACATGGAGTACCTGGACTTCTAAATCCGCTCCACTCCACTCCTAGACGACAAGCGACCAAAGACGACAAACGATCAATCATTAATGTATATAATAATAATAGTTTAGACATATCATATCGACCACCCGATATGTTGTATTGTAACTCCTCTTATCCTATCTTATATCCATTGCCTTTTGCCGGTCAGGATGTTGTGCAATAGACATCTAAAGTCGATGTCGACAGGGTTGGGGAGGAAGTTGAGAAGAAGAAGATGAAGGGGCTTAGATATCTGGACCAACAGTCGACTTTTGGACAGTGCTCTGGAAGACTGGCTCAACATATTGGACGGTGACCTCACTCTGTACAGCCTTCTTTGGCGCATAGAGTACTTCGATGGCAATGTAGAGCAGACATGATGGAACGACGAATGAGTTGACAATGATGACGTTCTGGATGTAGTTGACATGTGGTCCGTAGAGGAATGCTGCGGCCGAGGCGATGGCCTGGACAAACTTGAAGACGGCGGCGGCAGACTCACCCTTGGTGGGGTAGAGTGTGCCCAGCAATGAGTAGAGCAGCGTGTTGTAGCCAGCGTCGGCGATACCCATCAGACCGGCACAGACTCCGTACAGGATGACCTTGTGCTCCGAGATGTGATAGTCGATGATGTATGAGAAGATGGTACCGCCCATGCAGGCCATGGTGGCAACGATGATCAGTGACTTCCTGCCAATGATGTCTGACAACTTGCCGATGAACACCGAGCCCAGCGCATCGCACACACCAAACACGGTCATGACGTAGCCCATCATCTCCTTGCCGATCAATGGTGGGAATGCGCCAAAGAAGAAGGCCTGGCTCATACCACTGTACAGCAGAGCAATGATCAACATTTGTACAGGTCTCTCCTTCAGGATACTGAATGTCATCAACAGTCTGTCCTGGAATGGCATGGCCTCCTTTGCCTTATCATTCTTCTTTGAGCCTGGGTTTCCAATCAACAAGAAGATCAAGATTGACGATGCACAAGCAATTGTCAAGATGATGAACAGAGTCCTGTCCGAGTATGCCTTGAGAAGTTGGGCAGTTCCAAGGTTACCAATGATCTGATTGACTTGGAACAAGGCAAAGAACTAATTGAATGATTGGAATGATTCCAATGGTGGATTGGGTTAGGATCCATTCCACTGATGAGGGTCGGGCGGTCCATGACATGGATACATACCAGTCCAGTGTGGAATCCAAGGGTCTTCTCGTTGGAACAACGAATGACAAAGGCACCTTCGGCAGTCCAGAGAACAGCAGCACCAAATCCAAGTAGTGCAGAGGCTGGATATAGGATGCCTGCATTTGTATAGATGTTGGCAGCAATGTAGGTGACATAGGTAACAGTACCAAGGATCAAAGAGAGCTTCTCACCGAGCTTTAACACAATCAATGGCGATACAAAGTTTGACACTGACAGACATGCGTATAATATAGACAACGAGTCCGATCCCATTGTCTGATTAATAGTAGTCTCCAAGTTCTACATTGATCGAACAAGCGTTAGTTAGTGATGTAGTGTCATATGACTTGATCGATCAATCAAACACAACAACATACTTGAGTTGGCGAGAAGGCAGTGAACATGACACAGAATGCAATACCAAGGATGATGATATTGTAAAGGTTCTTGTCTCTTAATGGTCTCTTGCTGTCATCACTGTCGTCAACCAGCAATGGTGTTGCCTCGTTGTCATCTGGATGACAATTGACTGCCAATATATCTGTGTGTTCACCATCCATCGTAGCCATTGATATTGAACTTTATACAATTAATAATATTATTACGTATACTAATGATTGTTATTGGTTGATGTTGTTGATAGAATAGAATAGAATAGATAGTATTGTTTGTTTGTTGTTGTTGACAACAATCGTGATACCATTGTTGTTGTTGAGATGATTTGAATGAAGCGATTGGTTATGTGTGTGAGTGTCGGTATGTGGGTGTGTGGGTGATGGAGTGGGTGTGATAGATCAATCAGTTGTCCTTGGTCTTCTGGAGGACGCCCTGCAAATGGAGTTGATTTTTCAATTTTGCTCGATACCATCCAAACAGATATTATTTGTTAATGTTGGGGTAAATACTGGTAATGAGATAGAAACATGATCATGTGGTCCATTGATTGTTGTTGTTGTTGGGTTTTACCCAATACCATGATATCATGAACATACACATCCGCGTCCTAACTTACATCTCTAAATATCCATTATTATTGTTCAATGGTCCGAAACACTAATAACAACAAAGTAGTATACATGTAATTAGCTAGGGTTGTATTTATGTATTATAATACTAGTTAGGGTGATTATATTTATATATAAATGAATGAACAGAGGAAGGAGGTAGAGACTCACACTACAACACTACCTTATATCTTTACATAGTTGGCTGGAACTAGACCACGCTGACCATGTATCTCTCCTTCCCACCACTCACCATCCATCTTGAAGATGGTGATCTGATCGCCAGTCTTGAATGTGAGCTCTGTCGAATCAATGCCTGTAAAGTCGTAGATGGCCGTGGCCTTGACCTGACCAGTGTTGGCGTGCTGGTAGGCGGGGTTGGCCGAGGTGACGGTGCCCAGACTGCCCGGACCCTCGCCCGGCTGACGCACCTCCTTGATGTCCTTGACCAGTGGGCCAGACGCCGTGGAGTACTCTGGTGTCGACTTGGTTTTGATAGAGGCGTTGGCCTTGAACGCTGGATCATCTCTAATGTTTATCGATGCTGACGAGTGTGTTGGAGGAGTAATCACATGTGGATGATCCTTGCCCGATTGATCATTGATCTGTGCCACCATGCCTGGAAGATGGCTCCAATCATGAGCGATACCTTTATAAAGTTCCTCTTGTGATTTGATCAACTATAATGAGTGAATGAGTATATGTTAGAGTGGCGTCATGAGGAGGGGAAGGTGGTGTTTATACACATACAGCTGCCAAGAGGAATCTAAAGTACACGTTCTTGTCCTCGAACAGTATGGGAAGGTCTCTGACCAACTCTGCGTGCAGGGCATCATATCCCTCTTTACATATTCTATATTTCTCTTCAGTCTATTGTTAATTGGAACAAGTAAAGTTGTTAGTCACAGGTCACACATGCACAATGAACTTACTGCTGCTAATACATACTGGTCCCAACTTATTCTTTGATGTGCTAGAGGTAGCCTTCTCACGTAGCTTGCCCAACTCATTCTTGTAACGATCCATATCAACCTTTCGAGTTGTGAGCTCCTCCATTCTCTTCTTGACCTCCTTGAACTGTGAAATGTACTCGGCCAGGGGCTTGTGGAAGCTCTCATTCATGCGCTCCTCGTAGGTCTTGCGATGGGCATCGTTCGACTGCGACACCTCCTTGATCTGACTGCCTGGTGTGAACAGGGGGTCGGTGGCTTCGTAGAGGTCGCAAGTGTCGGCTGATATATCGGCCATCGTCTTCTCGAGGTCCTTGTGGAGATCGATAATCTTCTTTGAGTTCTTTTGAATTGCGCAATAGACGCTCCTCCACAGAGAGCACCTTCTCCTTCTCATAGTGATAAGTGACATCGATAGTTTCGTCTGACTGTCCAGTCTTTGACATCAACTTCTGCTTGGTCCTGGCAAATGATGTTTTGAAGTTATCCATTGTTTATGTTATATGTTATATTTGTGTATTTATTTGTAACAGTTGTATGAATATATGTTGTTATAGATATATAGGTAGTATCTGTATGAATAGAATATATGTGAATGCGGAGAATGATAGTGACGAGACGTAAAGTGTGTGTAAATGAATCAACTTCAATGTATGTGTGGTGGAAGTTGTTGTGTGTATGTTATTATTTGTTGACACCACACACCACCTATAACCCACACATTTTGATTTATTTCAATTAATTGTGGATCGTGTAGATCGACTCAAGTCTATGAATTGGCCTGGGTTTGGGAGAAAGTCCCATTGCGTCATTATTCAAACACTATGACCTTATCACTGATGTCAAAAGAGATAACAGTTACATTGAGACAAGTCAATGTAACTAGACAAGTTGGAATACCTCTATCTCTGCAACTGTGAAGTTTTTGGTGGATGCAAATGTGGTGCTGCCATGTACAGTTGTGCCAGAGTATGAGTAAGGGAAGTTTTGGTAAGATCCTTGGTTGAGGTTGCTGTTGTCAGAGACATGTATGTCATGGCCGCCTCCAAAAGTTGGTCCATAAGGTGGATTGTTGTAAGTCGAGCAGGTACTGCTGGAGCATGGATATTTAACTGGTTCAGAATTTCTTCGACTATTCACCAGAGAGAACAAGAATGCATTGGGATCAACTCCATATGTCCCAGCTGAAGGGCTTGACCAATTGGTATCTGTCTTTCCTCCAAATATACTTCCATCGGTTGATTTGATGATAGACACAGTCGGACCATTGTTGTCACACTTCTGGTGGAACATGCTTGCACCAAATCCATCTCTGGTGGCCTGATACATGTAAGGTTAATTAAGGAAACTCAATAGATCATCATGTTCATAATCATACTCTGTACATAAGTTTCATCTTTGAGTACTTGTTATTGCACCAATCCAAAACTATTCTTTGTTGATTAGAAGTAATCATAATACTCTCTGGTGCTGTAGGTTTGATTGAGTAGAATCTCATCTCTTCCTCTACACAATTAATCAAATCATTGGGTACTACCAACTTGTTTCCTCTTAGATGGTTCAATATATACATGAAGTGAGTACCATCCCTTGGAAGATATAATTTGTATACATATTAGTAACAATGGAGCAAATTGAAGACTCACTTCAGGAACATACCTATCAATGAAGTATGTGTTTGTTGTACCATCCATGATCTTAGGCTTGTAACTCTTGGAGAACATCAGGTCAAAGTATGACCCTTTCACTGATCTCAATGTCTTGATCTCCGTCTTGAACACTGTTCCACCAACATCCAATATAACAATGGATGATTGTCCATCATCCAAGTCATCCTTCTTTGGTTCATGTGATTCATTGAACTCCTTCACAGCCTTTTCTATTGATGCGAGTACGTTATCACAAGCATCCGTAAAACGTATATTATAATTATTATACATTCTAATTGATATATACTATATAAGTAATAATTGAATGAATGGAGGAGTGATTGATTGAATGAGTGAGTGATTGATTGTTGGAATGAGTGAGTGGAAAACTCATCTTGGGTTTAATTTGAACCCAACACTCTCATTCATTCAATCTATCCATCAATCATCATTATATATATACATACTAAAATACTACTATACAATGGAAGAAGTAAAGGAATATATGAAACAGTTAGAGATAATTGTAAATGACTTTGAAAAGGTTACAAAGGAGAAGAACGAAGAAATTGAGGAGACAGACAAGTTGAGAGAAGATAGATTGAAGAAATTCCAAGAACTAATGCCTTCGTTGGAGAAGACTCAAGTGTCATCGCCAATTACATTGGACGTTGGTGGCATACAGTTCAAGACCTCAAAGGAGACACTGCTCAATGCCAAAGGATCATACTTTGAGATATTAGTACAAAATATGATGAATCGTTTATCAGAGACTGTTGGTGATGATGAGAATGAACAACAAACAGACTCTGCACTCTATCAATTCATTGATAGGTAAGTATCACAAATTAGTATTGATTGACATTAATTGATTGATATACTAATTCAATGTTCATACAGAGATGGAACACACTTTAGATACATTCTCAATTTTATGAGAGGTATACCAGTAGTTATACCAACAAATATCAAACCAATATTGAAGGAGGAGATATCATTCTATGGTATTCAAGGCATGGATGCTCTTGTAAATTAGTCATTATAATGGAACATAGAATTTAATTGTTTTAACTTTGTTATGATCTGACAATTAGTTTGAATACCTCTATATCTGTCACCTGGAAGTATCTGGTGGATGCAAAAGAAGTGAATTCTGGTCGAATAGAGTCATTGTATGCTTGTCTTGACTGAAATGAACTACTGTTGGCGTTGCTGTTGTTACTAATATATATATCATTTAGACCAAAGGCTGGACCAGAATTTGAATCATTGTAAATTGAGTAGATTGGTTTAGATACACGATATTTCTTTGGTTCTGATCTTTGTCTATCATCCAATTCATCCTTATACTCTAGTCCCAACTTGAATTCCTCAAGTGTATTTGAAATTGATTGTTTGGCAAGGGTTCATACATCCTTTATTACTTGTGTATTGCTGTCCATATATATATATATATAACTAGATAGATAATAATTAAGTATATATTTGAATTAAAGAAGGCTCCTTTCCATTTAAAACTTTGACCAGATACTAAATATAATAAATCAAAAACATATTTCTTTTCCAAGTTAGAATGGAGGAGGCTAAGTTATATTTAAAACAATTGGAGTCAGTTGTAAATGACTTTGAGAAGGTTATTAAAGAGAAGACAACCGAGATCGAAGAAAAAGACAAACTACGAGAAGAGAGATTGAGGAAATTCCAAGAGCTCTTACCAACAATAGAGAGGACACAAGTATCATCCCCTGTTACATTGGATGTCGGTGGTATCAATTTCAAGACCTCATTGGACACACTACTCAATGCCAATGGATCATACTTTGAAACTTTAGTCCTGGAATTCAATCTTATAGGTCCAGTAGTTGGTGAACCAGAGTATAATAATAACAATTCAGATCCTCTACCTCTTTATAAATTCATATGCAAGTATGGTTGAATGATTGATCGATTATCCAAACTAAAAATATAATCATCTTCTTAGGGATGGCACTCACTTTATATACATTCTCAACTTTATGAGAGGTGACAATATTGTCATTCCCAATAACATCAAGGAAGCACTCAAGGCAGAGATCACACATTATCAACTTCAAGGCATGGATGATCTTGTTAAATAATCAATGTGGTCTACCGAGTTCGTTCAATAGTTTGAATGATAAACTTCATAATCATCATAACGTCCAATTATAATTATAATACAGTTATGATATATTATGTTTATAAATAATACATATTTAGTTGTAGAGTGGTATGTATATAGACAAACTATCAAGAACATCTGGTTAATGTATCAGTCAATGTCGTTAACATTTGGTCAATGTCATGTTCTCTCGTTTGTTGACATTGAGCGCAGATCTTTGTACAACACCCCAGCATAGAATATGTTTCGCTCTACTATTACAACCCCATCTCCAACTACAAGTAATCCAACAGGTGTGTAAAGGTGGTTGGAAAGATCCGTGTGGTTGTTGCCATGAGTGTATGAGTGAATGAGTGAATGCGTGAGGGGGAAGTGTCAACCGACTAGTTTCATTGTGTGTCTGAATGAATGAATGAGATTGTGCACTGACTGGACCTGCCTTTGAGATCGGAGCCTCTCTCTATCATTAACTACTATTATTATTACTATACTCACCAATTCATCTCATTCATTTATTCAATGAAACATAATAATAATAGATATTATTACTAGACTTAATATTTGTACCTTTACCTACCTGTTTGATCAACTTTTGATCATCAATAATATACTCATTAATCAAACAATCAAACGCAATCAATCAATTCAATTATTACAACCTGTACAAAGAATATATAGAATATATATAGATATATATAAACAACAAAGAATAAACAAACAATGATACCAGTAGATGATAATGAACATGAACAGATGGTTCATGATGCAACCAAAGTAGCCAACAACAACAACATCAATAATAGCAATAGTAATAATAATAGTAATAGTAAACATCATCACAAGGAGCATATGGTACTCTTTGTACATGGTCTCTACGGTGCACCAACAGACTTTACCAACTTGTCTTCGCAATTGAAGAAGAAACATCCTGATATCAATATTGTATGTTATAGTCGATCACCTGATCACCTGATCACCTGATCACTCACTAACTTAATCAATCGATCAAACCAAACACACAGCAACTTAGTGAGTCAAACTACTTCTTTGGAGCAACTAGACAGGGTATTGATACATGTGGAGACCGTTTGGTATCAGAGGTATGTTTGACAATGATGAGATAACAAGATCGATTGCCAACCTAACACGTGATCACCAATACACTTAGATTCTTAAACTCACCGAAGAGCACAAGCCAAAGAAGATATCTATTGTTGGACATAGTCTTGGAGGAGTGATTGGTCGATATGCAATTGGCAAGCTTGAGGAGCAGAACTACTTCAATGAAGTCAAGCCAGTCCAGTTCGTCTCATTGTCATCACCACGTAAGTTGTCCCTCTACACATGATTGATCATCACTCACTGACACGACTACGCATTCACAGACTGTGGTAGCAGAAGACCACCCAATGGATGGTTGAATAGGATCATCTCAAAGTACACAGACACATTTATATCGACCACTGGCAATCAGCTGATGCTGACTGACGATGAGAAGGATCCACTGCTCGTTAGGTTGGCCAACAAGCATGGATCGTATCACAAGGCCCTGTCCAGGTTTGAGAATCGCACACTCTATTCAAACATTGAGAACGACTTCCAGGTGGTGTTCAACACGTCCAACATCTCACACAGGAACCCATACACCAAGGGCGACTTCCCAATGAAGTTCTCTGAGCGCTACAACCACTTGATCGATCCAGAACAGATGCCCCAGTTTGAGCCACTTCCCGTTGAGAAGGATCCATTTGCCAACGATGAGAAGGGTCAGCAACTCAAAGACATCCTTTCAAACCTCCAATCATTGAACTTTACACGTTATCATACTCATTTCCCCGATCGGTAAGTCATCAAGATGGTGATCATCGTTGTTTGGATGTTTGGATGATGGATGGACACTATAACTTACACCTTCTCCTTCCTTCATTCCATAATTCCAGTCTTGCACACACTCATATAGTGCAGAAGAGAGAGTGGGTCAATCAAGTAGGCGCAGATGTAGTCAATCATATTGTTGATAACATCGTTGTTGATTGATTAATCAGTTGATCAATCAACATTTACATAACATACACACATACTCTAGCCTTGTCAATGAACATGTTGGATGATCTTGGGATCGTGTAGCACACACTTCCAAACAACAACCAACATCGAGACTTATTGAAAGTACATTCCATGTCATGCAATGCTATGCCATGCTATGCCATGCAGATACCGATTGTCTACACACCTACGAACACATATTTAGCAACATGTATTACATCAATGTACCATTAAAACGTTGTTCATTCTTTCAATCATTCATTCAATCATTCAGTCAATCATCCAAGTCATCAACACGACTTACAGACAAGTTTGATTGGTCGTCAGATGATTTGATTGGACGGAGTGGTGTTTGTGATCAAAAAGGACACGAGAGATATTTTTGTTTGTGTGAAGGGTGTGGCCCTTCGCATAATTAAAGTGATTGGAGGGTCCTTTCACTTGATCAAACACATCAACAACTTTTGATTTCACCAATGGGCGTGTTTGTTGGCAGTTGGTCCATCAATGGATCGATGGCGCCTATCTGTTAGGGGTCAACTCATCATCATCAATCATACTCTCTCAATCAGAGACTGGACAAACGATAGGGTAGGGACTTGGACTTGATCACTTTGTAAATGAAACAAGATTTATAAATACAAATATAGATAAAGATACAGATACAGATATATAATCATAAAGATAAAAGATAGAAAATGAAACAGATGTTCACTATTGTGTCCATCACAATCATATTAAATGTGATGATGATGTTGATGTCAATTGGAAGTGTACAATCAGTACCAATCGCACAGTCGTGGACTGGATTCACAGATAATACACAGTTTGATAATGTTAGCAATTGGAATCCGAATGGTCCACCAGCTGACAATGACCTAAAGCTCAACTTTGAACCAAATCCAACATTTGTAATCAATACTCCAATCTTCTCATTCAACGCACACTCTATATTGGTGTACCCACCCATCAGCGTCGTCCAACAAGGTGACTTTAGCGTCGACACCTTCCTCACCAACAACGGCACATGGACATCAGCCACCGGCAACATCGATGGTGTCGACGTTTCAAACAGCTTCAACATGAACATTGGTGCAGGCATCACCACAACAAGACTCTACAACTACAATGGTGGATCACTCAAGTTCAGGTCCGCATGTAAGTCCACGCCCATCCCCCACTGGAATCATTCCATCGACTAACACATACTCACACACAATCAGCTGCTACTGACGTGTATAACTATGGCGACATTGATTGTGGAGCCAAGCTGGAAGTCAAGGGACATATTGTGTCATCGGGCAAGATGTACTTTGACAAGGGTTCATTGTTTTTGGTTTCTGGATCAGTTGGCAGCTCGTTCACTGATTATGCCAAGGTTGGCTTGAATGCAACAATGACTGTAATCAAGGGCCATACAATCAATTGCAAGGATAATGCAAGGATCGTTTCGGTGGATGGTAGTTTTGAGTTGCGCCAGATCACCACTTTGAACATGGAGGGTGCCAGCTCGATATCCATGGGTGGCACGACCACAACCTTTGAGAACTCTGTGCTCAACTTGAAGAACAGTGCATGTCTATACACTCTGTCTCAATCCGTTGACATTAAGAACACTACCATTACACTCAATGACAATGCCAACTTCACTCTACGTGGACAAGTCAACGCTGCCGTCACACAAGGATCATTCAACCTCAAAGACTCATCCCTCTTTGACGTATACTCCGCCTCCGTCATGACTTTTGCCGACTCTCTCTCATCATTCAACTTGTCACAGACCTCCAAGCTAAGCCTCAATGCTTCATCATGCATTGCATGTACATTCCAGCTCTATGTATGTTGTCTTGTCCCCTTGCCCTGCCTCACCCTGCCATCACTGACCCCTCCCCATAATTTAGGACGACTCAAGGATAGTGATCTCGGAATCATCCCACCTCACATCAAACAAATCAAGCATACTCAATGGAGGCTCGATGATCCAGGCCTCTTCAAACTCAACAATCAATGTGTACACTGATTGGAGCATGCGTGATAGTTCTCAGATTCAAGTGTCGGGCTCAATGTTGACTGTAAGCGGATCATTGTGGACTAATGGAGACTCCAAGCTCACCATACATGATGGATCTAAACTAAAGATCGACGGTCAGTTGACACTACAATCAGGCGTATTCTCCATTGCCAACTCATCAATGGTTATTAGCACCGATGCCACAATACGCATCACCAACCAGACCATCATCGACAACAACGTCAGCTTGGAGAACAATGGTACCATCCTACTTCAAGCCAACATCAAGGTAGAGGATACTCACAGTGGTCCAACCCAGGTATGTACTCATTCATTCAATCAATCATTCATTCATTCATTCAATCACTGACTCAATCAATCAATCAAATAGTATTCATCATTTATCAATAGTGGAAGAATATCTGGAAATGGAACTATTCCAATGAATGTTCTAAACACTGGTGTGATTGGAAGCACTACATACCTCTTGGACAARGTTCATCATTGATGGTAACCTTCAGCTCAATGACACATCAGTACTCCAACTCACTCTCCTCTCATGGACTGATCACTCAAGCTGTAAGTCCTTCGATGTGACACAGATGCGCCATCCAGTGATCAATCATTGCTAACCCATACCATATTCAATCAATCATGAAGTGAACATCACAAAGAATATTACCAAGGCAGGAACTATCAATATTAAGGTAAACTCATTGATGATGGACATTAGCAAGGGCAACAGCAGTGTTACTTTGGTAACATTTGGAGCAAGTGCTGGCGGTCAGTTCGACTCGGTGAACTTTGTCTACTTCAATGCGCAGACAGGCACAGTCGTACCCAAGCCAACATGCCAGTTCACTCACAACACCACCGAGACAGGCAGTATCACAATCTTCCAAGAGTGCATGGCACCATCTACTACAACAACCGGCGCATCAACAACTACAATGTCCACGACCACCAGCACCACATCTACAACCGATGGCACACCAGAGCCTACACCAGCACCACCTGGCAAGAAGGGATTGGGACCCGGTGTCACTGCCGCCATTGTCGTAGGAGTACTCGTAGCAGTAGTTGTCGGCGCAGTCATCGCATCGATCGTCATCTGGAAGAAGCGTTTCCCAGGTACCAGCTCATCAATAGAGATGCATTAAGTTTTAAAAGGTCTCCGTCCGAGGAGGTTGCCCAATCATACAATCATACATTCATTCATTCTTATACTTAACATTACGCTCTTGCACAAATATCATATACATATCATATAAATACATAAACATAACAAACAAGTTGTACTCTACTCTACACATTCATGAACACAAGACAACAGACTTAGCGAATTCAGAACTAGTGGTGAAGAGTTCGAACTTTCAAGAAGTTGGGGTTTGGGCTCCAAGTTTCACTCGGTCGTTTTCACAACACCATTCGTCAACTTTACAAAAAGAGATAAAGAGATAAGATATAAAGAAGAGAGAGAGAGATAAAGAATGCCAAAGAAGAAACAATTTAGACCAAAGGTCTCAAAGAAGTTGAGCAAGAAGTATACTACACATAGGTTATACTACAGTGATAATTCATCAACATTCAATGCATTGGACCCAAGGAAGAAGACACAAGAGAAGCAGGATAAGCTTCTCGAGATGTCAAATCAGTATCATAGAAAGTCAGAGAATAGAGAGAAACAACAAGAGAAGGCACAGAGAGATGAGATCATCAAGTCGTTGAAAGAGGAGGCTGGTGACATTGATATCAAAGACAGCGAGAACTACTCTGATCTCTATGAAGTGGGTCCATCTGCACACGATCTCCTGCTCTCAACATTCAAGAAGAGTAAGACTGCTACTGGCAATGGCGTTGGCAATGGTCGTGGTCGCGGTGGTGCATCAGGATCATCAAGTACCGCTCACACATCAAACGGCAATGGCAAGAGAAAGATCATCGATGACGAGGATGAGGATGAGGAAGATGAGGAGGAAGAAGAAGATGCTCAACCAGATGAAGAACAAGACAACAACAATGATATTGAAATCGAGATTGAGGATGAAGACCAAGACCAAGTCGAGCACGAGGATGATGACGAGGACCAAGACGTGGATGAAGATGACTTTGAGTTGGATGATGAAGAGGCCGAGGATGATCAAGACGATGAAGAAGATGATGATAACGAAGATGGTGCAGAGGGAGAGGATGAAGAGGAGCAACAGGAGACAGGAGAGTTTGACGACGTATATGGCACTAATCAGGAAGTGGTGGAAGAGGATGATGAGGAAGATGATGGCAAGGAAGATGGAGATAATAGGACAAAGTTAAGTGATGATTACTCTGCTCATTTCAATCAAGATGTATCGACGTGGAATCAACTTGAGGAGATTATCGAGGCTGGAAAGGCACTGAAATCAACATCAATAGAGGTTGAAAACTTTGGCGTGGTCACCTCCAACAAATGTCCACCAAGCACCGGCACCGCCATCACTTCGACCAAGAAGGCCAAGGCACCAGCCGTCTCATCACTTCCAATCCAGAAGGATACTTTTTATGAGTACCATGTATGTGTTTTATTCAGCTAGACATGGCACTCGTTCAATCATTCATTCAATCACTGACTCACTCATTCTCTTCCAGATCAAACACCGTCTACTTAAGGCATGGGCAAAGACAAAGAAGACCAAGGAGAATGGTATGAATCATCACCAATGGATGCTCCACATTAACTAACAAACATGTAATGTAGAGTTATTCTTTACGCCAATCCAGAAGCAACTATTCCCAATAATGAATGAGTATAGAGATCTATTATTCTCGGAGGAGAATCACAAGAATCACAAGAGTATATACCAACTCTATACTCTACATGCCATGAACCATGTCCTAAAGTATGTGTCCCGACCCTCACTCACAGTTGGATGTCAAGACAACTAACCAACTCATCTCATCCCTTCCCAGGTCAAGAGATCAACTTACACAAGATAATGGAATCACCAAGAGAGCTGAGGCCAATGGCGAGGTCATGTATGTAGTATATTATAAACGTAATCAAATGATGGACCAAGTGAACTAACATGATTGATCAATCACCCCCTCAAATATATAGCCCGGATATGAGACATCAAGGATTCACCAAGCCCAAGGTATTGATCATTGTTCCATTTAGGAATACAGCATTGGACATTATGAAGTTGATGCTCAAGTTGGTGCCACACGAGACACATCAACAGGTGGAGAAGAAGACTACTCTCATTGAGGAGTTTACTCATGCCGAGCGTCAACTATCAGCAGACAAACCTGCAGACTTTAGACATGTCTTTAGAGACAACATCGACGACTGCTTCAGAGTTGGTATCGGCTTCAACAAAAATGGCATGAAGCTATTCTGTCCATTCTTCTTCTCAGACATCATTATTGCATCCCCACTCGGTCTGAGACTTGTCGTTGGAACTGAGGGGTATGTCATTCAAACTCATAACTCAAACTCATAACTCAAACTGACAACCCATTATTCAACTCAAACTCATAGTGATGCACAACGTGACAATGACTTCTTGTCATCGATTGAGATGGTGATTGTGGATCAAGTCGAGACGATATTGCAACAGAACTGGGATCACATGAATATTATATTCGATAACCTTAATCTCATTCCAAAGAAGAATCACAACACAGACTTCTCAAGAATAAGGATGGCAACTTTGGAGGGCTGGAGCAAGCATTTCCGCCAGACACTGATGTTCAGCAATTTCCTGACACCAGAGGTCAACTCATTGTTCAACAGGCACTGCACCAACATCCGTGGCAACATTCGTGTGCGACGTATCAAGGATGGCGAGATTGCCAACATCATACCATCGTTGATGCAAACCTTCCACAAGGTGCCCATACTCAAGGAGCACAATGGCCAGGACGTTGACGCGCGCTTCGACTACCTGATCGAGACCATCTTGCTCAAGTTCTCCAACCAGGTCAGCGAGACCAAGAATGTGCTGATATACATCCCCAACTATTTTGAGTACATCAAGATTAGGAATTACTTCAAGAAGGAGGCCAAGTCATTTGTGATGTGCTGTGAGTACACTGCGCCCGCTGTCGTCACAAGATCCCGCGCCAAGTTCAGATACGGTGACCGCACATACATGTTGATCACGGAGCGATTCCATTTCTTCAACAGATATCAGCTGCGTGGAGTGAAGCATGTTGTGTTCTTTGGTCTGCCCAATTTTGCCTCCTACTACTCAGAGATCTTAAACATGGTGTCGGAGAATGAAGGCACTGTGATGGCATTGTACACACAACGTGATCGCATGGCATTGGAACGCATTGTTGGAAGCATCCGAGCAACCAAGATGTTAGAGAGCGACAAGTCCACTCATTTGTTTTGTTAACTAATCCAATAAAGTATACCTCCGGATAACATTGATGAAGTGCTCGATAGATGACCATAACTCTAAGAGGAGGGTGTCTTCAGTCATCGGTCATTTTATTCTGTTGCTTGGCTGTGAAGTGCTCCAGCTCCTCCACAAAGAATTTGTTTAGTAATTGTGACAGAGATATATCACTACGTTTGGTTGATGAAGTGATATGTTGCTCGATGATCATCAGCAACTCCTTGTTTGGAACATTCGCCTTGGCACCTTGTAATATGTCCAATCTATATCCTTGGTTCAACAACAAACTAAACTCCTCCAACATGTCAATATCTATAATGTGATTGATTGTATGTTAGTGAGTGATTGATCCTGGTCCGACTAGGATGATGATCCAACATACTTATGATGTACTCAAAGAACCTTGGGAAGAAGAATCCCTTCTGGAGATCCTTCTTGGATATGTTTGATAAGGGTAGTCCATCTTTGTCCAAATCCACCAAAGGTGGGCTTATAGTCAGGGGTCGACCAATTGATGTTGAGCCACTCTTTTGTATCTCGTAGACGATCATTTGGAATCGTGGTCTATAGTACTGCCAGTAACATTGATAGAGTACAGTCATCTCACCAACCATGCCCAGTCGCTCGTAGCATGCTGCCAATGAATCTATGCACCAGAATGTTATCTCTTGCTGTGTGAACGGTGCGAAGTATGGCTTAATCGTGTGGAGTGATTGACTTGTGGGTGGCAGGAAGTCTGCAAGTGGTATCGATATGAGCACCTCGAGCAGATATCGAATGGATGATTCAATCTCTGAGTGATTGGTCATTGCAATATGCAAGAACAATCTGTTTACCCACAAGTCGTCCGTGGGATCGAATGACACCATCCTGTTTCCAGGCAACGGCAACAATGTCCTCGTTGAGAAGCCAGAGAGTTGTTGCTTGATCTTCTTGTAGAAGCTCAAAGATGTTGAGTATGACTCCTGTTGTGGAGTGCAATGTTAGAATGATGTGATTGATTGAACGATTGATTAATTGATTGATTGGATACACGTACATAATAGTAGTGACAGTCTGCCAAGCTTGTGCTCATCCAATAGAACTCTGGATCGCTCCAGGTCTCGGACAGCTCCTTGTAGCGATCCTTCCAGGGGTCTTGATTGAGGTCGCTGTAGCTGTCCATGCATAGTGTCAGATAGCGAATGGCCTCATTCATCTGTTTGTTGTAAGAGATTGAGTTGTACTTGTCCACAAATAACTCGTTGGCATTCGAGTAGTACAGCACTTGATGTGTGAGCATGTATAATGGCACAGAGTTGATATCAAATATCAATGTGTTGTCTGTGTTGCCAACATTGCCACTGTTTCCAGAGTTACCAACACTCTCTCCTGTATGCTTCTGTGTGATTACCGTGGTACCAGTGATGAGGAACTTGAAGTAACGATAGGCACTGAGATAGAATGTTGTGGTGAGACAGTAAATGCCCAGCTCGATCTCATAGTCATAGTCGTGGTCGGCGTCATCATCCTTGTTCAATCGCTCAAAGTAATCATTTCGAACGTTGTCCACATTGTGCACGAGGTCGATTACCAGACGAGGCTTGGACGACGTGTCGCTGTCGGCCAACTGTTGAAGGAAGCGCTGAATGTCCAGCACCGACTCCATAGTGATCATTGGTCTCGTGACAGTGTATCTCCAACACAGCTCAATCAACTCAATCCTCTTGATGCCACAGTTACTCTCCTCAAACAACTGACGGTCCACACTGAATATCTCTGGCAGGCAGTACCAATTGATGATCTTTAGCAGTACATCACGATACATTATTGTATCACTCTTTCCAACATGATTCTGTTTGAATGACACAATTGATCGAATGCCATTGATCTAAGATTGAGTGGGATGGTTCCAACGGGTTAGGTCCTTGACACTCATCAATCGATCAATCAATCATACATACCCAGAGATTGGTATTCATTGGAATGCTCTTGGCTCGCATGAGAAGGTAGATGAGCATTGAGTAGCGTTGAAGTCCAATGTCGTCCAATAGTTTACAGCATCTTATGTAGACTGTGAGTAGCTCATCGGGTGCCTTTAGCAAAGTGAGTGGATTGAAGTGATCAAGCATGTATGACATCTGTTCATATCGATCAATGTATCCATTATCATTGTGATGTTGTCTCAAGTTGATCAACAGTGCTCCAATGTCAAACAAAGGTTGTTGTTGTTGTGTCGTCTGAGATTGAGTCTGAACATTGATCGTTGCATTATTAACAGCAGAGTAGTACTCTGATTGTTTGATATCGTTTGAAAGATGCTTGACAAGATAGTATCTAATCAAGTCATCATAATGATCATTATTCAGTCTGATCACATCGTTATGATTGGTTGATTGATTGATTGTTAGTGAGTACACTAAAGTTGGCTTATGAACCTCTCAACCTACAACTTCCAGTACAATGCCAGTGAAGCATCAGTGTCCCTTTCCAGTATGGATATAAAATAGTGATGTATCTATATGTCGCGACATGTATGTTAACTAACGTGTTGCGGCAGGGCTCTCAAGAAGAGGTGATTGAACATACTAACAGGTGATCTTGATGATCTTTGAATAATGATTGAGCTAATATACATTGTGTCTTTGCTTCATATAAGTTATAATTGAATGATGTCGTCGTTGTCGTAGTTGATGGAGGTACAACATAATACTGTGTTATCCTATTCACATAGTCATTCACTGTGAGCATTGACTCCATCCTATCCTATCCTACTATCTAGTTATACACATGTGCATGTCATCAAAAGACAACTTCATTTTGGGGGTCGAGTTCATTCATTCGATTCAACTCAACTCATTCATTCACGCACAGACAACTACAACTTTATTCTCTTTGATGATATCTCTATACAATGACCTCGAGTAGCTGATGTAGAGGTCAGTCTTGAAATTATTGAATGTTCTTTGAATTGATCGCCAGATGATATATAACCAAGTGCCATACTATCAGTTGAATGGCACCATACTAGTTCCACTACCATCCTACCATCCTCATTAGTAATCTTTGTTGCTGCTATCAATCCTGCCAATCTCTCATCTCCACTATATATTACATTATTTGACATATACTCCTCCTCTTCATCATCAACATCTTCTGCTTCTTCAACTTCATCTCCAACTCCAACAACTCTTTGTTGTTGTTGATGTTGTTGTTGGGACTTTGATGTTGTTGATGATAATGATGAGATATGTCCACCGAGATATGAGAAGCAATCCTTGTGTGATAGGAACTCATCCTCAAAGTATGACTTGACGGCAAGGTCTGCATATCCTTTGTCAACCATCCTCGCACAACACTCTTTAGCCATCAATCCTCTCATTATTTGTTCTCCAACTCCTGTTTGTTTGATTGATCGATCGAGTTAGTGCCATTGATTAATTGAATGACCATGAGTGATACCATACCAGTTGTACTACATGCCACACCTGGAATGGACAATGTTGTTGATGTACCATCACCTGATGAGGTACGCTTGATTACCAACTCATCTTGAGCCCAACATCCACTTCCAAATAAGGCAGCCTCACCAACTCTTCCAGGATGCTTCAATGATATGCCTCCACTCGATACACCAGCCGCCACATGTCCATTCCAATCCACAACAATTGCTCCAACAGTGTCATACATCAATGATTCATCGTCCTCAACGCCATGTTGAGATTCTTGATCATCAACTTGTTGTTCATTGTCATCATAGTAGTAGTACTGCTCATCAGTGTATTGTTGTTGATGCTTGGTATGTCGATGTAACTCTAATCGACTGTTATGATTCATGTAGGTGATGTTGGATTGTTGAGTGATCAGTGGATCACCCATCATCGAGTCCTTATCATATGTGTCCACACCATGATTGGAAGCCCACTCCTTTGCTCCATCGGCCACCAACATCAATGGTCTAATACGACCCAATGACTTATAATGTCCCTTCTCTCTCTGTTTCCTCAGCATTGCTCCAGCTGCCTTGATTGGATTGCACACTCCATTGACTGCGCCAACACCAGCCCAACATCCACCGCCACACAACATTGATGAACTTGATGATTGAGTTGCCAGGGTATATGTTTGAGTCCGATCATCATTGTTGAAGCAGTTGTTATGACATTGACATATGAATGACCCATCCATTATGCTTGCGTCACATTGTACTTGACCATCTTGGTTGAGACTTGATCCTTTGCCAGCGTTGGTGAGTGGGTCGTCTTCAAGTGACGTGATTGCCATCTCACATATTGTAACAGCATCCATGTTTGTTATACTTGTTGTTGATCTCATTGTCTCATTAACAGTTGACAACTGTTGTCTTATTGATGAATGTACTTGTTGAACAACATTCTTAAGACACGTATCAATAGATGCTCTATAAGCCTTTGTCAACTTATGTGAATGGAAGCCAGCGCCAATATGTATAGCAACAAAGAATGGGTATTGTTGTCCAAGTTGTTGATCGCTTATATCCATCTTTAGTCAGTTGATCGATTGTGTGAATGAATGAATGAATGATCACGTGATTGAATGATCAGCCAGTGCACCGACTCGACTGATCAGTCAAAATATGGAATACAGGGGAGAGCTTGAAAGGTGACCATTTTATTGTATAAGACCAATCATATCTTGATTGATCTTATCTTATCTTAACTTGTTGTTGATGTTGGTCCGTGCGCTGAGTGCGATGGCACTCTCGGATACACCGACTGATGGTGCTCGGTCACCTGGATACTGGACTATTATACAACTGTTGGCATTGAAACTATTTACATCGAGCAAACTAGATACTGTCAATGGATCCAATTCATTAGATCCAGTCAACTCGGCAATACTCCTAGTTATGTCGTCTATATTAATGTGGTCCATGTTTGAACTTAATTAATTTGTTGGAGTGATGCGAGGATGGATGTTAGGACGTGGATGTTGATGGATGAGTGGATGGATGGATGACATGGACATACCCAATGAAGATTGTGTTGCTTCGGAATGGTCTAAATGTGACGCAGAGGAAGCCTAGCATAAGGATTGTCATGGGTTCGGAAACACAAAATGTCGTCCAATATAAGAACCAAACCATGATGATGCGCATACTGTTGGTCAACAATATACCTCCAAGATATACAATAACAGCTGATCGCAAATATATGAATGCCTTCTTCTTTGTATTACATATAATACTTGATCGAGCATTACCAGTGAGTCTGTTTGATTGGCATGAGTGAGTGAGTGAGTGATGGAATGATTCCATATTTGATTGATGAACATACCTTGCCAATGTTATGTGACGCTCGAGCTTCCGCAGATTCTTGGTAAAGTTGGTAAAGAGTTTGGGCATCATGAAGAAGTAGAGTATCATTAGACTTAGGAAGTAATAGATGTCATTGTAGAAACTAAAGAATAGTAATACTGAGATGAGCATGATCATTATGACACCAATCATACGTGTCTCACCAACTGATATAGTGGCTCTTGTTATCTTCCAACCTTTGGACAACAATAACAGTGCACCAAAGAATACTGATTCGGCGAAAGAGAAGAACAAGTTGACCATGTACTTGATTGGAACATTGAAGTATCCTTCACTATCAGCAATGTTATAATATATATATGTTAACATTACCAATATCAAGCGAAGTAATACGACGAAGCCTGAGTTTGATTGATCGGATTGATGATCGTGATTGAGTGAGTGAGTGGAATGGTTCCAGATTGTGATTGAATGATTGAGTGATCCATTGTTTGATTGATTGATGTGAGTGATTGATTGAGCGAGTGGAATGGATCCATTGACATTTGGAGGGAATGATGTTAGTTTATGGAATGATTCCAGATGGACATCGGGCAAGACCTTGGACAATAAAATAACATACCAATGACATGATGGATGAAATTTACATGTTGTCTATGTAGTAGACAGTAGAGAATATAGAATGTAAGGAGGATGGAGAGTAGTATGATGGTTGAGAGATAGAGTGACACGAGTTGGATGGATCCCCGAGAGAGATGATGTCCACCAGGGTTGATGAATTGATAGTCCAGCGTCATATCGACACTGTTGGATGAGTTACACTTGAGAAGAATGAATCGATATAGGTCTGATGTGGTAATTGTATCAGAGTAGCTGAATGATTGACCAATGGTCATGTTCCGCACGACACATTCACCTGCAGCTGGGTTCCCACAGAGGTGGCTCTCGACATCGCTGTCGGACGACGATCCAATCAGACTCTGATAGTCATTGTCTTGGCACACCCATAGTGTAATGAATCCAAAGTTGATCCCGCCAGTGGATCCCGCCACGTTGTTGTTGTTGAAGTTGGACATGGACATTGGCATTGGCGAGTTGATTGTAGCATTGATTTGAAATGATCCACCACTGTTGAAGCCAAACCTGCTTATTAGATATGTATGTCCAGTGAATGTTATATCTTGGTCTTGATAAGTCATGCCATTGGCCAATCCAACACCGCCAATATATCGTTGTAGTGACATCATCAACAGAAACAATTGAAGTACCATTCGTCCATTATGTGCCACTCTCTTATAAGTGATATCCATCATATTTGATTGATTGATTGAATGATCGAATGATTGATTGAATGGTCAAAGGAGGGCTTATCCCTCCACACCATCACCTAGCCTCGACACTCAATCAGTCAAGTCAGTCAAGTCAGTTGGTCAGTTGGTCAGTTGGGATGGATGATTTAAAATGTAAATATACAATATTTTGTAAAGATAAATATGTTTGATGTGTGTAATTATATGTTTGAATGAATGTATTTGTATAAGTGACAATAAGGAATGTGTCCGTTCCTTTCTGCATCAATGTTGTTGTGACCCACCCAGGTTGGAAAAGCAACAACTTCCAACACCTTGCAAAGGTGTGAAAATCTGATAGCATCGCTGTGGTGGTCCCTACTTGCCTCGTGCGTGACTGATCAACCCTCGTCATGATACCATCACCTATTGTTGTGTAGCACTCACTCAATTTAGAAGTAAAGAGAAAGAGAACAAGAGAGAAAGAGAGAAAGTCTTAGTTTAGAGAGATAAATAAATACTCTTTATTGTACAAAAAGGGTAGGAAGTAGAAGGAGGAAAGTGTAGAGAGGGTGGCGGGCTGGTCGACCAGACCCAGACATCCTCCCTGCTGCTGTGTCTTTGATTGGGCGACACACGAAGGAAAGAAGGACCACCTTGGTGAGGAGGTATTTGGGGATACGTAGTCTTAAAGTAGGAGCAGCAAGACAACGCCAGCGCAGTTGTTGTTGTTGTTGATTATATATATATTTTTGTTTGTTTGATTATATAAGATATAAGATTGATTGATTGAATGGACGCGTTCCAGTATATCTATCTCTTTTTAGGTGGGATGTTATGTCCACCCTACATGTTGTTGCTACACTACATGGGGACGCTGATTTACCAACCGTGGTGGCCGTGGTGATGATGATGATGACCGTGCTCGTAGATGATGGTGTTTGGTGCCATATATCCTGGTGGGTAGACGACTGGAGCAACACCTGGGTATCCCATTGGGGCCATTGGTGCGACCATTGGTGCCATTGGTGCAACCATTGGTGGGTAGACCATTGGAGCTCCCATTGGAACCATTGGAGCTACGTATCCAGCAGGGTAGCCTGGTTGAGTGTAGACGACGTCATAGTGACCGTGATGATGATGATGATGACCCATTATTATATAGTAGTTATTTAGTTAGTTAGTTTATAATGTAGTAGTATATATATATATAATTATATATTTGTGTGTAGATATATTAAATTATGAATAGTGTGAATGATACAATTCGATGCGTTGCCCAAGTTATTATGAGCTTGCTTGTTGTCTGGTGTGTCACAAAATTAATTCATTTCAAAGATTGCTCGAATTGAGACCACTCCCCACCTTCCAAGTGCAAGACACAACTGCTGTGTCTGAAAGTCGTCCTGACACGCCGATGCACACGATGTGATTGAGCGCACCAGACTGTGAGAAAAAAAGGTGGATGAATCAGAACTTCGATGATCATCAGATATAATATGAATGGACGATTGAGTTTGTTTATTATTATTATTATTATTATTATGATTGTTGTTATTATAGTTAATTAATTATTTAAGGTTGTGATTGATGAATGGATGATGGATGGATAATGGAGAGTGATGATTGATTGATTGATTGTTGATGGTGATGGTGATGATGGAGAGGTGCTATTGTATACCAAGTCGAAAGACTTTAAATTTAGGCTGTTGTTTGTTGAGATTTGTTCTGTGGCTGTTGCTGCTGTTGCTGTTGCCTGTTCTGATTGTTGTAGCTGTTGTATCTACGGTTTTGACCTCGGCCGCCGCGACGATGGTCATGTGAACGGACTGATGAGATTCCAAAGGTTTCTTGGTCCAGCTTACGTTGGTCGTGAAGGGTGACCTTGGCCTTGCCCTCCTGGTTGTTCTGCTTGTCCAGGGACTCGCAGGAGATGTTGTCAAAGAAGCTCTTTGATGGCGTGTAGCTGGTGGACACGTGGATCGATTGCACACCGTTGATGATCTCCTCCTCGTCGTCCTCCTCGTGGTCGTCGACGTGCTCGTCGGTGCTGGCCAGCTCCTCGGCCAGCTTCTCCTTGTCGAACCTCATGTTGGACTCCTCAAAGTTGAACTCCTCAAGCTCCTTCTTGGGGCCTGTGGTCTTCTTGTACGTGCCTGGCTTGTTCTGGTAGTTGCCAGTGCCGTGATGGTGGTGATGGCGCTGCTGTCCTTGCTGGTTGGGGGAGTGTTGGTCGATTGGTTGCCGCTCATTGAGTGGGCGCCAGTGGCTGCTGCCACGACGCCTGCTGCGGTCATCGATGAGTCTGACTGAGCATTGTTCGACATCTGAGGCCTCTTTGATTTCCATCTGTTTTGTGAGTCCATAGCATTGCCTGCATTGCCTCTATTTGGCTGTTGCTGCTGTTGCTGTCCCTGTTGCTGTCCTTGTTGTCCCTGTTGTCCTTGCTGTCCTTGCTGCTGGTTGTTGCTTCTATAGTTGGGTCTTGGCTGTCTTGGCTTCTGATCTGATGTTGAGGAGGGTGCAGCGTTGTCGGGGATGGGAAGGGGTGCTGGTGGCGCCATTGGCTGTGGTGCACTGCCGGCGGTTGGATGATGGCTGCCGGTCTGTTGGAGTGCGGCGACGACGGCTGCGGCGGCTGATGTTGGTTGGGAGACTGGGGCGGCGTTGGTGGATGGGGCGATGGTTGGTTGATGGACGGCGGTCGCTGGTTGGCTGGTGGCGGGGGCTGGTGCAGAAGCGGCTGGTGTGGTCGTTGTTGGCTGTTTGTTTGATGATTGTTGGGTGGAGGCGGGAGTGGTGGCGGCGTTGGTCGATGGGTTGTTTACGGCGTTGGCACCGGCGGCAGGGGCGGGATGTTGTGGCGCATTGGTTGGTGGTGTTTGCTGATGTGGAGGCTTGAAGTATGGTGGCGTGGGCTGGTTGGGCATGCCCATTGGTGGCTGGTTCTGCTGGCCGGGATAGCCAGAGTAGTGTGGGAAGCCGTACATGTTGTAGTATGGGTTGTACATTGGTGGATAGCCCTGAGGGAATCCCGATGGTGGCATGCCGTACTGGGGAGGGTAGCCGCCGCCAAACATGTAGGGCATCTGACCGGCGGGTGGCTGGTTGGGCATTGGTGGGAAACCTGGGTTCATAGCGCCGTCGGGACGAGGTGGCTGGCCGGTGGCGGCTGGGCCGCCGGGCGCTGCAGCTTTGGACGTCGATGAGGCTGGTGCCGAGATCGTGCTGCTGGGTGACTGAGTGGTTGGCGCTGAGGTTGTGGCGGGTGCTGGGGTAGTCGTTGCGGCAGCCTGAGGTGCCTCATACACGTTCAAGTCTTGAATGTCGCTGCTCTTGAACACAATAAAGTCGAATATCTCTGTTGATGGTGCGATGAATCCACCCTCTCTCCTGTCCTCAGTTCCATATGACTTAACTTTAAGTTTGTTTGATTGATTGTTTGATTGTTTGTTTGATTGATTGAGTGAGTCGATTGTATTCTTGCGCGATCTAGTCTCACTCTCTTCATCACCAGTTATCATTTATGTCATTACCATTCTTAAGAGCGAGAGTGTTGTCAACTGGATCGATCGTGTAGAGGGTACCTTCGTACCTGATCTGCTTCTTTGTGATCAATACGATCTTTGATCCAATGAATTGAGTTGACATTGCTGTTCGTACTACTTCTTAATTTGTTCGAATGAATGTTTGATTGATTGCCTGATGTTTGCTTGTTTGTTCCTTTATGGTCACTGAGAATGTGTTGTTACACAGCTAGCTGAACTGATGGGGACTTGCTGACTGACTGACTGATTGACTGAGCGAATGAATGAATATGCTGTTGTATATCTATGTTTGAAGTGAGTGTGTGCGTGTGTGTGGGATGGTTGTTGAATGAACTTGGTTTGAAGTTGATGCATGACCGCCTTCCTTCAATTTTGTTGCTGTTTGGTTGTGAAAATAAAAAAAAGAATAAAAAAAATTAAACTCCTCCTTTCAATGATGTTCACATTCATTCTTGATCATTTTAAAGACCCAAAACTTATATCTTTATCATTGTATTTGTTAGTATTACAATACTATCATCATCATTATCGATTGAATACAATTCTTAGGTTCTTAACTATTTAATGTGTTTGGTTAACCTGTCTTTGAGATAACGAGATGTTCATCGAGATGGCAATCACTCTATTGTTTCAAAAAAGTCGTTGACTTCAAAATTTGAATTTAATTTGCAACATCATCTGTTGAGGTCTCTTGAGAAACACACTCTGAGTTTGTTTGTTGTTTGAAATGAAAGAATGCACTTCCCCAACCTCACACACTCCAACAAACACACAACATTCCCTACTCCTATCACTCACTCACTTCCCAACAAGACAGGTCAAGTCTAAGTCAAGTCTATATAGTCAGGTCTAGTTAAACATTAAGATATTACATACAAGTCAATCAATCAATCAATCAATCAAGACTTTGTCGCAAAGATAGTTGTAATCAGTTCAAACACACAGCATACTTGGAGCCTGTATGTCCCGATTCAATCGATCTCTTCAATCAATCATTTATGTAGTATAGTGTCGGTCGCGATTCGACACATACGCTACACGACTATAACATAAACAACAACGACAAAGAAAACAACGAACGACACAATCGAATCAATCAATCAATCAATCAACTTAATCTATTATAATGAGTCACCTACAGCAACAACAACAGCAACAACAACAGCAGCAACAGCAACAGCAGCAGCAGCAACAACAACAGATGATGATGCAACAACAACAGCAACAACAACAAATGTTACAACAACAAATCCAGAGACAACAGCAACAGATGCGTGCAAGCGGAGGCATGATGATGCCAGCATCGGCAGGTGGTGGCAGCTTCTTCAATCAACACTCACAGCCGCGACTGAAACGATACGAGTTGCAGCGACCGGATCGCAAGGATCTGGGTCCCGGCCTGGGTCCACCAGACTTCTTCCCTCTGGACTCCACCGCCAAGGAGGAGACACTAAAGGCCGACTACATTATCGGTGGATTCCAAGAGAACTTTGTCCAAGACGACACCAAATCATCGTCCGACGAGTTCAAATCCCTAGACCTATCCAAGCTCAAAGATAAGCTCCTTCAAGCAGTCTACGAGGTCGAGTGGAAGAAGAACTCCACGCCTCAAAAGGTGAGTATTTGATTGATTTATTGATCGATCGAATGATGGATTGACTAACATGCGCGTCGACGTCGCGAACCAACTACAGACTCCTCAACCGACAAAGGAGAAAGCAAGAAGGAATTTCCCCGAACAGATACCGATGAATGCAAAGGAACAGTGGGTGGCGCGCCTGGCCGGCAATGAGCCACTGCAGAAGATGACGGTGGGCGTTCCGCACGGCTTTAAGGGCGACGGCCTGATGAAGATGCTGATGGAGAATGAGATACCACTGATACGCGCGACCTGGTACATCAAGATCATCTATGGCAACATGCCCAAGAACAAGAATCAGGTGTGTCCATCCACGGATTGGACTAAGCTCATCGTGCAGTTCTTCTTTGGATCGGTGCGCAACCTCGAGAACGACCAGTCGCGCGACCCCTACGTCGACCGGCTGAGGAAGATGCTGTACCTCGAGCGATTGATCAAGTGGAGCTTCTACGAGTGTCTGCTCAACAAGGAGACGCTGCTGACGCTTCTCATCGACCAGCTGGACCAGGACACGGCCATCGTGCCCGGCCTGCTGCTCTTCTATTCAAACACAATGATGCAGTCCACATCGATGTCACAGCGCTTCCTGTTCAAGTGCCACGACAAGCTGACTAAGCTGACGGTGCAGATGAACCGCGCGCAGACGCCGTCGACTGGTGCCAGCCTCGCGCCGCCCCTTCCCTCCTTTGCCAAGGAGCAAAAGATCTTCTCCATTCTCTGTACAATCGCCAAGCAAATCTCCATCACTCTACCCGACGTCTTCCTGTCATTCAAGTATCACAAGGAGCTCGTATCATTCATTTGGCCCACAATCAACACTCTTGAGAAGTTGGAGCAACTAAATCAGCCACAACCATTTGTAAGTGAGGCGGAAGTGATCACTTTTGAATAGTTCCATCAATCATATTAACATTCGTTCAATCAATTAGACACTTAAACTTACAAACACACCGGAATATACATTCTTGAAGCGATACTTATTGGAGTCAAGTCAAGCGAATGACAGCAGCAACAGTAGTAGTGTGGGTGGCAGCGATGTGAGCCAACCTCAATCATCGACAAACAGGAAGTTCTTGGAGATATCAGACCTGATCGATGCATTCGATCGATTCATCTCCCACAACGACCTTGCCAAACTGTATAGCGAAGTGTTTGGCACATCAAACAAGACTTCATTGGTATGTGGACTGATTGATCACATCCATTCTCTCGCTCACTACTAACCACTCCATCAATCAATCAAATACAGGATGAGGACAAACAAAAGATATTGTTGGTGTGCGAGTGGGCTGTGACTAGCTGCAGGAGCTCCCCATTCTTACATGTTGTTGCCGCGTCTTTGCTGAGGCGTTATGCATCGGCAGGAGGTGGTGGAGGCAGCGGTGGCGGAGGAGGAGGAGGAGGAGGAGTAACATCCAACTATCCACTTCAGAGCATATTGGTTCAATTCTTGGATACACATCAGCCAAGTGGCAGCGAGCTTCGAAGCATTTGCAACCTGTTCTCCGAGTTGACACGCAACCAAGTGTTCTCACAGAACTCATACGCACGCTACCTCATCTCGAGGGGCACTCTTGAGCAAGTGGACGGCGATGCCGGCCTCATCAACAACGAGGCCTCATCATCATCAGCTGCAGCACTCATCATTGCCAACAATCACAAACTGTATCTTCGCGAGTTCCCAATCTTCAACAGCAATGACATACCGACCAATCAGACACAGCAACAGCGTAACCAGCGACGTACTATACTCGCGTCCAAGTTCACCGACAATGTCGAGCAGATGGAGTCAGTGCGCGACCTAATCAAACAATACCTGCACGATCACAACGATGTCATCAAGCACCACAATGTCATCAGCAAGCTACGTTCACTGTCATTCTATTATCTGACCTCTCTGACTGAGTGGCTATCACTTTGTATCCGTATACAATTCCAACAAACACAAGAGTATGTCATCCCATCCCGACTTGGCCCATCCCATCCCCATCAATCAATCACTGACACTCACTCACCCAATCACAGCATGATAAAGACAGCTTCCAGCTCTAGTTCAATCAATAGTGTGTTGAAGGGATTCCACCGACTGGAACTACCCTTGACAGAACATTATATATCTCGATGCTTTATGCTGATGGAGTCAATCAAGAGTTATAACACAATAGCGATGTGTCTTCTGACATTATGGTCAAACTTTGATCAGCTGGAAACATTGCATCGATTCATCATTGCGACCACCTGTCGTTTGGAACTCGTGTTCCTATACTCCTCAGACAAGATGACCCAACTACTCGATCTCCTTCATACCACCTCCACCTCCACTACCACTACTACGACGAACGAACAACCAATCAAACGAGCATACCTACTACATCTTCTCACCAAATATCAATCCATTGGCTCAGTGCATCAATGGACATCAATTGTATATAACAACATCAACAACAACAACAACAACGACGATACACAGCCACGACAGACTCTGAGTCTGGAGCGAGCCCAACTTGTAAGTACACCATTGGTCGAGGACTTCCGTTCACAACCATACTAACTCGCCTCACTCACATCAGACATCTGACGAATCGATGCTTGACAAGTCTGTGTTGCAAGGTCATTGCAGAAGTCTGCTGAATGACTTTATGCAACAACAGGTGGCAAGTCGCGAGCATGGTGCATCATCATCAGTCGACGACAACATACACATGAGCACTATTCAAATGTTAAGGACATTCGATACCAACATCATTCAACCAATGGAGCAATCCTTCACTCAACAGGACATTGCATCAGAGTTCATCAATGCAATTCTTGGACAACTTGAGTAAGTATCATTTGTCCTACCCCCTCCCCCAACATGGCCCTGACACTCTCCCCTATTCGCCATCCTTTAGCCAACCATTACCAATGCCTATCAATCGCATCAACCCGTACGCCACATTCCTCTCTTGCTTGTCTATTGGATATCCGGTGGACTTTAATCATCCAGAGTTGTTCTGCCGTTTGTTCAAGACCCACCTGACTACGTGGGTCCAGTCCGCAAATCAATCATCTCAATTGGCGACCTTGTTTGATCCAATGTCGTCACTATTGATCTCACTGGTCGTCATGCAGTACATTGACGCCAACACACTACTCTCTGTTGCCATCCTGCCAGCCATATCCACATTCCTACCACATGATCTCAATCAACAGGACCAACAACAACAGCAACAATATGATCCACAACAACTAGGCTTCATTATCAAGATGATACAGGTGTTGTTATGTTACAACAATTCATCCAATGCTGTGATTGAGTTCCTGCCCGTACTCTCTGTGATGGCACCGGACAAGACCCAAGCACTGGCCCAGCTCTTCCCCACGCTCTGCAAGCTCTACGACTATTTTGAGAAGAGCACAAACAGCAGTGGCAGTGGCAGTGGCACAACCAATGGACATGGTCACACTGGAAACGTTGACATTCATACTCAGTTGCTTAATGATATCAAGCTGATACTCACAGATGCTGACTACAAACATGTATTCTTGGTCGACTCACAACGACACATCGAGTCGATGAAGACCATGAACCTCGACCCCGTCACCAGTCGCTATCTATTCAATCTCATCATTGGCAATATCAAGATGACCGACACAACGACAACAACGGCCACTACATCATCATTCGACAACAACTCTGTTCAGCCAACATTCGAGCGACTGCGGCCAGAAAATGTCATCAACTATGCCTACCAGGTGATCAACAACACATTGTCAAACTCATTCAACTGCTACTGGTACATCCATCTCAGCTACATGGAGCTGCGCCTGCTGCTTGATGAGTGGCAGTCACTGCCACCAATGCAGACTACGCCGCCTATCCGCTCGCCATCTCAATCGCCACAGCTTGGCAATGCTATGCAGACGTCCTCGTCGTCGCAGACGTCCCCGGCCAACACACCCGAGTCCATCCTCACACAGTTCATCCTGTGTCACTTTGAGCAGAACAAGGGCTGGGAGAAGATCTTCCTTTACGAGAAGCTGTTCATCTACCTCCCACAGACTGTTCGCAATGAGTTGGTCAAGCTGACCACCATCATCATGGAGTCTCAGTACGAAGAGTCATCGTTCATCGCGCCAGAGTCCAAACTCTACCTCTTCTCTCATATCCTCTCCAATCTACCCGTTCGCAAAAGGTTCGTCAATCAATCGATCAATCAATCAATTATACTAACTCTGGAACTATTCCAATCCAATAGACCCAGCCAAAAGGAAAGGACGAACAACAAGAAGGATGAGTTGTTGTTGCAAAAGTCCTTCACAGAGTTGATCATCAATATATTGTCATCGTACGAGCCATCCAGCCCTCTGCTACAGGGCTTTGCCGTCTCGTTGCTCAGACAATTGAACCAATTCCTCAACAACACTCGGCTTTACGACGCGGTCAACCTGCCTGCCGAGCTGGTCGAACTCGTCCTCAACTCGTTGTCAATGCGCATCTCCTTCCTCATACCGCTGTGCAACACGATCAAGCTCGCCAAGACCGAGTGCAAGATTGAGGAGCTGTCCATCGCACTGCTCTCACTGCTATCGCGCTCGATCATTCAATCAGACGAGGAATACGACTTCTTTAACGTGATCCTCACGATCCTGGATCTATTGCTCTCAGACAAGTATGATCAGCAGGCGATCCAGCAACAGTTACCCGTCACACCGGTCCAGCAGCAACTCCAACAACAACAGCAACAACCATTGCCACCCGATCCCAAACCCATGATCAAGAGGCGCGYSSTCCATGAGCACTTCCAGCAGATCAAGGATCAGTTCCCCGCATACTATCTGGCGCGCATTGAGCGACAGATATCCTTCCTCATACCAGCCGTGCCACCCATTGGCAACTATCAGATCGTGCTGCCACCTCAATCACTGCAGAACCTTGGCACTTCCAATGCTGTCCGTCCTCAAGAGATAAAGTCAACGGTTGTGCAGCTTGATCCTTGGAATCTGTTGGAGGACTACGCCGACACACCCCTGTCGCCATCAATGTTTGGAGGCGTGCGTATGGAACGCAAGGAGCTCACGTACAGCAAGTCATCGTTCCCCTCCAAGGGAAGGAACATGCCGTCAGAGCCCACTTCGCCCATGTCCATGGACATGTCCAATCAAACAACGCCACCGTCCAACCAGGGCCAAAACTTTGGCAAGCCATCAGTCGTCCCGCCGCCAATGTCCAAGGACAGTCCTGCCAAACCCAACAGCAACAACAACAACTTGAAGAGACCCTATACCAACATGCAACAAGTACCAGCGCCTCAAACACAGACTCCACCAATGGTATCAACGACGACTCCAACAATGCCAGGGTCAGTCAATGCCACAACGCCACCATCGACTACCAATATCGCACCACCCAACTCTTCAACCTTGTTACAGCAGCAACAACAACAGCAACAATTCCAACAAGCGACCAAGAAGACAAGAGCAGTGTGATCATTCCCAATGTGTGCGTACTGGATTGTTTGGTTCAGTCGACAGTTCACATCCAAATGCATTGTGTGAAGGGTCGTGGACTCAACCAATGAACGGAGGTGGTTCGCTGAATTGATCAAACGAATAAACCCCCATACCTAAAAACAATCTAATTGAGGCCCAAAATTAATAATAATTTAAAAGGACACGCTGTGGTCATCTTTGCAAGGGATAGACCCCTTGTGGATGATCAAAGGCGATAAAAATTGATAATAATCATTATCAATAAACAACTCCTCATTCACTCACACACACGAAACTGAGAAAGGTTGGCATCCATACCATCAGGAGTGAAGATAGTCTATGCACACTCATTTGTGTTGATGACATCCTTCCATCCAGCCATCCATTCATTCATTCATCCATGCACCAATCCAAACATTAACAAACAAGGCTAGCCCTAAACAAGATTTATTAATTAATAGGTCACAACAATCATACAAATACTATCTGTCATCGTACATTTATATACATACAATCATTCATTCATACATACATACATACATACAAATGATGGATCCTCAACATAGAAATGACAATGGGTTGGAGATGCCAACCATTAATGATGGACCATCACCACTGAGGCGACTACTGATGGACCTCAACAAATACTTGAGTGAAGACATCTATGACCACATGAACAAGTTCGTTGGGAAGCTATTAAGGATGTATGACATGATCCTTTCATATATATCATCCACGTGTCCATCCCAACATAAGAGATTCAATCACAACCTGGAAGCTCCAACTCCAACTCCAACTCCTACTCCTACTCCAACTCAAACATCATCCCCATCCCCAACAACAACAACACCAACCACAACACCAAGACCAGGCCAAACGATTGGCCAGTCAGATGATGCTGCGGCCACAACCTCCACCACATCCAACTTTAATGAGATTCAAGTCAACTCACTGTGTAGAGCCAATAGTGGCAGTGGCAGTGGCGGCAAAGGCCTGTCCAAGAGTGCCAACTTCACCAGGATATGGCTGATAAAGGAGATCATGAAGACCAATGTCGACGGGCGATACCACGAGGAATCGTTGGGCGATATGAATGTCGAGGAGCTCGAGGAGATCCTCCACACCAGTCGCCATCAATAGACCTACTTGCCTACTTCACCAACCATCAATGTATGTATAACTCTTTGAGTCTCTTGAACCACTTCCACAACTTGTTACTAACTGAATGACTATCCACCTCCATCCATTAGTCACAAGCCATCTTCTCCACCATTTGTACATAAGTACCATTCAATCAATCATGTAGATTAGCAATAAATCGACTTAATGTCCAACTAAGCATCCCCATATATGCCTATCCGGCAGGGATGCGCCAGCGTCATCTATCCTTCCCCAAGTCTGTTTGTCATTGATTGATCGAGTCGAGAATGAGGTGATAGTTCGCCTCATGTTTATTTGTTGCCTGTCCGACCATCGATTGAGTCGCTTGCTTTCTATACATATTCGTCATTCGTTCATTGGTTCATCCTGTGGATCATGTCATCGTGATTGATGGTGTTAGTCATGAGATGTTTACACTGAGGTCGGATGCTGGCCAGCCTATCGCTCAAGGCCATACATGTTATCAGTTTACTTTGTTCTTTTTATCACTGCCACTCTTCTGTTTCTGAGTACCTTGCTTCTGTGTCCTCTTGTTGCCTTTATTGTTGTTGTCATTTGATACTTTCTGTTGTTGTTGTTGTTGCTGTTTCAGATCATCCTTCATCTTATTTACATGTACAGTCAACTCCCTATTGGTATGATCTTGTATTGAGTGTATCTCTTTGATCATTGAATGGAATGGGCCACCAATGATAGTCTCTTCGTACTCCTTTGTGAGTGACTCGTCAGATACATCTTGTTGCCCAGTCGATTGAATCGTCAGTGTCTGATGTACATCATCACCAGTATCATCTTCCTTTATCGATATAGTCGCAGTGATTGTCGTCATATCTCTCTGACTATATATCTTATGTACATGTTCTTCGTCAGTGAGTTCATCATCAACAATGAATATTCAAGATCAAATAGTTTGTGGGTCATTTTCCCAACTTCATCAAATCGATCAAACTCAAACAAAGTAAGACAAGGACAGGAAGGATACTACTTAGTTGACTGATCTTCTATTTGGTATTTATTTAAAAGACATAGTATACCCTAATACTCTAACTTATCAAAGTCTCATTTCCACTCTCATATTTGAATTGTTCATTTTCCATCACCAATCAGAGCTTATTAATTGATATTATTCAGTTAAGGGATTATATGAATATCAACAGACAGGACATATAACTAGTTGGGAAACCAACATACCTGAGTGAAGTGCAAAGATAATCATCGGATAGCGAAATCAAAGGGGTATGTCCCTTATTTTGGTGATCATTTTGGACAACTCCCGACTTTCAGACAAAACACGAAACGAGGTGATAGGCTGCCAAGTTGTTCATCAAAGGTAACAAGTCAATCAAAATCAATCATATCACCAAGTTATAACCTATACATTACCTTTGAGACATCGGAATAACCCTTCATTGTTGGGTCATATTTATAAATAGACTTATAACTAAATATCCTAATAATATTAGGACTGGATTAAATTAATTAACTCATACCGCAACATATTATAAATAGGACCTATTTCCAGCTTTAATAATCATTCGATCAAATATTAAATTATTACTTTATCAATTAATCAATCAATCAATCAATCAAATACTAAAATGAAGTCCTTCCAAATTGTTGCAGCTTTGTTGCTGATCACCGTCGCATTGTCCCAAGCCAGAAACTCCTACTTTGTCTTCACTGATGGTGTTGATGAGTTCACCATCAAGTTGACCGACCCAACCAACATCCAACACGCACGTGACTTGATCACCAAGGCCACCACCGAGAGACCACACATCATGGGCAACGTCATCAAGGAGGCAGCCTTCTACAACTACGAGTGGAACTACCAACTCAACACCACCACCATCAAGTTCTTTGACTTTGCCGCTGAAGCCTGTGACGCCTCAATCTCCTACGTCGACGAGCACCTCGCCGAGGTTGGTGGTGAACTCCTTCCAGGTAGCAAGTGGTGCCCATGGAGATCCCGTTTGGTCCGTGAGCTCTAAGTCCGCCGTTCGCCAGCCCGCCAGCGCACATCCAATAAACTTCACTCTGTATGAATCAATCATACCATCCATCGTTTCATCGATCAAACCTCCATACAAGGAATACTTTACTTTATTATTATTATGCCTCTGGATGCACAGGGAAGTAGGTCTGCAATAACTTGCCATAGATCTTGTAGTCTTCAGTGGTGAAGACACAGAAGATGATCCTGTCCACCTTGTTGTGATTGAGTTGTAGCCACTCACGGACGTAACGGATGGAGATATGTGCTGCCTCCTCGGCTGGGAATCCATAGACACCTGTGGCAACACAACACAACGCCACGGTACGTATCTGATTCTCCAACATGAGTCCCATCGTTGTCTTGTAACAACTCTTGAGTGCATCAGAGTTGGCATCCATTGGTCCAACAGTATGTATCTAATCGTCATTGTGTGTGGGTTTGGTTAGTTGATTGGTCATTCGTGCCAACTTGGATTGGTTCGCATTCCAGAGTACATACGATATATTTGGCTGGTAGCCTGTATCCCTTTGTTATCTTTGATTGGCCAACCTTGCATCCATTCAATGATTCACACTCCCTGAGCAGTCCTGGTCCAGCTGCTCTATGAATAGCACCATCGACTAAAGAGTGAGTGAGTACAAACAAAGTTAGTAACATGTCCATGTCTGACAGCCACACTGATATACTTACTTCCACCACCTCCGAGCAATGAAGTTCTTGCGGCGTTCACAATGGCATCTATCTCCAATGTTGTAATATCACCTCTAAATGATCAGTCCACAATAGTAAGTATGTATGAATATGGATGAATGAGTGAGTACCAATGTACATACCCATAAAGTGATATCTTTTGATTGAGCTTGCCATTTGGAGGGAATATTGTCTGACTTTGAATCTTGAACTTTGCTCTCTTCTCCTCAATCAACTCGAACCAACTCTGTATGTTGTCCAGCTCGACATATTCGTCTCCACACTTGTAAAGTGCTCTCTTTCTTTGTAGGAAGTACTATGGGTGAGGACAAGAAGGGTAAGTAAGGGAGACAAGGTTGTGTGCGAGTTTGATATACATACTGGGTCATCAAGGTCGATGTCATCTGTGTTGCTGTCGTATGGACTTGATGGTGCATCGATAAAGTCATCGTCATTGTACACCGGATATGTGGGCTTCTTCTTTGGCGAGTCCTTGGGCTTGTTGGCCAAAGACATTGGATTCAGGTCGACATATCTCTTGATGGACCTCTTCAACTCTGGATCGTCCAATCTTCTTTGTAGCATTGATTTGTAGTCGATTAACCTTTTCTCACCTGGTGCAACGGTGATGACCAGATCCGCCACGTTGGCAAAGAAGCCACCCTCAATGACCTCGCTCACCTCGCCACTGTACTCAACCCAACCATTGTCCGAGAGCCATTTCCACTGGCCACGTCCTTTGCCAATCTTGTCGCTCTTGTCTGTGCTGACATTGTTGTCCTTCTTTGGCGTGGTGCCGCTTGATGATGATTGATTGGTCTTGGAGAAGAATGATGTGATTGTTGAGCCAGTCTTGGCGGGAGGAGGAGCGTTGCTCTTGTTTGAGGAGGAAGAAGACGAAGACGACTGAGTGGGCTGCTTTGGTGTCGATGGTTTGGTTGTCGTAGTGGCCTGTTGATTCGAGGATGACGATGATGACGAGGAGGATGATGATTGCTGACCTCTGATCTCTCTCTTGATTGGTCTCATCTTATTGATATCATCATAACGTTTCTGTGCATTGTACTCCAAGTCGATGTATCTGTCGTCGTCAATCTGAACTCTCTTCTTGTTGTTGACGAATGCTTCCTCAATCTTCACACTCAGTCCCTCCTCGTAGATGTTCCATCCCAGGTCTCCTTTCCAACTCCAGAATGCCATTGGATCTGGCGCAGTTGGTCTAGCAGACGATGATGTTGAAGATGTTGATGTGGATGATGAGTTCGAGCCACCACCTCCATTGTTGCTCGGCTTGTTCTGTGGAGGAGTGAACGTTGTTGGAACAGAGTTTGTTGGCTTCTTGATGGCAGACACATTAGAGGTTGTGGTTGTTGGCTTTGATCCAAAAGTCGATGTTGAGGGCTTTGAGGCGGGGGCACCACTGGTGGTGGCCTTGCTCAACTCTCTCTTGACCTGACGTATCTTGTTTGGATTGTCAATTCTTCTCTGGATCATCTTGCCAAAGTCGATCAATCTCTCAGAGTCCACCTTGAAGTTGCCCTTGGGCTGAGCAGCGTATGCATCCTCAATGCGCTTACACACATCAGGTTTGTAGATGACATAATCACCATTATCATTCTTCCAAGACCAAGTGGCAGTGTATGTAGTCGTGGTCGATGTAGGCTTCTTTGTTGTTGCAACAAAGTCATCATCATCATCCAAGAGAGCCTGTCTCTGTGCCAACATATCATCAATGTCGACTGGAGGTGGATCGACTTGGTCGTCAGCATCATCAAGTCCGAATGAGAAGCTCTGATTAGCATCACCACCATTATTATTATCATCGTTTGTAGTATCATCCAAGTCAACATAAGTCGTCTGTTTCTTCAATGGTTGAAAGATATCTCCATCTTCTATATTGTGTTAGTGATCTCGAGATCATCCATCCAATCAATCAATCACACTCAACATACCATTCTTCCTCTTCATTGATGTTGATGTTGATGATGTTGACACTGTAGTTGTTGTATTGTCATCATTATAATCATCGTTGAATCCACTGATAGATGTATCAAAGTCATCATCGTGATCTAGATTGTTTGTTGCTGATGTTGTTGTCTTTGGTGGTGTATTATATTGACTACTCTTCTGTGTACTATGTTGTGGATTAGCACTCAAGTCCTTCATAAATGATGCTTTAAAGTTAGACATTGTATGTAATATATATATATATATATATGTATGATGTATTTATATTTAGTTGTTAGGTATAATATTATTTGTTCATTTGATGATGACTATTAGCGCCCAAACTTTTAAAACAGGGAATAGAGATATTTTTCTTAGAAGTTCCAAAATTCAAGGTCATGTAGACAATCATTATCTCAACATAAATTATTATTGATGGATGTACTTGCGATGATTCAGCGGGTCCAGCCATCACGACCGGACGACGGAAAGAGGTATCATACCATCCCTTACTTTGGTATCAAACAGCACCACAGTGAATTACAAGACAAGTGAATTGAGAAGAAAGAAAGGTGAACTGAACACAGGTTTCAATATAAACACACAAATTTCCATAAAAGGGAATTGATTTGCAAGCATGGGAACCTTCTTGTCAAATGTGTGTGTTGTTGAACATTGTTGTTTGAGTTGTGTTATAAAGTAGATGGAGATGTCATTGGACCCTGCTCAATAACATTCAAAATATCTTATATCTCATATATCATGCTAGCCTCACTTTAGTTGACAACCACTAAACATTCATCCTTTCATTCATTCAAATACACTTGTACACACACATAAACACACACAGATCTTGACCCAAAGTAAAGTCAGTGAGTGACTCACACAACATCCTTTCATTCATTCACACAACACACCACTCAATCATTCATTCACCCAATCAATCAATCAATCAATCAATCAAACCCAAGTATTCATTCTACATACTTATCTATTAGAGTTAGAGAGAGATAATTGATTATCTCCAAATGGAATCAATTATGAGTGCAAATGAAAAGGAGTTATTTGAACTGCAGAAAGAGATAAATGACTTGGAGAAGAGTCAGGCAACGTTGAAGGAGAAGGGCTACAATTTCAAGGAGCAGATCAATGCTGGCTTCAAAAACTTGGACGAGATATGCAGCACGTTGGACAAGCAGGACAAGGCCACCAACCAGCTCGCACGTCGTCTGCCCGCTCTGCCCAGCTCGGAGGAGGCCAGCGAAATGAAGAGCAAGATTGGCGACATCCGCAACACGATCAAACAGTCGAAAAAGACGTTCCTGCCCGAGACGGGCAGCATGTTTGTCCGTCTCTTCCTGGGCCAGGTCAACGTGAAGCACTATCGCGAGGGCGAGCGCTTCCGTCTCAAGACCGAGTACGAGAAGTTCAAGTCCAAGACCAATCCCCAGTTCCTCGGCTTTGTCGTCTTGCTGCTGCTGTTCCCCAGCAACACATTCATCATGACCACATGGCAGATATGGATGCTGTACTATTACGTCACTCTGGCGCTGCGCGAGAACATCCTTCTGGTCAACGGCTCGTCCATCCGACCATGGTGGATCACACATCACTACATGTCCATCGCTGGCTCGCTCACCAACCTGCTCTGGCCACCCTACTCTGCGTCGTTCACACACTTCCTGCCTCAGCTGACCTACATCTCTGGTCTCCAAGGTCTTGTCCAGATCCTTTCCAGCAAATATCAACAAGGGCAACTTTACAAGTTAACAGCAATGGGCAAAGCAAACATAATGGATGTCACTGGAGAGAATGTAAAGTATCATGTTATCCCTTTGTCCACATGGACATGTCCTTGCTCATACTAACACATACTCTACTCGCACTTACCAACAACAGATGATTAGCGATCCTGGTTGGACACCTAGCGCACTGTTCTTATTGCCATTCCTCATTCTGGTACATTGCTTTGAGTTGTTTAATGGTGTCACATTCTTGTTGTACTCGGCAAAGTCGTTGGAGTGGCAGGTGGCCGTCATGGGCATCATCTTTGTCATACTGTCAATTGGCAACTTTGTCACAACCGTTCAAATATACATGGCTAAATGGAGCTCAACAAAGCAAGAGAGGGAAATCAGCAATGGCAATGGTAATGGCAACGTAACAAAGAGTGGACATAGGACAACAACAACTGTAGGCAACAACATCGACAAGAAGAAGTCAAGTTAGAAGACAACAAGTCATACATACATTATATATATATACATATGATGGATAATGGATAACCAACCATTGATCCATCCAATTGCAAGCAAAGCATCACAAGCGATGATGTCATGTACATGATAATAAATAAATGGATTGTCATCCACGGCCTATATTGATTGTTTGGTTGATTGATTGATTGATTGATCCTGGATTGATTGGCAGGTATTCTTACAAGGTCCTTTACATCCTCCATGATCAAGACAGCTGTCCTTTAAGTGTCTTCTCCTGTTCATTCAACAAAAAGAATGTATTCTTAAGACTGTTGGATTGATTGATTGATTGAATGGTGTCAGTGAATGGAATGAATGCGAATGAAGATGAATGAGCACATGATACTTACTCATCCTCTCTAGCCTTGGACTCTTTCTGCAGCTGTTGATACTTCTCCTGTATGTACAATAGGTTGGCGCGAGCCTCATCCTTCAGTTTGACCAACTCGTCCTGTGGCACACTGGAGGCTGTAATGATTGTCTGTATCTGTGTCTCTGACACTGCTGTCTTTTGTTGTAGTTCATATAGTTGCTTCTTTAATTCTATACATTCATTCTTTGTTTGTTTGGACTGTGTCATGACAATGTCAGTCAGCAAGCCAGCCATCTTTACGTCCACCTCATTGCAATAACATACATTAGCTGCCATCGACTCTTTCAATTGATCTAGTTTGTTATTGAGTGCCTGTAGTTCTTCTCTTGATTTGTTCAAGCGCTAAGATAATGATGGTGGAGTTGTCGTAGGTAGGGATGTGAGTGAGTGACCTGTCATGTGATAATGATGCTTGATATATCGACAACCAACACATACTGTGTTTCCTTTATCTCTCTCCTCCTTTACAAAGGTCAAGAGTTGATTCAGTTTCTTCTCATCTTGCTCCAACTGTGCTTCTAGTAATATTGTATCACCTGTATCCGTCGTTGCTGCAACAGTTGTCGCAACAGTTGACTCTTTCTTTCCATTAGTTGTAGACATATTGATTGTCTTATGTATATATACAAATATAAGTACGACACGATTACTTATTAGATAAACAATATCACCAACATTCGAGATATTTGGTCCACGGACCAACAGCAACAAAGACTCGGACCGAGTTTTGGTCAACACGCTCATCAGCGGGACAATAAAACAATCATTCAATGTCAATATCCATTATAGATGTAATGTATTGTTACACTTTATGATATCCTATGTCATCTTATCTTGTTGTTGGTGTTGTTGTTGAATTGTCAACAGATAGATGGACACGCATGATTTGTGACAAATGAATGAATGAATGAATGAGACCAAGAAGACGTAAAAAGGTGAACTCAACCAACACTATGACACTCAGTCATCATCATGTCCACTTCATCAACGAATAACAATAATAAGAAGACACTATACGTCGGTGGCCTTGAGGATAATGTAACACTGGATACTCTCAGGGGTGCCTTCATCCCATTTGGTGACATAGTCGATATCTCTCTTCCAATGGATCACAAGACACGTGAGTATCTGACTATGATGTGATGCATCATAGATGATATACTTACTCTACTCGTTCAATCAATCATATCAATAGATAAACATAAAGGATTCTGCTTCATTGAGTTTGAATCAAGAGAGGATGCATTGGATGCAATGGACAACATGAATGATAGTGAGATATTCGGAAGGACTATCAACTGTACAATAGCAAAGCCAACAACTGTCAATAAGAATAGAGCTGGTATGTTCATGTTGTGCGAGATTCGTACGCTTATACATTTACTAACTCGTCAATCAATCAATCAATCAATAAAGTTTGGAGCAGTGAGAACTATAAAGATGAGACAGGTGGTAGTGAAGAGACAGGTGATGGTCGCGATCAACAGAAGGAGTTTATAGAGGAGAAGATGAAGGAGGCTTTGGCTGCCAATAGCAAGTAGGCAAGCACAATAAACTCCTGTAGACTATTATTCGAATATACCTTGTGGGCGGCTGACCTAACACGTCGTCCACAGAGGTAGTATGTTGCGTAGAGTTTATTGGACATCGAGCAAGAGAAAAGGAAAGGAAAGGAAGAAGTCCTGGTCTTGGACGAGAACCAGGATGTGTGTGTGATTGATTCATACATTATGTACAAGGCAGTTGGAGTTGGCGAACTAGATGGCTGGATACTAGATGGCAGTCGTCGGCGACAGATGATTGGAGAACACTGTTTGGCTCTCCATGCAATGAATGGATGAAGAGGCAGAGGATGAAGAAGAAGAAGATAATGATGTTGATGTTGATGATATTGAAGTCGAGCATGCTGATGATGATGTTGATGGAACAGTGGCATCGTCTGATGATGATGATGATGTTGACACTAGCAACAACTTTGTAGATGATGGACCAGTGTTCAATGCCTTCTCGACATTGGACATGAAGGAATCGATCTGATCCTCATTGATACATAGCTCGTACTCGATACCAGACAGGAAGCGTTGCTCCATCAGATTGATGTCCTGCACGGGAAACTCAAAGATATCTGACAGCATCTTATTGTTGATGGGTGCGCTCTCTGACCAGAACTTGATGGTGACGATGGTGCTCGTCAACAGCAGATTGAACAATTGATTGTGTTTCAATCCAGTGCGTGCCACAAACTTGTTGGAGTAGTAGACGATTGTGGACAGCAGTGATGGCGAGCATCTGAGCATCTCCAGTATGCTCAATATTATATCGAATATCTCATTGATGGCCTCGGTCAATTTCTCGGGTTGTGATGAGCGGACATAGGGCGCATCGTGGTCCGCCAGCCACTGGTACACGGGTCGACGCAGGACCACATATTCCCAGCGTCCATCATTCTTTCCATATAATTGATTGTATATCTTGCGGAAGGCGTGTTGGGCCAACATTGCTTTGTTCGAATTCCTGGATGATCCATGATTATTATTATTTTGTGGCATATTATTATTAATATTTGTTGTTAGTCACTTGGGACTTGCATTGAAGATAAATAATATTATGATGTATTATGTGAATAAGATTGAGGAAGATGGAGTGGATTGATATATCTATCTAATGAAGATGTACTTGGTTGGTCTGATTGATTGATCGATGGATTTATTCAGCGTGTGTGTGTTTGAGTGTGTGACTCAGTGTGTTGAAGATGATTCAGATGTGGACTACCATGATGATGATGATGTGTCATATGACATTGATACAACCCCAATATAAATGTATGAATGAGGGAAGGGATACTAACAACTGACTGTGACTGTTGCAAATGCTGCAGTGATGGACGGATTAGTGTGTGAATGGTATTGTTGGGACAACAGGAGATTGCTTGATAAGGTCAATCAGTCCCCTTTCCAGGGTTACATTTGGTCAGATCATGGTATATACATCCCAACCCCGACTCTAAATGCCGTATAATCTATCGCCAATGAATGGACAACAACACACTTTGATGTGAACCACACTAAACACAGACTTATACTTTGCCGATGTCCACATCAACATCATCCATGTTTGATCAATTGATAAGCATACACTTTAACACATTCACACACACATTCTCTAACACAACACATAATAATGATGAAGTTGATGACGGATTGAATTTCCAAAAGAGTATTGTCCCTGGTAAAATGCGAACTGACTACCATGATGGGAAGGTAAATACCATCTTTAGGGAATATGAGGGTAACACCTACATTATCGTTGTAAATGGTATGGTATTGGTACTAATATATAATGTTGTATAATATATATATATATATTCTATTAGTTTACAGAATAAGTAAATTGAATTGGATTACCTATCTACATTATATATATTTGGTTTGATTAATTAATTGATTGATTGAATGAAGTTGTACAAATAATAATACATGTTTGTACAAACACACACATAAACAAACCTTACACTTATAATCACAATCAAGATTGTGATCAAGTTGATATCTCATCAATTATATTTAGGACCGATGAGACTCCCATCATCGCTCAACTCGATGGTGGTGTTCATCCAGATCGCTATCACGTTTGTCTATCAATTATAGACCATCTTGAGTGGTGGTCCATCACACTTGTAGGTTCGATGGACTTGTTAAACTGAAACCAACGCCAATGGATTGAATCGGATTGGATTTGATTGATCAGTCGATGTCATTGATTAATTGATTGGCTTTGTGTTTGTGTGTGTGGACAAATGGAGTAGCCCTCTGGTGATAAGGATTGGATAAGGCCTGGCCCATGCAATACCCCCTGGCACCACCTAGCCATTCCATTAATGATTGTTGTGGTACCATCAGGGAGCGTCTATTCTAGAATCAAAAGCTTATTGTTACGAAACGAGTACAATCCATATGCAATCATTCAGTACATAAATGTTTATATGAATTTATACCCAACAACATCACCATAAGACATGTCTCACAAAATGGCAGAGAGTTAAGATGTGGAAGCTCTATTTAGAGCGTCTGTTCTCCAATCAATAGCTAAAAGTTACGAAACGTCAACCACAATCGATCACCATCACACTGCACACTCACTACTAACAATCAATCAAACACATAATGGAGTGAATGGGCGAGGACCTCATTGCCACCTGTGTTTGTGTGTTTGAGGGTGAAAGTATGAATGAATACTTGATGGAAGGATGGATGGATGGTTTGATGGCTGGATGGTTGTGGATGGATGGATGTTKGGCAATCGTCTGCTGGCAATCGATACGCTAACTTATACGAATGAATGTGTAGAGTCGCCACACAACCTCTAATGATTGGTACCAAGCAAGGATGACATATGTCAACTAACCAACTTGTATCCATTCGATCTCTACTCTTGATATCATATCATATATCGAATCGCCACGCACGCCACTCCCGATTGTTCGCGAGCCTTTATTATTATTATTATTATTACTGCTGTTGTTGCTGTTGTTGCTCGTTGACATTCTTGAGATCCAAGAAAGGATGCCATAGACCTTGAATTGATTCAGTCTTGGTGATATAGCGATCGCCAAACTTCCTTGGCTTGTTACCTGTTGTGTCTTTCAGATTCTGCAGATGCTTGATAATCTTATCCTCTTCCCTTCCACGCAGAGGAACAAACTTTTGTTTACCTGATGCTATAATGTTGTTGTCGTTGTCGAATGTTTGAATGATTGATCGAATGAATGAGTAAGTGACTAGAGTCATCCAAGTAGTATGTTGTTGCTGCTGCTTTGATCATACCATATGTAGCTAGAAATGATGGATGTGAACCGCTCTTGACGACCTCCTCGAACTCTATTTGAGGGTTGGCCTCCTTGAACTCAACAATCTGAGTAGGTAGTATATTTCTGTTTGTTTGATTTATCGGATGATTGATGTTGATGATCAGTTAGATACAGTTGATCGTATGATTGATTGAATGAATGAGTGATCGAACCATCATGATGGGTCGTCCAAAGTCGATGTCGTGTCGACACGACCATCAATCACATCAACATCTCTGGTCATACCTAATATGTTTGCTGCTGCCAGAGTGTTGACAGTAGTTGATCGCTACTCTCTGTAATTGCCACACACCGTTCTTTGACATGTTGTATGTATGTATATATGTATATAATGTATAATTGTATGAATGTATGTATGATTATCAATCCGCTACTTTCATTCGTCTTTCAAACAAACACACTACCAATCGAACTTCTGATGAAAAGGACCATCCACACACAAGCCCATCTAATTTTGTTGATCAAAAAAAATAAAATTAAATCATCTCTCTCAATGTGAATGATGGACTTTGAAGACGACAATCCGCACAACAACTACCTGTCAGATTACGTATACGTCTTTTTTGTTTGTGTTTAAGCTTTCAAGTAAACGACAACAAGTTAACTTATTCGCGAGTAGACTACAGGGCGACACAGAGCAGCAGCAACAACAGCACAGCTAGACAACACAGCCAGGCCTACACACATCATTTGACCGCGACCATACACATACATAGATTGACACAATGCTTGGAATAAGATCATTGCTGTCTGCACCGACCAGACTGTCCAGCACATCGATGCTTGGCAATGGAAGTCTCATCACCAACTCAAGAGGCATCATCAACCTGTATAATCTTTCGAACCCAACATCATCACGCTTTATCACATCATCCACTCAAATCAACAACAACAACAACTCAAACAACAACTCAAACAACAACAACAAATATAATATTACATTGAATGGACGCAAGTCATTCTCAACTGCTGCCGCCGCACCAGCCCCAGCAGTCAACAACAACATTGAAAAGACAGTATCCGAGCACTTTGAACATAATGCCATCCTCACACCAGGTGCAACGTTCACCGTGCCCGTCATCAGCTTAACAACCAAGCACAGCGTAGACAATGTCGTCCTGTTAAAGAGCATCTTCAACACTCCCTTGAGGTTAGTCATCAACATCATTCATTCATTCAATCAATCAATCAATCAATCAAGTTCAGTGCGACTAACTCTCACCTCATTCGCACGCATACATACAGAGTCGATCTACTTCATAGAGTTGTTAGATGGCAGAGAGCCAAGGCCATGCAGGGCACTCATTATGCACAGAACATGGGCGACATTGATCGTACCAACAAGAAGCCAATGTCACAGAAGGGTAATGGTCGTGCTCGTCAGGGTACTAACCACGCCATTCAGATGAGAGGTGGAGCAAGAGCCTTCCCTCCCAAGCCAAGAGATCACTCCTTTTCACTGCCCAAGAAGGTGCGCGCACTCGCTCTCAAGGTGGCCCTGTCCACCAAGCTGGCACAGAACAAGCTGGTCATTGTCGACTCGCTGCAGCTCGGCTCACATCGCACCAAAGAGCTGGAAGCTCTGCTGCCCGAGGTCTGGGGCAGGAGTCTGTTGGTGGACAGCGACATTGCCGCCAACCTCAGTCTGGCCGCCTTCAACCTGAAACACATCGACCTGCTCCCACAGCGTGGCATCAACGTCTACTCGATCCTGCAGAAGGACACGCTCGTCCTCACCAAAGAGGCCGTCGAGCTGATCCAGAAGAGGTTGTCCGAGTAAACGCAGTAACGACTACGCGCCACTGCGCCTGGCTGGCATCACGCTCACGAAGCAACAACGAAGCAGCAATAAACTAACAATATCGAGAACATATATGACTACTATCAAAGGGGAGTGTGCATGCGACGTCGTAGTCTGCTGTTTCCCCAAAGTTTATTCGCGCCACATGGCGTGTTGGATTGTCGGCAACAGGGTGTTTCCGTGTTGCCAACATGGATGGCATGTGGGAAGGAAGGAAGGAGGTGATCTTAGAGCACATTGAGGAGCTTGAATGTGTAGACACCATGTGGTGGGAAGGATCCGGGTGCCATCATAGGCAGTTTGATCTCCATACCAGACTGACCGAGGGACTTGAAGCTGAGCTCTGGGCCATTGTAGCCGAGCAGCTCGACGGTGGTCTTGGAGGTGACGACTGGGTGCACCAGGGTGAGTTGGTAGTCCTCTGGCCAGATGAACGAAATGGCGTAGACGGCACCAGAGTCAGAGTTGGTCGTGTACCAGATGGTCTCGTCGATAGTATCATTCTGTGCACGCCACCAAGTCGAGTTGTAGATAGCCTCTCCACTGACGTTCAACCATTCTCCCATGCCCATCAATCTCTCTTGCATGATCATTGGGATCACTCCATCAAAGGTCTACAGTTGTTGTTGTTGGAGTTGAGTGTGAGTGATGGGATATCGGGATGATTCCAGGGGGTACTTACGGGGCCAACATCAAGCAAGAGGTTGCCTCCACAGCTGACAGTGGACACGAGGGTCTGGATGAGGGATGTTGTGTTCTGGTACCAAATCAAGGCCTCATTTTGGTTGTATCCCCTAATTTGTGTGAAGGCCCAAGTGTCAATCAATCACATTCAATCACATCCAATCAACCAAACATACCATGATGTACCAATAGTGTAACAGTTCTCCCACTTGTGAGTGAGCAACTTGCCTGGGTTGAAACGATCGGATGGAGTCCAGTAGCCGCCGTTAACACCACCACAGTCTGCTCCCCAACGATCGTTGGTGACGACGGTGTCCTTTACGGAGGAGTTGGTGTAGAGCCAGGCCAGGAACTCAGTGGATTGCCAGTAGGTGGAGTTCTCATCCCAGTCGCCATCGGCCCAGATCACCTCTGGCTCGTACGAGTTGACAATGTCCTTGAGCATTGGCTGCAACACGTCGGTGATGTAGACGTCTCTGGTGGGTGGGTTGCCCGAGTTCTTGTCGGCCAAGTAGATTGGGTTGAACCATTCGAACAGCGAGTGGTAGAGTCCCATGTGCAGACCGGTGTTCTTGACGGCTTTGGAGAGCATGCCGACAATGTCGATGCCGGGACCTACGTCCACCGAGTTCCAGCCCCAGCTCTGGTCAGAGGGCCAGTTGCAGAAACCATCGTGATGCTTGCTGGTCAGAACGACGTACTTGGCGCCGGACTGGACGAACAACTCTGCCCATTGGTCTGCGTCAAAGAGGTTGGCGCGGAACATTGGTGCAAACTGCTGGTAGGTGAAGTCTGGACCAAACGAGGCGTTGTGGTAGGCTTGGGTGGCACCATTGTCTGATGATGGTGTCTCTAGGTTGTACCAATACCACTCAGCACCTGGGGCAACGGGAACGGCGAATGCAGGGACACTGTAGACACCCCAATGAATGAAGATACCAAACTTGGATTGATCATACTAATGTCATGTGATTGATCGGTTGGGTGGAATGAGTGGATTGAATGAGTGAGGCGAATGGTCGTCCAGGACATGACTGCTACTTACCCACAATGGAAGTGGACGTGAGTTGATTGACTGTTTGTTTGGAATATGAATGATTGAGTGAGTGAGTGGATGTTAGTAAATGTACGAAATAGGGACGAGGCCAATCACTTGACAATCAATAATCAGTCAACCTACGGCTATATGATTGGAGAATGGAGTGATTGAATGTCAGCCAGTATGTCATTGAGTGGATGAATGGATGGATTGATGGTAGATGATACATACGCCAGTTTGGTTCATATGATTGCGATGCGGCAATCATTGCCAATGCCAATAGTATAAACAATTGAAACAATCCCTTCATGATTTTCTTATATCTATCTATCTACCTGTTTAATGATTGATTGATTGGAATGGAATTGAAATGAAATGATTCAACACCATACAACAAGTGTCATACTTTCTTTCAAACATGATGCAAACAACCTTCAACAGCCATTTTCAATCCAATTCGGTGTGTTGTGTGTGTGTGAAGCTGTTCAAATGGTTTCGGACCCAAGTTGGAATCGGAGCTTTAGAGTTTAAAAAAAAATCGTCAAACATAAAAAAAACATAATATCTTCTTTAGTTCGGTCGTCATTAGTATGGGTTCACAGGAATGGACCATTCCTCGGAGAATTACTTATTTATATTATTAAACATTATCTAGACTAATTCTTATTTATATATATATTATGAAGTCAACTCTAATAACTGAGTAATAATAGTATCCTCTTTGTTCAAGACTAAGAACAAACAGAAGAAAAAACATATTTTTCAATTTTGATTTGATTTTGAGAGAACAAGCAAAACCCGCATCCACATGACCAACATTCACTCACTTTCTCCTCATACACCTGAACAACACACACACAAACACAACTGTTGTGTCATTCATACATTCATTCATACATTCCCTTCTACTACTTTGAGATTTGTTACACAAGACTTTGTTAGTAGTTGTGTTTTGTTGTGATTGTGTATTATAATACTATTATATATCTTTATATTTTCATAACATATACATCTATATAAACATTTATATTTAATCGAGATATAACAACAATAATAATATGTCGACACAACAGGTACAGAAGAAGAGAAAGGACGACTACTCTAACTATCAACCAGAGATTAGTGGTCCACCTGAGATTGGTCCAGAGGAGATTCAAACAGAGTCAATACTAGGTGATGGTATGTTTGTCAAACAAGATTGATTGGTCTAGATTGGTTTGAGATCATTGAATGATCAGTCACTGACCATGCATGTTCATCCACATTCGTTGCGAATCAACAGGAAGTTTTGGAACTGTTTACAAGGGTAGATGTCGTCAGAAGGATGTAGCCGTCAAGGTCATGTTGAAGCAAGTCGATGAGAAGACTTTGAAGGACTTTAGAAAGGAGGTGGCTATCATGAGCACCATCTTCCATCCAAACATAGTACTCTTCTTGGGGTATGTTAACAGCATCATCATCAACATTCATCACCAAGAGGTACTAATCATTCATTCTTTCAATCAATCATTCAATCTCGAACAACATACACAGTGCTTGCACATCTTTGCAAGGAAAGTTGATGATATGCACAGAGTTGATGAAGGGTAATCTGGAAACATTGCTCATGGATCCAAATATCAAGTTGCCTTTGATCACACGTATGAGAATGGCAAAGGATGCCGCACTGGGCATTCTATGGCTACACAGCTCCAACCCTGTATTCATTCACAGAGACCTAAAGACAAGCAACCTGTTGGTCGATGCCAACTTGAACGTAAAGGTCTGCGACTTTGGTCTGTCACAAATCAAGCAGAGAGGCGAGAACCTAAAGGACGGTCAAGATGGAGCCAAGGGTGTAAGTACTCTCAGAGTCATCATGTGCTGTGATTGATCAATCACCTGACCCCAACCCGACCCATATATCAATCAATCAATCAAATAGACACCACTTTGGATGGCACCAGAGGTGCTACAGGGCAAGCTCTTCAATGAGAAGGCCGATGTTTACAGCTTTGGCTTGGTGCTCTGGCAGATCTACACAAGACAGGAACTATTCCCAGAGTTTGACAACTTCTATAAATTCGTCGCAGCGATCTGCGAGAAGGTGGTCCGCCCACCAGTCCCCGCGGACTGCCCACCCGCACTGCGACAGCTCATTCAGAAGTGTTGGGACGCGTCGCCAGAGAATCGCCCCGACTTCAACGTAATCACGTCGACGTTGGAGGGTATCGTCATCGACCTGGCCATCCCCGACGAGTATGGCGCCATCATGTGGAAGAACCACTTTAGACACGCCGACTACGCCACCTGGAAGGACTTCCTCAATGTATTCGCCAACTTTATCGGTCTGACCAGCGCGCAGACTCAGCCCATGTACGACCTGCTGCTCAACTCGCCCAACCTCAACGGCTCAACGATCGAGCTGAACTTCAAGTGTCTCAAGGCGATCATCGCCATGCCCACGCGCGTCGGTGGCCAGGAGGAGGAGGTCGTCAGCATGGAGCAGTTTGGCAAGGTGCTGGCATGGTTCGGCTGTCTCAAGGAGGACGGCAGCCAGATCCTAGACAAGATTAGACAGCTGATGGAGTGCGCCTGGTTCCACGGCGACATCTCGACGGCAGAGAGTGAGAACAGGCTGCACAAGAAGCCCGAGGGCACCTTTTTGGTACGTTTCTCGACGAGCGAGTCTGGATCGTACACCATCTCCAAGGTGTCCAAGAACGGCGTCATTTCACATCAGAGGATCCATCGTCCCGGCGGCAAGTTCCAGGTCAACAACAGCAAGTACCTCAGTGTTAAGGATCTGATCCTGGGTGAGGCTCAAGCGCTGGGCATCATCACGCCATGCTTGGGTTCCAGATTCCTTTCACTCATCCACAAGTCAAACACATCTGGCTACATATAATTTGTTTGTTTGTTTATTGATATTCAATCAAACAATCAATCAAATCAATCAATCGATAATCAATCAATCCAATCCAATCATATCAATCATATCAATCATTCATTCATTCATTCAAGTAGCTACTGCAGTGTGTTTCATCCAAGCAGTGACACATGCACATATTCCCAGCCAATTCAATCATTCATCAATCAAATAATATTTCATCGTCCATCAATCAACCAAACATTCAGTCTTATCAATATCATCCACTCACACGTATTTATATATACATCCATCCTCCTTCCTTACACAATACAAAGGGATTGAGAGGGAGACCCAACAACAACAACAACAACAATAAACAGTACAATGCTAAACAACTCTTCCAAATAACAAATATTATATGTGAACTATCTTATTTATTTACATCTAGAGGTAGTGAATAATATTATGTCTTATTGGATTTGAACCTTGAGTGATTGTGGCTGCTTCCTGATGAACTTGATTGTGAGCACACCATCTTCATGATGAGCCTCACCAGACTGGACGTCAACATCTCTTGGAAGTTTGAATGATCGCTCATATCTACCATAGAATATCTCTGAATGTTTGGAAGATGAGGACTTGGTCTCTGGAGCAGTCTTCTTTGAATCAACTTGAGTCTGAGTGGTCTCTGGAGCTGACTTCTCGTGAGTCTCTTGGATATCAGTGAACTCTGCTTCTTCCAATGATGGTTTGTCTTCGTTAGAATGATAGCATTGTTTTTATAATAGTTGGTAATTATAGGAAATATATATAATCTCTATTTAGTGTAGTATTGTTATTGATTGATTGTTAATGATATATTACAAACTCAACTTTTGGAAGACTTTAAATAGTTTCCAGGACTGCCGTCAAGGAAAGGACATATTTAAAAATGTGAAATCTAAATGAAATTTCGATGATAATTCAAAAGATATATTAACGAAATAACATTTGAATATACTTGTATATATATGGTATTCCTTGGAATAATAATAATTACTCTATGATGTATATGTTATCACATAAGAAAAATTTGAATTATGATCAGGTTGATGAAGTTCATCAAACAAAGTGCCCTCCTGTTGGTTAGATCCGTCCAAAATGAATGATTATTTGAAGTCCCAAAATCCAATGATTAATTCATCCATTAAATCGTTCAATCATATAGAGATATAGGGATGAATAAAAGAAAGACTACAGAGGATAGTACTACTACAACAAGTACAACTACAACTATAAATACAACGACACCGGAGGATTTGGTTGTGGACAGCCACAAGCCATCAGTTCCATCAATCACATTTGTTGTTGATTCCAAAGTCAAGCCCACATATAATAATGTAACATCCTTTGATTATGCTAGTGTAGTCGGCCAGGATGTTGACTTGAGCAACACAACTACAACTTCAACTACGACTACAACAACAGCAACAGCGACAGAGACCGAGTCAAAGAAGAAGCAGAGGAAGAATGAGGAGAGTAGTTCCAAGAATGATGGTGTCCATCTTGTTAACGATGATGACTTGCTGGAGTTTGACACGGATACTTCGTACCCGTACCTTGATTCCTTTCAATATTACAGTCCACCTGCGACAACAAAGACTTTGTCGGATGATTGTGTCAAGTTGCTCAAGTCGAGTATTGAACATGACTCACCATCAACATCATATATTGGCACCAACTCATTTGTATTGGCAGCTTATCAGGCTTATAGTAATCACATGCACTTGATGATCAGACCCGATGACATCTGGTTGGCATTGATGACACAGTTCTCCTTCTACGTCGATCGCCGGTCGGAGGAACTCAGGTCAAAGTTCGTGGCATTCGATGACAAGCGCACATTGGTTGTTAGGTTGCCTGGAAGTCTGTACACTGCGCCCTATGAACAAATGTCGACACTGTTTGTTGACCAGATTGCACTCAATATCAAGGATGCTTCGTTGCGCGACTGGGTCGTGCCAGGTTTCACCACTACCACGGACACTGATCGTGTTGTTGGCGCCTGCACATTGATGTCAACAATGAAGAAGTACTTCAACTTTGAATGCGAGCTGGAATGTGGCCTTCCAAAGGTGACTATGTTGGGCACTGTTGATGATTGGAGACAGGTTAGACAACGTGCTGAACGATTCGCAGAGTTTGACACCAAGCGCAAATACATGGCCAAGTGGCTTGAGATGCTGCTGCCAGTGTTGGACAACATGATCATGTCGGTGGAGGGAAATCCCGATATCAAATGGTGGAACAAGATTGTTCACTATGCAGATGGTGGCTCGGGAACTTCATTCCTCTCTGGCTGGATCACAACATTCATTTCATTTCAATCAGATGGTAAATGGCTTGGTGATAACAAGTCGTACTACGATGATGAAGATGATGAGTGTATTAAAGTCAAAACTGAATGGCCAGCGATCGACATTGACAACATACCAAGAGGTTTCTCAACATGTCCAGTTAAAATAATTGACCCAGAACATCAATACGACTCTGACATCTATGCTGGACACATCATATCCAAATTCACAGACGATAACACAACAATCACTCCTTCACTTGACTGGTTCCTTATACTCAAAGGACTGTCGCCACAGCAATAGCCACATTGATTTGATGATTAATAAATAATAAATCAATCTTTCAATCAAATAATCCTTCGCTCAGTCAACTGGAACTATCAATCAATCATTGAAATATATTATCTTATTTATTTACATCAAGAGGTAGAGAATATATCTTACTGGATTTGAACCTTGAGTGATTGTGGCTGCTTCCTGATGAACTTGATTGTCAGAACACCATCTTCATGATGAGCCTCGCCAGACTGGATGTCAACATCTCTTGGAAGTTTGAATGATCGCTCAAATCTTCCATAGAAAATCTCTGAATGTTTGGATGAAGATGACTTGGTCTCTGGAGCAGTAGTCTTTGTTTCAACTGGTGTCTGAGTCACCTTTTCTTGAGTCTCTTGGATATCAGTGAACTCTGCTTCTTCCAATGATGGCTTGTCCTCGTTTGATTGAATAGACTCATTGATTGGTGTGTCTTTGACTGATTGAGAGACGACTTTATCTTTAATCTTCTTCTCTGATTTGGTACCGGTTAGTGTGAGCACATTGTTCTTGATATCAATATTGATGTCATCCTTCTTTAGACCTGGTAACTCTGCAGTGATTGTCAAAGATGATTGATCGAGATTGACATCAACCTTTGGTGACCATATTGAAGATGCTTTGGTCAACTGATCAAATTGTTTAGATAATTGTCTGAATGATCCAAATGATGATGTAGGGCAGACATTGTTGTTGGTGAATGAGTCTGAGAATATTGGTGAATAAAATGATAGCATGGTTGATTGTAATTATAAGTATAATATAAATAGTATCTTATCGATTGAATAATTATTTGATTGATAATATAATATAATAAACTCTCCCTGGAGGACTTTATATAGTTTCCTGGAGGTCAACTAATCACCAGAAAAAATTTTTAAATTGTGAAATCTAAATGAAATTTCGATGAAAATTCAAAAGAGATACAAACGAAATATCACATGAATTCAATCTAAATAAATAAAAAAAATTTCTATTAATATATTAAACTTAAGTATCTGATGGAATGAGTATACTTATGAGAAGAATCAGAATATATAGATGAAGTTCGGGACAAGCCCTCATTTCGGTAAAAGGTCCGATATGGTCGGGGTCTTGGACAGGAAAAGTGATGTCTTAAACAATCATAATTCATTGTAATTCATTCAATTGATCAAAGAGATAAAGATGAGTAAAAGGAAGACAACAGAGAGTACAACTACCACAAGTACAACTACAAGTACAAGTACAACAAGCACAACAACAACATCAGACTTGGTTGTGGACAGCAAGCAATCAGTTGCCTCTGTAACGTTCGTTGTAGATTCCAAAGTCACGCCCACACCTAATGATGTAACATCCTTTGATTATGAGAGTGTAGTTGGCCAAGGTGTTGACTTGAGCTACATAGATACAACTACAACGACTCAGTCAGTGACGGAGAACATGACAAAGAAGTCAAAGAAGAAGAAGCAGAAGAAGAATCATACTACTTTCAAGTTGCTAAAGTCAAGTATTGAACATGACTCACCATCAACATCATATATTGGCACCAACTCATTTGTACTTTCAGCGTACCAGGCGTATAGTAAACACATGCACTTGGTGATCAGACCCGATGACATCTGGTTGGCATTGATGACACAGTTCTCCTTTTACGTCAATGCTCACTCGGATGCTCTAAGGTCAAAGTTTGTGGCATTCGATGACAAGCGCACTTTGGTTGTAGAATTGGATGGCTGTCTGTACACCGCGCCTTATGAACAAATGTCGACACTGCTCGCTGACCAGATTGCACTCAATATCAAGGATGCTTCATTGCGCGACTGGGTCATGCCAGGTTTCACCACTACCACAGACACTGATCGTGTGGTTGGCGCCTGCACATTGATGTCAACAATGAAGAAGTACTTCAACTTTGAATGCGAGCTGGAATGTGGCCTTCCAAAGGTGACTATGTTGGGCACTGTTGACGATTGGAAACAGGTTAGACAGCGCGCTGAACGATTCGCAGAGTTTGACACCAAGCCCAAGTACTTGTCCAAGTGGCTTGCAATGTTGTTGCCAGTGTTGGACAACATGATCATGTCGGTGGAAGGCAAGCCCGATATCAAATGGTGGAACAAGATTGTTCACTATGCAGAGGGTGAGTCAGGCCCTTCATTCCTCTCTGGCTGGATCACAACATTCATTTCATTTCAATCAGATGGTAAATGGCTTGGTGATAACAAGTGGTTCTATGATGAGGAGTGTAACAAAGTCAAAACCGAATGGCCAGCGATCGACATTGAGAACATACCACGAGGTTTCTCAACATGTCCAGTTAAAATAATTGACCCAGAACATCAATACGACTCTGACATCTATGCTGGACACATCATATCCAAATTCACAGACGATAACACAACAATCACTCCTTCACTTGACTGGTTCCTAATACTCAAAGGACTGTTGCCACAGCAATAACCATATTCACGTAGGACGATCAATATTGGGTATTGACATATTTATAACCTTGATTGTTCCAGATTTAGCAAATAAAATGAGGCAAATTGAGATTATGGGGGTGTTCAAACAATGTTAAGTTCAACAACACTTTGGGCTCAGTACTCATTCATTCATTCACTCATTCATATATTCGTATATACACATATAAGCGATCAAATCAAATAAGGGAGTAAATAAACAGGTTAGCAAGAATGTACGGCAGCACATTAAAGTTACTTGTTTATGTATTGCTGGTGGTGGTAGCATTGTCTATATATCAATATAACATCAATCAGACGACAACGAGATACTTTGAGCCGATATTCCGTACATTCCACACGGATGGCGCATCGATCAACAAGACACTGATACTGGCACATCGCGGCTCGCGTTACTTATTGCCAGAGAACACGATGTTGGCATTCAACACTGCGCTCGACATTGGCGCCGATGTTATTGAGTGCGATGTGCGTGCCACCTCGGACGACGGCCTCGTCGTCTACCACGACAAGCTGCTCAAGCGCACGACTGGCCTCGAAGGCACGATCGAGGAGCGCACCCTCGCGCAGGTGTTGGCCATCGACGCTGGCGCCATGTTCTCGCCCGACAATGGCACCACGACACCCTATCGCGGCAAGGGACTGCGGATCCCGCTGGCCCGTCAGCTGTTTGACGAGCTGCCCGTCACGACCTCAATAAACATCGAGATTAAGGAGGACGATGAGCGTGTCGCCGACTTGTTGTGGACAGAGATGCGTCGTGCGTTCGAACAGACTGGTCGCCAGCACCGCACCGTTGTCGTTGGCTGCCGCTACTGCGCGCCAACCCTGCGCATCCGTCAGCTGGCTGCACAGTACCAGCAGGAGAAGGGTCTGACTGACCTGCCGCTGACCACGTCGGCCTGCGAGAAGGACGTCACACGCTTCGTGCTGCTGTCACAGTTCTATCTGGCCAAGATCTACTACACCTGGTTCCCAATGGACAACTTTGAGACATTCCAGATCCCGCCCATCAGTGGCCCCATCTCATTGGACAAGCGCAAGATCATAGACACGGCGCACTTCTTTGGCAAACACATTCATTACTGGGTGATCAACGAGGATCACAACGTGGAGCGCATCCTGGGCTTGGGCATCGAGGGCATCATCACCGATCGTCCCGACGTTGCCGTGCGAGTCTTTAAGCAGCAGGGCTACAAGCCCAGGTCACATGTCATTCCCAAGCCACTGCCTGGCAACCTGACTGGCACGTACTATTTGCCCGAGGTGGACATTGAAGAGGTGCACACATGCATCACGCCACTATGCATGGTGTTGCAACATATTGACATGATCGTAATATCATTGGTCCTGTCATTCGTCGTGTACAAAGTATTGTTTGGCCGAGGTGGCAGAGCAGCCACTTCGTCTGGCAAGGCCGTACCAAGTGTGTCCAAGGTAACAAAGATCACCAAGAAGACACAGTAAGTAATTAATCATTCAATCAATAAACCATAAAGTGTAATCAATCACGTGATCAAAGGACAAATTTCCATTTTTAGACATTCTTTTGAAAAAAGAGTTGTTTTGAAAGTTCCTCGCGCAATGATGTCATCCTCTTCAACATCATTCATTCTTTCATTCATTCAATCAACTTGATCAAATAGATACATATACTTAGATACATAGATTTATATAGATAGATAGGATTGATATAAGTGATTGAGAAGTAGTATATATATATACTTAGTGATAGCCACACGATAATATGGCAACAATATCAAATAGCTCATCGACGTCATCGTCTTCGTCAGCAGCTTCAAAGATAAAGTCGACCATCCTAATGACACTGAACCCAAAGAACGAAGAGGCTCAGAACGATGAGATGATGTGTCTTCAATCAATATATAGAGTATGACTACTCACTCACTCATTCAAACTGATCAAACTGATCAACTAACAATGAATGGTCGAACATTTGAATAGGACGACTTTGAGATGTTGACACCTGATGCAGTATGCAAAAGATTCAAGATCACATTGATACCTCATCCAACTAATCAGTATCAGAACTATTGCTCGGTGCGATTGTCAGTGACTTATACACCAAACTATCCAGACTCATTGCCAAATATTGAGTTGGAGAAGGTGCGCGGACTATCTGACGAGCAGATCGAGGAGTTGTATATACTGCTGGGGCAGAAGATGACCATTGGACAGATCGTCATCTTTGAGCTGTGTCAGGCAATCCAGGAGTTCTTGTTGCTCTACAACAAGGAGACGGTCAGTCTGCACGAGGAGATGATCCAGCGACAGAAGCTCAGCAACAGCATTGGCGTAAAGTCGAGTGTCACAATGATGGGCGAGAGCGATGACGAGGATGCCACTGAGCGCGAGTACGACGACGATGGCAATCTCATTGAGCGATCGGATGACACGGCGCTCAACACTACCGACGACATGGCGCCGAGCTCGCCGCCATACGGCCTCGACTCGTCACAACACATGGGCATGCCGCCCCTTCACATGCGCTACGACAACGAGGGCAAGAAGCTCTTGCTCTCATCGCAGGGTTCATACGACACATTCGACACATTCTTTGGCAGCACGTCAAGTGGTTTGGAGAGCAATGACAACATCTTTGAAGATCATCATCCACATCATCATCATCATCATCATCACAATCATCACCAGCAACAGCAGCAACTGTGGCGCAGCCCCAGTATAGATTTGGACGACAGCGAGGGCAGCGATCAAACCGCTGCCAATCACTACACAAAGATACGTTGGAAGCTGGGCGCGCGGCTCGGCCCATCGATCCATGAGTGCACCAACCTGGACACTTCACAGGCGATGGTGTGTCGTGTCGTCACTGTGGACAATGAGAACTCGACGAATGACGTGCGCGAGAACTTGGCCAAACTATACTCGATTCAGAAGGAGGTCGAATGCATGAAGTTCCTCATCAATCCATACGTCGTGCGATACATTGGCACTGCCATCGAGAACAACACATTGTACATCTTCCAGGAATATGTAAAGAGCGAGACATTGCGCCGACGCATCGATAAACTGGGCAAGATTGACGAGGCCACCGTGCGCAAGTACACGCACCAATTGTTGCTGGCGCTGGTCTACCTGCATTCACAGCACATCCCACATCGCGACGTCCAGACCAAGAACATATTCGTCGACGACAAGAACCGTCTATTGCTCACAAACTATGGCGGCAAGACCACGCGTATCATCGACTCACACGATCGGCACTCGGCCAAGAACATCAACTTTTGGATCTCTCAGAAGCTGCTCAACTCGCCCAACTCACAGCTACGGCGAGATGACCTATACAACCTCGGACTGGTCGTGTTGGAAATGCTCACTGGCGTGCATCGAACGGTCAACCCGCTGAGTAGCAGCTCAGGCAGCGTAGGTAGCGGCTCGAGCATGGGCAGCGGCAGCGGCAGTGGTGGTGGCAGTGGCGGCGCTCAGGCCAACGAGTACCTTAAGTTGTTCGAGAGCACGCCACTACCAGAGTGCGTGTCCCCACTGGCCAAGGACTTTCTGTACATTATATTCAACAGCGATGAGAAGGCGCGTCTGGAGGCTGGCCACATCCTCAAGCATCGTTTCATCTCATCGCATCACTCGCTGTCTACATCAACACCACAGCTCAAGACCAAGGAGACCAACAGCAGTGGCGGCAACAACAACAATAGCAGCAGTGGTACTACCAGTAGCAGCAGCAACAATATATTGAGTCTGGCACATCTGGTCACGACGACGCTACGCAACACAACCGCTTCGATACAGACACTGACGACAAGCTCTTCATCGAACAACAACACCGCGTTAACAACATCGACAAATAGCGACGCGCTCAACACGAGCACAACATCCAACCTGAGCGACTCGACGCCCTCCTCGCCACAGGCTTCTTACACAGCGGCGGGCGGTGTGGTGTTGGCCAGCAGCCAGTCACCGCCACCCACGACCAACACCATCATCTACCCACCATCACCGACCATCCTCAAGAAGGAACCGATTACGCCGCTCTCCCCGTCAACCGCGAGTCTGCAGCCCCCCGCAACTAGCTCGCCCATGGCCGACTTTCGTTATCATTCGCGTTACAGGACGGACTTTGAAGAGATCGAGATGATTGGCAAGGGTGGCTTTGGCATCGTGGTCAAGTCGCGCAATAAGTTGGACGGGCGATATTATGCAGTGAAGAAGATCAAGACAGAGAATGTATCATCGGACAGCCATGCAGAGCCCCTCACAAACAAGCTGTTGCGCGAGGTCACTACCCTGTCGCGTCTTCATCATCAATATGTGGTGCGTTACTACCAGGCGTGGATCGAGCGATCAGAGTCGTTCCCATCGGACATTGATGCGTCGATGGAGGACCTCAGCGGTGATCTGGAGACAGATGCCAGCGAGGATTGGATGATGCAGAGCCATAGCAGGTCACTGATATCACACGACACAACATTCACGGCCAACACAGACATGAGCTATGTGGCAAGCGATGATCCATCGTTTGGCGACGACGATGACGACGACAATGACGATGACGACGGAGATGACGACATGTCATCAGATGCATCGACCTCCAACTACAACTTCTCATCACACCAGTCCAAAATACTCTCACGTCCATCCAACAGTCTGCTACGAACGCCAAAGAAAGAGAAGAACACGCATACACTGTATATACAGATGGACTATTGCTCCAAGAAGACCTTGAAGACATTGATTGACAACATTGGTGGAATGAGTGAGGATGAGATATGGCGAATCTTTAGACAGATGGTCGAAGGTCTAGATCACATCCACTCACAAGGCATCATTCATCGTGATCTCAAGCCAGCCAACATCTTCATTGACAATGATGAGAACGTCAAGATTGGTGACTTTGGTAAAGTACCATGTTCAGGAGCATCATGATCGCGGGGATGGGACCATCACTTACTCATTCACTCAATCAAACAATGTAGGACTGGCAACCAGTGGAACGACAAAGAACCCTGTTGGAACGGGCATAGACATCAACAATAACAACAATAATAATAACAACAACAATGACAATGACAACAACATCTTCGCAGAGATAACAGTGGACAATGAGGATAATATGACTGGAGGAGTTGGAACACCATTCTATTGCTGTCCAGAGATATTGAAGAATACCAAACAGTATGGGGTCAAGGTGGACATCTACTCGCTAGGCATCATCCTGTTTGAGATGTGTCATTCGTTCCAAACACAGATGGAGCGATCAAAGATACTTCACGAACTGCGCAATGAAATCAAGTTCCCACCTGGCTTCGAAGCTCTCAAGCCCGATCAATCACAGCTGATTCGTCGCATGGTGTCACACAATCCCAACAACAGGCCCACGACAAAGGAGTTGCTCGAGTCGGAGCTGCTGCCGTCGAGAATGGAAGATGACATCCTCAAGGAGGCTATCAAGGCTATCGCCAACCCATCACTCTCCCTATTCAACTACCTGATGGAGAAACTGTTTGGCATGTCCACAGACGAGCACATCATCTCGCGCTACCTCTACACGGCCAACGCCACACTCTCACAGGTGCACTTGCTGGCGCGCGAGCAGACCTTTGCGCGACTCACCAAGATCTTCAAGAATCGCTGTGCCGTGCGAATTGACACGCCGCTTCTCTTCCCACGCGATGGATCAGCGGGCAACAACCTGGTGTCAGCAAAGTTCATGGACGAGGGAGGCACTGTGATCTACATGCCCTACGACCTCACCGTGCCATGGGCGCGGCACGTCGCCCTGCATGGCATTTCCCTTTCAAAGCGTTACTCAATCGCCAAGGTGTTCCGTGAGGCATCACCAGGCTTCAGTCCAAAGGAGCTGTATGAGTGCGACTTTGACATTGTCGGCTCGCCCAAGACGCGACACGTGAGCGATGCAGAGATACTGCGCACGGCAGTCGACATCATGGAGGAGTTCTCGCGTGAGCTTGGCGCCAGCTACATCATCAAGATCAATCATTATAGCACACTGGATGGCGTGCTGGAGGTGTGTGGCGTCGAGCGACGACATCACGAGCAGGTATACATGGCCATTGCGACCCTGCACTGGAAGTACACGTGGACACAGGTGGTTGCATCGCTGCGCGACATTGGCCTGACCCAACAATGCGTCAATCGTCTGTCCGTCTACCTCAAGCAGACTGGCGAGATGATGACGTGCATCGGCCAGCTCGAAAGTTTACTCGTGGGCAAGAAGGAGGCACTGGTCGGACTGACCGACTTGCGCATGTTGGCGCGCAACCTCCAGGCCATCAACATCATTCACAAGTTCTACCTGGACCTCAGTCTGGTACACAACTATCAATACTACAATGGCATTGTGTTCCAAGTTGTTAGCGATCGTAGCAACGTAGCGTCGAACGAGCCCAAGCCACAGAAGCAAGAGATAGTGATGGCGGGTGGGCGCTACGACAAGCTGATCCACTCGTTCCTTCCGCCTGCGACAATGAGCAACATATGTGGCATTGGCCTGACGATCGCGTCCGAGAAGATTGTCAACTCTGTCATCTCGTACGAGCAGCGTCTAGTGCGCACCAAGGGCATGCACTCCCTGTTTGACACAGAGGTGTTCATCAGCTCGCTCGGCTCCAACATGTTGACAGAGAAGCTACAAGTGGCCACGCAGCTATGGTCCATGAACATCAAGGCTGACTACTCGCAGACCGACTACTCCACTGCCGAAGAGATCTACCATCACTGCAAAGAGAATGGCATCACATGGGTCATCATACTGAAGGAGCGCGCATACCAGACTGGCTCAATCAAGATCCGCCACATTGAGACCAAGACCGAGTCGATCATCTCTCGCAAGGACCTCGTCGACTTCATCCTCAAGGCCAAGAAGTATCGCATCATGGAGAGTGGAGCGCCGGCCGGTCAGTCGTCGGGCATCAGCACCAGTGGCGGAGCCACCGACATTGCCGTCGACACACAGACCGAGCTGCTCAACATCAATGTGACTATACAGGGTGGCGAAGACATCAAGAACAAACTAAAGAAGATCGAGGGCACGGTCAAGGAGTGCATCAGCAAGATGTTCAAGGGCTTCTTCCTGGCCAAGGGATCGTCTATCAAGGTGGTCGCCGTCGACCTGCCCATCGCCACAGTCAAAGAGTTCATCGACAGTGATGTGCCCGCATCCAAGTATCCCAAAGCATCTCGTGACAAACTTGTCCAACTGAAGGTACACGTGTCCAAATGGAAGATGATACCATTCTTTGTCGTCTACTCCTATAAGGATGATAAGCCGATTATCATTACCAATAGTGTACCGTCATAGTCCGTCCTCCGTCGTCGCCCATCGTCCAACTTACCCAACTTCATCCATCCATGTGTGCGTGTTGTCTAACAGGTGACTGTTGACAATGACTCACTCCGATCTATCAATCAATCAATCAAACAATCAATCCATCTATCTATCATCGATCAATGAATGGATATATGTACATGTAAATAAACAGAATAAGGACATTTGGTTGGGTAATCATTGAGAAGGGTTGCTGACACCAATGTTTCAAGTTGGCGAAATGACAGTTCTCAGTTTCCAGGTGTTTTCTCAAACAAACTCCAAAAGCACAATCTTCTAGAAAACATCACGCCAAGAGGACACATTCGAATCGATTCACTTCCATGTTTCAGATGCAACTTCCAACATAAACAACAAACAAACCAATCAAACAAATATTGATTATAATAGAAGTTAGTTATTATAACTCCACGAATATGTACACTTGATCGTTAACCATTTAAACATTTCGATCAATTAAGTAAACACAATGATACGCAGTTCAGATGATCCCATAGAAAGTCTAATCAACTCTGATGAACGTTCTCAAGAGATTGAGATACTAAAGTCAATATTCTTTGACAACTTCATCGCTGACGAAGAGTCAAGCTTCTACAAGGTTGGTGTTAGTTGGTTGGTGATCATTATGATTGGAGCGCGACTGGAAATAGTCAACTAACATGCATTCATTCATGATTGAATAGATTAAGGTCAATGTAATTGTACCTGATAACTTTGTACTGAGGACGACTACTACGCCAAACAACAACATTGACAATGACCATGTCGTTGACAATGAGCAACAAACAACAACCACTACTACTACCGCTGCTGCTGGCGCGGTCGCCGTCGCACCTGACCCTGCACCCGTCGCACCTGCCCCTGCCCCTGCCCCTGTAGCACCCGCACCCAGCGAGCGATCCTATCCTGTAGTATGTCTGCCAGCCGTCACCTTGGGATTCGATCTCCCAATCGGTTACCCAGTCCTGCCGCCCAAGTTGTCCATTTCATGTTGTTGTAAGTATAGGTAGTTGATACATAGAGTACGAGTTGGTGCACCATACTCACACATGCGTGTCGGATCTCAGGGCTGTCACTTGAGCAGATGGATAGGATCATCACTCAAATGAACTCAATGTGGAGTCAAGGCGAACTCATCATGTTTACATTGATCGATTGGTTAAAGAACAATATATTTGCTCACTTGTCAACCGAGTCTGAGTTGGTACTGACGTCCACTCCAGTGGACTTGGACTCTCCGCTGGCTGAACACTGTATCTGGGAGTGTCACGAGGATTGGACAAGTCTAATGTCAAGTCTGCCTCTACTCCTGGCCAACAACTCACACGAGTCAAAGAAGATATTCAACAGCGAGACACATACATGTCCCGTGTGCTTCTGTGATGAGATCGGCACTCAATGCTCCCTGTTGTCCCTGTGGTCACTTCATGTGCAACACATGCACCAAACAAGTTATCATGCTCAACATTGAGAGTGGCGACGTCAACCTCATTCGATGCTCGACACCCAAGTGTGGTCAACTGATCGATCAGAACCTGGTTCAGAAGAACGTCTCACCAGACCAGTTCAACAAATACTGTGCCGCCATCAAGAAGACCACTGGTTTCCTCGAGTGCCAACGATGTCGTGGGTGGGCAAAGGTCGAACAACATTCAAGGTCAAGTAAGTATCATCGTCTTGGAATGAATCCAATCAATCAATCATTCATTTACTTACTCTCACTCCTTTAGCATTCTGTGAAGCATGTTATTACGCGATGTGTATGCTCTGCTCAAAGAAATGGCATCCTGGAACACCATGCAATTATGATCCCAACAGCGTGGAGCCACGTGTTCGCTTTGGAAGCGATTACAAGCCTTGTCCAGGATGTGGAGTCGTCATCCACAAGTTTGAAGGCTGCAACAAGGTGTGTTGCACATCATGTAACACAATGTTCTGTTGGGTGTGTCTGCGCAGGATCGACGGCTATTCACATTTTGACACCAGCTGCATTCTATTCGAGTTCCCTGGCGCGATAGATGAGATGCGACGACGAAGACGTCTGCCGCAGAACCAACACTATCTGTTTGGCGAGGTCACTGGTAACGCACAGTGCAAGCGATGCAAGGCCAAAGTGTATCGATACAACAACAACAACCATCTCATTTGCTATCAATGCAAAGCTGAGCTCTGCTTCCTCTGCAAGTCCATCATCACAGGTACCAAGCACTTCTCTCCCAGTGGCTGTGTCCAACATGGTGGAGGTCCAAACAACCTTCTTGTTCCGTAGTCGAGCAGGCACCAAAATAAACACCAACATCCAACCAATGATAGAGCGACAACCAATGATTGAGTGTCGTAAGAATACATTTATTAATCAACTTAAATAAGGGAGAGGAGAATGAATGTGATCATGAGGATAAGGACAGTTGGGGCGGTAGTCTGGGAGGATCCATTTAGTCCATTGGTAGTGCCAGTAGTAGTTGTGGTGGTGCTGTCGGTAGTGGTGGTTGAAGATGGTCCAGTGGTTGTGGTCGATTGGCTAGTGGTAGTAGAAGATGGTCCAGTGGTGGAGGGTAGTGGCGGCGGTGGGTAGTGGTGGTAGTTTGGGACTGGAGTGCATGAGGTAACAGCTACTGGGTTCGTGGCTACCATGCAGCCAGAGATGTCGGTGGTGATAACTCTGTATGAGCCAGTGTCAAGATTAAAGTAGTTCATCTGGTATTGGATCTCAGTGTCCACCTTGACCACATTATTCTTGCTGTCAATCAATTGCACCTTGGCGTAGGACTGGCGTTCGGCATAAGTGTTGTAGGACAGCTGACCACATTGGTATGAAGCCAGAGTATCACTAATGACAGAATACTGCATGGTCACCTTTTGGTTGATAGAACGAGAGCACACTCCAGCTGAGATGGAGGCCTCGACAACATAGGTACCAGGTGGTAGATGGGTGGTTGTAGGGTTAACTGTATCACCGTTGATCTTGTAGGTGGCGGTGAATGTGGATGGCTCTATTCTCATGGAGATTGAAGTAAAGTTCTGGCCGTCGGAGCAGACGTTTGGTGCGGAAATGACCAGCTCTGGCTCTGTTTGTGGGACGAGGACCATCTGGCTATTGACACAGTATGGGTTGGAGAACAAGTAGACATTGAGGATGTAGAGGCTAGACTCAAGGAAACGGAACTGAACTGTGTTGCCGGTGATCAAGGTGTCGGCCTGGTAATTGTTGTCGGTGTTAACGAGGGAATAGGTGTAGATCTCTGGGTTGGCATTGGTGATGGTGAGAGTTCCATCTCTGGAGCTGATACACGTCTCTGGAGTGGTGGTGTACTTGACTTCAATGTTGCCAAATGATGTTAAATAGGATACCAGTCCAACGATGGGGACGGAAGTGAAGCCAAGAGCTGGGTTGACGATGCTCCTGAATTTCAAGCCTCCATTGTTGAAAGCGTTGACCGAGACAACACCATTGATATCTGGAGCAGTGTCGGAGACATAAATCTCAAACAATTGCATGCTGACCTGATCGAACTTGAGCTGGTAGGTCTTGGAACCACACTCGGTTGGCTCAATCACCGTGTACCTTGGCGTAGTGATCTCGTTGGTCAAGTTGACTTGGTACCTGTACACACATCCCATGGGAGCCTCTGACAGGGTGAAGTTCATGAGTGGCTGCTCATGGTTGTAGCCCCATCCAATGATCTGACTACGGTCTGGAGTGGCATATCCACTTGACGCCTGCACGGTACCTACATAGAGGTCGTCTCTGAGCATGACAATCTGGGCAACACCATTGAGCATTCCAACAGTTGGCATCTTGACAATGTTGACCTTGAACACTGGCTTGGTGTCGATGTTTTGGACAAAGTTGTAGTCCCACTGGCAGTAATCATGGGTTATTCTAGCAGTTAGATTGCCAAGTGGCATTCCATAGATGACTCCAGTGAAGAAGTTGTAGCTGAGGTCAAAGTCGGGCGAGAAAGAATAGATGTTGTCGGGGTAGATGTATCTGCCGTTGGAGTGCAACAATGAGATCTGGGCTGAGTTGGGTGCTGAGGTGGAGTCCTTGCAACTGGATTTGTACAGTGGAGTCAATGAGATGGTGACCTTGTTGTCGGTGGGGATGAACACATTGTTGATTATTCCCTTTCCGCAAGTCTTGTGATCAAACTTGGCACTGGTGTAATATGTTCCAACTGTAGCCACACCAGTCACATTGTCAAAGGGGACATCTTCCTCTCCTAGCAGCATGGCCGAGTTGAAGTTGGACCAGGCCGTGGTAAACATAACCTTTCCACTGGGAGCACTGCAGTTGGAAGAGTCTTGTGGCGTGATTTGGAGACTGAGGATGGTGGTGGTGTCGATGGCGTGGAGAGTAACTGGAATGATTTGTTGACATTGGAAGTTGGGAGCCTTAAAGACGATTTTGACATTAGTAGTACCAACTGGGACCTCGTACAATTGTCCAGAGGGTCGGATAATAACATTGGACCCGTTGAACAACAAGTACAACAATGGCTCAGTATAGGTGACGTTGATCAATCCCACGGTCTGCAGACATGGAGCATGCTGGTGGACAGTGACCTGGGCATTGGTTGGTGGGGCTGATTGACCAGAGGTTGTTAATAAATGATAAGATGTGATGGCATTGGTGAGTGAGATATATACCTGGCTCGCGATAAATGACTGGAGTGGGTGGACAATGTTCAGAAGCAAAGTAGGTTGTTTGGACGAAGCCATTGTTGGAGTTGTTGAACTCGACGTAGGTGCCTTGTGTGGACCTAATACCCTTGTAGTGTGGATAGATCGTGGCTGAGTATGGTGAGAGACAACCGGCATTGGCATCTTGAGTGACGTTGGTGATCTCAAAGGTGAAGTAGCCATTGTCGAGTGGATTATTGATCTGTGTGACGGTGAGGTTGCGCTGAACAGTGCAGCCCTTCTCGATGGTGGTCAACACCCAGTCCCCGGTCAATGGTAGGAACACATCATAGATCACTCCATTGACTGCAGTCTTGATGATGTCTTGGTAGCTCATGAAGATCGAATCGAATGCTGCGTAGTTCCTGACAGTGACTTGGTACACGCCAATGCAGGAGGTGTCAGTGTAGTTGACGTAGTAGTATGGGTGCACCTTGGGGTATGCAAAGCGGCTTTGTTGGGGGAAGCATTTGGACATTGCCAAGTAGGTCTGATCGTGGATGACCTGGAGCTGGTGGTTCGAGTCAAGGTTGGTGGGGCTGACCGTGAGGTTGGCATAGTCGAATGGGTAGGCGACAGTGGCGGTGGTGGTTACGGAGCATGTTGGCTGTTGACCATTTGGGCCAATGGTGTGCGTGACGGGGAGGAAGTAGTTGGCAAAGTCGTAGGTCACAGGATCGGCGCAAGTAGATAATTGAACCTGGTAGGAACCAACTGAGAAGACAAACTCAACGCCCAGCTCAACGACTGTGGTGCCGTCAACTGTGATGTTCATCCCGTCGGGCAAGACTTTAGTTGCGCCGGTAAGGGTAAATTTGTAGATGCCATGGGTCTTGTTGCAAGCATCGACAGCCCTGCCGGACAGAGTCATTGTGGGCGTGAAGGGAATGAGGACGCCCGGGTACAGGAGGGTGTGCGAGCACTTGGCAGACTCGGCGTAGATTCCAAAGTTGACGACACGGGCAGTGGTCGAGTTGAGGTTGCTAAACACTCCGTTGGCATCAGGGAAGATGTCGTCGTTTGTGTTGGACTGGAGTGTGATGGAGGTGAACTCGGCAAAGTTGGTCACGACGATCTTGCCATCGGACAAGCCACACGTGGGGTGAGTGATGACCAGCTTGGGGGCGAAGGAGTTGGTCGTGTCGTAAGGGAAGTACACTTTGCATGGCTGTGCTCCAACGTTGGGGACGCTCACAACCAGTTGGTGGATGCTACTGGGGTCCATGTCTGATTCAAAGTTGTATGAGTTGTTCTTGGTGACGAGGTCCATGTCATCGACGGCGAAGGAGACCTCGCCGCGGTAGCCAGTGGCATTGATGGTGAGCGGTCCTCCAAAGCACTTGGGTTGGGTGATGACGATGGATGGCACCACAATCTCGAGGGTGCGAGTCTGGTTGCAGAGACCACTGATGGCAGTGAGGTTGTAGATACCTGGCGTCACAGTGGAGTATATGAAATAACTGGAGTAGTTCATAAAATGTGATATGGGCAATGCTGGAGTGAATGTGATTGAGTCGTAACCATTATCATTCTTCACACTGAACGTAACTGTTGGATCACAACTTGAATTCAAGAATGCAATATCCAATGTCTCATATTGTTCACATGGGTCCTCAATGGGTGCTGCCATCGACACCGATAGTGTAATACATAATAATATTAATATTGTTGTAGTTCTCATTATGTATATATAATGTATAAAAATTATTTGTTAACTACGAATGATTGAATAATGTAGTATTAGCAAGTTGATCACATGTATGTCTTGGAGTTGGGACTGATTGATTGAACGAATAATATGGATCAGACTGTTTGGACGATTGATTGAAGGGATGTGAAGACTTACCTTTTGATCTGAGGTGCAAGGACCAAAGTGTGACATCACCAATCTGAGGTAGGTCCTATCAATCACACACGATTCGAACTAAAATCGGACAAAAACCTATGATCGTGTGGAAAAAAAACAATCCAAAATTGGATGCTTGTGATGTGGAGGCAAAGTCCATCATGAATCCAGAATGGTTACCCGTGTGATGGGACTGGGAATAATTTATGATTTGATCAGCTGGTCCCACAAAATATCAATCAAAGTTAAGTTATATTTGTAATAAATTAAATTAAATAATATTATTATTGGAAATTAAATAATTAAATTAGAATAGGATGATTGATGACAGGGCCGCAATGACCAGAAGGAGTGCGGGAATATTGATTCTTGATGAGCTGTTGAGTCCTGTGGTGGTGCCAGTAGTCGTTGTCGAAGTTGTCGTGGTTGGAGTGCCAGTGGTGGTTGTGGTCGATGACTCTGAGGTGGTTGTGGAAGTGGTCGTAGATTGTCCGGTTGTTGAGGTGGATGTCGTGGACGAGGTGGTGGCTGGTGGTGGATTGCATGATGTCACTTGGACTGGAGCGGTGGACACCTGGCATCCAGTAAGATCAGTGGTCACCACACGGTATGAATCAGTGTCGAGGTTAATATAGTTGAAGAAGGAACTGGTGGCAATGTCAACAGAGACAGCCTGGTTCTTGCTGTTCATCAAGGTCAAATGATCATAACCCTCGGGATGTGATGGCAGGTAGAAAGTGAGCTGTCCACATTGGAACGAGATGGTCTGGTCCGTGTTGAGGTACTTCTGCTTGATCACCACCTTTTGGTTGAGAATACGCGAGCAAACACCTGATGAGATGGTGGCCACAACAGTGTAGGTACCTGGGGCGACGTTGTTGGTGACAGCTGAGACGTTGTTGCCGTTGATTGTGTAGGTGGCGCTGAGGGTGGCGGGCAGGACGCTGAGCGAGATGGATGAAGAGGCTTTGTTCTTGTCACAGATGTTTGGCGCGGCTATGACCAGCGATGGCTCGTTGGCAAGGATCTGGACCACAAAGTTTTTCACACAGTATGAGTTGGTGGAGTTGAAGATGGACACTTGGTATTGGCCATTGGTGAGGAATCTGAATTTGACTGTGTTCTCACCGGTCAAAGTGTCGGCTTGGTAGTCTGACTCGGTGTCGAACAGCACATAGATGAGCGATGGGTCAGTGTTGAAGATTGTGACCATTCCATCCCTTGCGCCATAGCATGTCTCGGGGGTGATGGTGTACTGGACGTTGGGCGAGCCAAATGATGACATCCAGAATTGCAACTCATGGATACTGGACTCGATTGGTGGCAAGAATGGGTTGGACCTGGGTCGGTACCTGAGCGACATGTCATTGTTGGACACATCGACCAAGACCACTCCATTGACATCTGGGACAGTCACGGCGGCAAAGATCTCAAAGGTCTGCAAACTCAACTGATCGAACTGGACCTTGAACATTCTGTCGCCACACTGAGTTGGCGGGGTGATCGTGTACCTTGGCTCAGTGATAGTGACTTGGCTGGTCAGGTTGACGCTGTATTGGTAGCGACATCCTCTAAACTCGAGCAAGGAGAATGTCATGATGGGGCTCTCTGGGGAGTAGTTCCATCCGATGATCTGGCTGCGGTCGGCGGTGGAGTAGCCGCTGGAAGCCTGGACGGACACGATGTAGATATCCTGACGCAACATGACAATCTGGGCAATACCATTGTACATTCCAGCGGTTGGCATCTGGATGATGTTGACCTTGAAGACTGGCTTGGTGTCAAACTTCTGAACATAGTTGAAGTTCCAGTTGCAGTAGCCCATCTGGACGGTGGCGCTGAGGTTGCCAGGTGGCAAGCCATACATCAGACCAGTCTCCCTGTTGTACATGAGGTTAAAATCGGTGGTACCATACACATTGTCGGCTGTGATGTTCATGCCATTGTTGTGCACGATGGACAATGAGCCAGCGTTGGTGTTGCTGTCGATTGGACTGGCGCAACTGGACTTGTAGATGGGCTTGTAGGAGATTGTTACATGGTTGTCGGTGGGGACTACGATGGACTCGGCAAACTGGCCCTCGCCACAGGTCTTGTGATCAAACTTGAGTGTAGTCCTGGTCGATCCGGTCACGCACACACCAGTGGCGTTGTCAAAGAAAATGGGGCCCTCGCCTTCGATGGTGGCCCAGTTGAACTCGGACCATGGGTTGGTGAACGAGATCCTGGCAGAGGGATTACTGCAGTTGGACGAATCTTGTGGAGTGATGTTGAGGCGGAAGACGGTGGTGGTGTCGATTGGGTTGATGGTCACAGAGATGGTCTCCTCACAATCGAATGATTGGTCGTAGATCAGATGAATGGTGGTGGTACCGACGGGCATCTTATATGGTGTGCCGTATGGCAGTACTGGCACGCCTGTGCCATTGAACGATAAAGTGTACAACATATCAGCAAAGGTTATGTTGACCAATCCATATGTTTGCAAACACTTGGCATGCTCAATAACAGTGGCCTTTGCATTATTTGCAGGGGCTAAGTTGGATTGATTGATTGATTGAGTGATTGAGTTAATGTATGATCATGTGGAAGTGATTGATTGATTCATGGGTCGTGGGATACATACCTGGGGTGTTGTAGGTAAAGGGCTGAGGGATGCAATGTTGGGTTGCAAAGGCAACCTGATGGACGAAGCCCTTGTTGGAGTTGTTGAATTGAATGAAAGTGCCTACCAAGGACTTGACACCCTTGTAGACTGGATGGATGGTGGCAGAGTAGTCAGAGAGACATGTGGCGCCAGGTGCTTGAGTGACGTTGGAAACCTCATAGGTGACTAAGGATTCATCAATTGCTACACTTGGGAGTTTGACTGAGTTTTGTTGGGTGGAGGCACCGGTGCATCCCTTCTCAACGGTGGTTAGGACCCAGCCTGCAGACTGGTACAGTCCATCCATCACTCCATTGACAGCATTGATGGTGGTGACGACGTTGCTGATGGAGATTGAGTCGAACATCTCGTAGTTCAACACGGTGACTTGGTACACGCCAACGCAGGTGAAGTCGGTGGAGTTGATTATGTAGTTGGGGCCATAGGTTGGGTAGCCAAAGTAGCTGGTCAGGGCATAGCATTGGGACGTTGCAGTGTACTCCTCTTGTTTGAATACACTGATCTGATGGTTCGAGTCGAGGGGGTTGGGAGAGACGTTCAAGTTGGCGTAGTCGCCGGGGTAGGAGACGGTGGCGATTGCGTGGTCATCACAAGTCGGGTACTGGCCTTTTTCTCCAATGGTGTGGGTCACTGGCATGAAGTAGTTTCTAAAGTCGTAGAAGATTGGGTCATGGCAGCCAGAGAAGGTGACGGGCAATCTGCCTCTGGGGATGGCGTACTCAACACCGAGTAGAATTGGACTGTCTTGGAGGGCCATGGTGAAGGGCAAGGGGCCAGCATCATTGTTGGTGAACGTGTGGAGACCATAAGTGTTGTTGCAGGGCAAGGATCTGGAGCTCAAGTGCAAGGATGGCATCCTGGGGAGGAGAATGCCAGGGTAGACAATCGTGTGCGAGCACTGGGCAGACACGGCATAGATCACGAATGAGTTGGGGGAACCATTAGGCAAGTTAAGGTCCTCAAACACACCAGCTGCGGTCGCAGTAATGTTCATACCATCACCAATCTTGAGTGTGAGCGAGGTGAACTCGGCAAAGTTGGTCACAGCGATCATTCCAGTGTCCAGGGTGCACAAGGGTGGGGTGATGACTAACTTGGGGGCAATGCTGGCGGTTGGGTCGTAGTTGAAGGGCACGGAGCATTGTGGAAAGGGAGAGTTTGGAATCCTGATGTTGAGCGAGTGGTAGATGGCACTGGACAATACGTTCTCAAAGACGAATGATCCATTGTGGGTCTCGGGGTCGGCGTTGTCCACATGGTAGGCGACGTCTCCAATGTAGCCAGTGACGTTGATCTTGAGTGGGCCGCCAAAGCACTTTGGCTGGGTGATGACGATGGAGGGCACGGCAATCTCGAGCATGGTGTGCATGATGCACTTGCCCTTGGTGGCCGTCAAGTTGTACATGCCCGGTGTGACGGTGGAGTAGATGATGAAACTCGAGTAGTTCAAAAATGATGTTGTGATCAATTGTGGACTGAACTCGATTGAATCATAGCCATTGACGTTATCAACGGCGAATGTAATAGTTGACTCACAACTGGTATTCAAGAATGTCACGTCTAATGTTTGGTAGGAGGCACATGGAGTGTGAGGTGGGACTGCCATCACCGCCATCACAGACACAAACAAATATAATAAGGTAAGATAATAATTATTATTCATTATTTGTATATATTAAATATAAGTAGGTAAGTTATTTGTTAATAATATTAATGTTAATGACGATTTATTTTTATGATCTTTAGGGTAGAATGGTTCGGACGGACACTGACTGACGTAAGACGATTGATCAATCAAACAATCAAACAGTTTGGCTGTACTTACTAAGTATTTTGATCAATGATAAAATGGAAGGACGCAAGATCAAGGGTCTAATCCATACGAAGGTAAACGACTATTCATTCAAAAGCCATCACCAAACAATGTTTTGGTACTCCCATCACACGATTCAGATGTCAATCGGACCAAAACTTATTGATCGGATCGTCCAAAAATGGAACAAGTGGGTCATTTCGGACCACATCAAACGTTGTTTGGAAATGGGACGTGGAGAGGCAATAAAAAGTACGGTTCTGTGTTGTGGACAACGTTGATCTAGCGGCAAAGATGATGTGGCTATGTGTGAAAGTTACATCATCCATGTGAATGAGATCAGGGATTGTAAAATGGATGTTTGGACACCAAACAATCAATCAAAATCAATCAAACATTTTAATAAATTAAATTAGGAAAGTGGATATTGTGATGATGAGTAGTACAAGGAGTAGTGTTGTTGATACACTGGTTTGTGATGAACTGTTGAGTCCTGTCGTTGTGCCTGTCGTTGTTGTGGTAGTTGGACCTGTGGTGGACGTCGTGGAAGTAGTGGTAGATCCATCAGTTGTGGATGGCGAGGTGGTAGTTGTGGTAGAGGTAGTGGAGGCAGCGGTTGTAGACGTGGTCGATGGTGCCTGAGTGGGACATGCAGTCACCTGAACCAATGGAGTGGTGTAGACACAGCCAGACTCATCGGTGGAGGCTACCTTGTAGGTGCCAGTGTACAAGCCTTGGTAGATGACATTGGTGTTGTCAATGTTGTATGTTTGAACTGAAATGACTTCGACACCTTTGCTGTTGAGCAACCTGGGAGTGAATTCCACGTTGTTGGTCGAGGTCGCCATGAATAACAACTGACCGCATTGAATTGAGTTGAGTGTGGCCTCGTAGAAACTGTTGATGATCTGAACTGGGAACACAAAGTGACGAGAGCATATGCCGGCAGAGATGATGGCTTCCGCGGTGTAGGCGCCCACTTCAAGGTTGTTGGCGACCGCGCCAACTGTCTTGGTATTGAGCATGAAGGTGGTGGCGGACAACAGACTGGCGGGGGAGACGTTGAATGTGATTGATGAATGATTGAGCGAGGCATCACAGATTCTTGGCGCCACAATGGTCACCTTGGGCTCGGACGAGGGCACGACAACATTGATCATTTGGGCACAGTATGTGTTGGCGCGACTGAATACCGTGAGCTGGTAGGTGTCTGCGGTGAGGTATTGGAAGGTGATAGTGTTGCCAGCGATGAAGGTGTCGGCTTGCATTCCAGTCTCAGGGTTGTACAGCTTATACTGGAAGTTGGCCGTGTCGGCACCAGTGACCACGATCGAGCCATCGCGCGCGTATGCGCACGTCTCGCCAGTGATGCTGTAATTGATGGCCATGTTGGGCAAGGAGGTGGGTCCCTCAGGAATACCCGCGATATTCATAGTGTGATATTCAAAGTTTGTTGGGTTGCGGACAAACTCCAAGAGTGGACGGTACAAGATGTAGGGGTCCTGTTTGTAGTCGGCGTAGACGACACCGTTGGCGTCGGGAGATTGGTCCAGCACAGTTATCTCAAACTTGTCTATGCTGGCCTTGTCGAACTGCATCTTGAACACGGATGAGCCACATGCAGTTGGCGGGGTGAGCGTGTACCTGGGCTGGGGCATGGGGTCGCTCACATTGAGCGTGAACATGTATGCGCAACCCCAGAAGTCCTCAATGGCGACTTGAAAACTGTCTGTATGGTCCCAGCCGACAATGTAGCGATTGTCAGCGCTGTATCCATTTGATGGTGACACAGACTGGATGACAACGTCGTCTCTGAGCGTGACCACCTCGGCAATGCCATTGGGCTCCGCGGTAGTGGGCATCTGGATGATGTCCACACGATACGATGGACGCGGGTCGAACTTCTGAGTAAAGTTGTATGTCCAGTAGCATGCATTGTACCCGAGGTACATGTTGGTGATGCCAGTTGGCATGCCGTAGAGGAAGCCCGTGTTGCGGTGGTACCCTGGGCCCATGACAATGATGTCCTGGCTGGGGATGCGCTGGCCACCTATGGTCATGTTCAAGATGGCAGAGTTTGAAGCTGTGTTGGCAGGGTTGAGACAACCGGACGTGTAGAAGGGCACGACTGAGATGGTGACGTTGTCATCAGTTGGCACGGGAACGTTTTGGATGATTCCTTTTCCACAAGTCTTGTGATCAAAGACGACAGAGACGCTGGGGTAGGAGCCAAGAGTAGCTACACCGTCCACAAAGGGATAGTCCATGTTGGCCGAGGCACTGTTGAAGTCGGACCAAGGTGAAGTGAACGACATCGTGGCACTGGGATGCAGGCAATCGGAGGACTTCTGAGGAGTCACATTCACACCGAGCACTGTGGTGGTCTGGGACTCAATGGTGATCCACTCGTCCTGGACACAGCTATAGGCATTGCTTGGGATTGAAGTAATAATCCTGAAATATGTAGTGCCGACTGGGAGTTGGTATACTTCTCCAGAGGCCCTGTAAATGTTGGTTCCATTAACAAAGATGGCGTTGATGGTCAATGTGTAATTGATCATAACTTCGGCATATGATTGAAGACACTTGGCTGGCGACATTATTGTGAATATAGCATTCTTGGGTGAGGCTACATTGATTCATTGATTGGGTCAGTGATTGAATGAATGAATGAGCGAATGATTGAGTGATTGAACATACCTTGCTTGGTAAAGGCAATGGTTGAGACGGGGSCAGGAGAGGGTGGCGAATTGGATGTCCTGGCTGTATAGACCATTGGCATTGTTCTCGTAGTTGACGTTGGTGCTAATGGTGGACCTGACTCCTTTGTAGATTGGTGTCACTGTGGCACTGAAGTTGCCGCCACAGGTGTCAGGGTAGACAGGTGACTCGATATCAAACGTGAAGTAATCAGGACTTAATCCAACGCTATTAATTATTGGATACGTGATGTTACGTATCACTCCACCACAGTTCTTCTCGACGACAGTCACTATCCAGTTGCCTGTGTACAGGCCCTTCATCACACCATCGACAGCATTGACAGTGTTTGATGGAGTATCCACGTTTGTTATAAACAGAGAGTCGTACATGACGTAGTTCAACACCGACAAGGTGTACTCTCCAATGCATGAAGGGTCGGTGGTGGTCACTTGGAAGATTGGATTGAGAACAGGGTAGGAGAACGACATTGATCCCACCTCACATGATGTTGATGCCATGATGGTATCGCCATCACGCACTTGAAGTTGATGGTTGGCGTCGAGGGCAGAGCCTTGGTCGATGGTTAGGCTAGCGTAGTTGCCTGGGTAGGTCACGGTGGCAGTGGCGTTGGTGCTACAATGTGGCAAAGCTGCATTCTTGCCAATCGAGTGAGTCACTGGCATGTATTTGCTGACAAGGTCTACAGTACGTGAAGTGATGCAAGACATTGAGACAAAGTCAATGTTCACGGCACTTTGTCTAAGGGTCATCTGGATACCGGTATCTGCAGGCTGGCCATCGACATTCATGCCATCGGCCAAGGGCACGCCACCAGCGATGGAGAGTGTAGTAAGGGAGTATGTCTTGTTGCAGGTCTGCAATGATTGCGAGCTCGCAGACACGATGGGCGTCGGAGGTGTCAACATGCCGGGGAACCTGATGGTTTGCGAGCCACATTGAGCAGCCTTGGCATACAGGACGAAGGGGACTTTGTTGCCGTCAAACGATTTGAGCGAGTTGAACACGCCAGTGCCATCGCCAGTGATGTTGGCTCCGTTGATCTCGAGTGTGAGCGACGTGAACTGAGCAGCATTGGTGATGGACACACGGCCGTTGGCCTGCCTGCACACTGGGTGCACGATTGAGAGCTTGGGCATCAGCATCTTGGAGATGTCGTAGACGAATCGAGTTCGCCATGAGCTGCCATCGAGAAATATCCTGAGTGAAGCGATCGGGGTATTGATGGGCACGTCCTCGTAGACGAACGAGTCGTTGGTGTAGAAGTATTGTGGTTTGTCCACACGGTAGCCAACGTTGTTGTTCTCAAGGCCAGTGACCACGAGCTTAATGGGACCTCCATAGCACTTGGGTTGCGTGATGGTGACGTTGGCAATCTTGATATCGATGGATGTATTCATGAAGCATTGTCCCTTGTTGGCAAAGACGGTGTAGGTACCAGAGGTGTTGGTGGCAAAGAGTATGTGACTGCCATAGTTTATCTTGTTCACGCCAGTTGATGGTTGGATGGTGAGCGAGTCATAGCCAAAGTCTGGGATAAGGATTACTTTTGATCTAACAAAAGGATTGGCATCAAGGTCCCATTGTATCCGATTGACGTCTTGACAGGGGTCGGGAGGTGTCTGGGCCAATGTGGCCCAAGGTACACAAACACATACAAATAAGATAAGATAGGAGTTGTACATTATCTATCTATTATCTATTATCTATTATTATTGTTGATGATGATGGAGATCATTCATTCTTTACATTGTTGATTGATGATGTTTGGTCGACCCTACATTCGTGGTCGACAGATTGAATGATTGATTAAGTGATGAGGTCACCTTTGGGATGGTACATGGACCAAACGATCAAAGGGGCAAACGTCCTTTCGTGGGCTAATTGTGGAGGGGCTTTTCAGGGAACACGACCTCGTGTTGCCTTTGGACCATCGGAACGATCAAAATTTTGATCAGGTGGTAGGTGCCAAACGATAAGTCGTATGTCTGACCGATATTTATTACATCATAATGTTTAATTTAATTAAAGTAGTAGGTTGAGGATTGTGGATGAAGCAATAATGATTACAAGGAGTAGTGTTGATACACTGGTCTGGGACGAGCTGTTGAGACCAGTGGTGGTTGTTGTAGTTGGACCTGTGGTGGTTGGACCTGTGGTGGTAGGTCCACCACCAGTGGTTGTTGACTGTCCAGTGGTGGCCTGGCCGGTGGTCGAGGGTGCCTGAGTGGGACATCCAGTAACCTGAATCAATGGCGTGGTACGTGCACACCCAGTGACATCGGTGGAAACGACTTGGTAGGAACCAGTGGCCAATCCTTGGTAGTTGGCATAGTCGCCATTAACAGAGATCGGATGAGTGGCGGACGTGACTTCATTGCCTGCGCTGTCGAGCAACTTGATCGTGTAATCCAGATTGCTATGTGCGGTCACCTTGTATAACAATTGGCCGCATAAGTATGACATGGCATAGGCTTCGATGAACTTGTTCTCGATCGTGGCAGTAAATATAAAGTAACGCGAGCACACGCCTGCAGAGACAGTCGCCTCAGCCGAATAGGTGCCGGCTGCAAGTGGAGCATTGTTGGAGGCACTGGCCGACTGGCCATTGATCTTGAACGTGGTCGACGACAACAGACTGGCTGGGGAGACCTTGAACGAGATGGATGAATGATTGACTGTGGCATCACAGACTGATGGCGCGACGATGGTCACCTTGGGCTCTGACGTGGGCACGATGATCGACATGACCTTGGCGCAGTATGTGTTGGCGCGACTGTACACTGAGAGCTGGTGCGATCCCGACGAGAGGAATTGGAAGGTGATTGTAGTGCCAGAGATGAAGGTGTCGGCTTGGGTGTTGGCTTCTGGGTCGGTCAACGAGTATTGGTAGTTGACAGGGTCGGCATCGGTGATCACGACTGATCCGTCGCGTGAGTATGCGCACGACTCACCAGTGACACTGTACTTGACGTCCAAGTTGGTGGGCAGTGTGTTGGGGCCAGTGGGGAGGCCAACGATCTCAATATTATTGTAGTCAATGTCTGTGGGTTTGCGGCTGAACTGGATCCATGGACGGTAGCGGATGTAGACGTTCTCCATGTAGTCAAAGTAGGTGACACCGGTGGCATCTGGGGCGGTGTTCACAACGTACACCTCATACTTGTCCATGGTGGACTTGTCGAACTGGATCTTGGCCATTGTCGAGCCACATGATGTTGGCGGAGTGATCGTGTACTTGGGCTCATTGATGGTGCTGGACACATTGAGCAAGAATGCATATGTGCAGCCAAAGTAGTCTTGGACTTGGATATCTATGGCCTCGGTGCTGGACCAGCCTCGGATGTAGCGCATGTCGTAGCAGTAACTGTTCGTTGCGAACACTGATTGAATGAACACATCATCCCTGAGCACGACCACCTCGGCAACTCCAGTGGGATCGCTGTCGGTAGTGGGCATCTGGAGGACGTCAATTCTGAAAGATGGACGCGGGTCGAACTTCTGTGTGAAGGTGTGCTTCCACTTGCATGCGTTGGCCACGATCTCAATTGTGACGTTGCCAGTTGGCATGCCGTAGATCACTCCTGTCTCCTGGATGTATTGGGCGCCATCCACGTTAAATCTTTTTGAGGGCAGGCGAAGGCCTCCTTGGATCACAGAGAGCACAGCAGAGTTGGCAGCGGTGTTGGACGGGTCGGGACAACCGGACGTGCGGACGGGCTCGACCGTGATGGTGATGTTGTCATCGGTGGGCACTGGGACGTCGTTGATGATTCCTTGTCCACAGGTCTTGTGATCAAAGACGACAAAGGCACTATCGGTGGATCCAATGATGGCAGTGCCATCCACAAAGGGAAAGGCAGAGTTGGCCCAGGCAGAGTTGAAGTCGGACCAGGGCGAGGTGAATGAGATCTGACCACGAGGTACCGAGCAGTCATACGATGTTTGTGGGGTGACTTTGACGCTGAGCAAGGTGGTCGTGTCCAAGGCGACAATGGTGACAACCTCATCCTGTCCACAGACTATTCCACCGGGTCCTGGATATCCGAATCTGACTCTGGTGGTGCCGACTGGGAATTGGTAGATTGCTCCAGAGGCCTTGAGGAAGTTGGTATCATTGATTATGATTGAGCTGACCGGCAGAGTGTAGTTGAAGTACACCTCACCATATGATTGAAGGCATGGTGCTTGGGACTTGATAGTGATGGTGGCATGCTTGGGAGAGGCTACATTGAGTGGTTGGTGTTGGTTGTGTTAGTGTTTGATTAATTGGGGGAGGAGGATGAGTGACATGACATACCTTGCTTGCTATACTGAATATTCCTGCGCGAGCAAGTGGCGGTAACGAATGGGATATCCTGGTAGTAGGTGCCACTGTTGGTGTTGTTGTAGTTGACAAAGGTGCTAAGGGTGGACCTCACACCTTTGTAGATTGGTGTGACTGTGGCACTGAAGTTACCGCCACATGTAGCTGGGTAGACAGGGTCCTCGATATCAAAGATAATGTATTCAGTATGGAAGGTGGAGTCCTGCTCCTGGACCAGGAAGGAGTAGTTGCGTGCCTTGTCAGTGCCACAGCCCTTGTCGACGACGGTCACTGTCCATTGGCCCACGTACAGGCCCTTCATCACACCCTGCACAGCGGTAACAGTGTCGACAGGTGCCGCGTTGTTGGTGATGACCACACTTTCGTACATGACGTAGTTGAGGACTGAGAGGGTGTATGTTCCAATACATGATGGTTCGGTGTAGCTGAGGCTGTAGATGGGGGCCACTGTTGGGTATCCAATGTACACGGCGGCAGTATCACATGAGGTCGATGCAACGACTGACTCGCCATTATATACTTCGACTTGATGGTTGGAGTTCAGGGCGCCTTGGTTCAGGGACAGTGTGCTAAAGTCGCGTGGGTAGGTGAAGGTGGCGGTTTTGTTGGCGGTGCAGCTGGGGAGGGTAGCCGGCTTGCCAATGGAGTGCGTGACTGGAATGAAACCGGTGGAATAGGTGTAGGGTCGTTGGTTTGGACACGATAAACCGGCAAAGTCGATGGAGATGTCACCTTGTGGGATGGTCATCTGAACGCCGGCCGAGATAGGCTTGCCATTGAGGGTCAGGCCATCGGGCAGGGACACGCCGCCATTGATCGTGAATGTTTGAAGGGCGTACGAGTTGTTGCAGGTGTTCCAATTGTTTGGAGCTGAGAGTTAGCGAGGGTATTTGAGGCCACAGATAGCCAGGGAAGGCGATCAAGTTTGAGCATTGAGCAGATTGAGCAAACAAGACAAAGGGGACTGGGTTGCCATCGTTGGATTTGAGAGAGTTGAAAACGCCAGAGCTATCGCCAGTGATGTTGGCACCGTTGATTTGTAGTGTGAGCGACGTGAACTCACCAGCATTGATGACGGACACGCGGCCATTGGCCATATCGCAGACGGGGTGGACGATTGAGAGCTTGGGTCTGATGGCGTTGGACACGTCGTAGAGGAACTTGGCGCGACAACTAGAGCTGAGAGCGCTGATCCTCAGTGAAGCCACTGGCAGGGCGACGGGGATGCCCTGGTACACGTATGAGTCGTTGGTGTATGTGTATTGTGAGCCGTCCACTCTGTAGCCGGCATTTGTGTTCTCGAGGCCAGTGACGAGGACCTGGACGGGGCCACCATAGCACTTGGGTTGGGTGATGGTGATGCTGGCCAGTCTGACATCGGTGGTGTAGTTCTGGACGCACTGGCCCTTGGTAACAAAGAAGGTGTAGGTGCCTGATGTGCTGACCGTGAAGAGCGTGTGGCTGGTGTAGTTTATCTTTTGCACGCCTGTTGATGGTTGGATGGTGATTGAGTCATATCCATAGTCACTCACAGAGAATAATCTTGTTGGAAGACATAGTGAGTTGTCAAAGTCAATATCAATGTTCCTCACATCATCACAAGGGTTTCCTTGGGCCTTGGCCCATGGCAAAGACCAAACACATAAACAAACAAATAATACAAATAACTTATTATTATTATACATTATTATTATTATATATAAATATATTTATATCAAAGATATAGATGTTTGATTGATTGATTGATTGATTGATTGATTGATTGATTGAGTGATCACATAACCTTGGACGACTACGATGAGTTCACCTTTTTTGATCGATTATTGTTACCAACAAGTGATTGAAGGTGTACACTTTTTATTAATAGGGAGAGACACATCCACTGATGGGCGTCAGATTCATTGAAGACGTACATCAGGTGTCGCACCCTGCACAAACCATCTGTCCGATTACAAAAACAATCGTCGTTATGTTTTTGTTCCCACATCCAACAGTTGTTATTGGTACCTACAACAAAACTCATGCAATGTAGGCAAGACACGTTACTAATATTCCCTGTAACTATTGATTGTTTGTTTAATAGATAGATTATTATTATTTTCTTGTAACATAAAAATTATCTCTATAAACATAATAATATATATTTGAATGAATAGTATAAGCAGACTGATTTGAATTATTGGTTGGCTAACTATTTGCCAATTCAAATTGTAGAAGGGGTTGGTGTTGTCAACTTCTGTTTTCCATTTTGAAGGTCGTTTCATTCAATTCCAAGCTCACACCAAAGTTTAATATCTTGTGATAATCATTATCGCTCATAAGTTATACATTCATTGTTGTATATATATATATATATAGTAATTTATTTATATAATTAATTATGAAGACTTTGTTAGGTTGTGCACATCATGGCAGTCCTTATATTGTCAGGAGGCAACTGCAGAATAAGTTGATGATGTCACTCAAGCAACAGAGTACAAGTACGTCAACAACGACAACAACAACAATAATGACATCTCCAATCATATCATCACCTACAACAACAACAACATCATTACAACAACAGCAACAACATCATAGGAGATCATCATCTTTACACAATCACAACCAGCTTAATAGTAGCAGTGGATCACTCATTTCATCACCTGTGATCCCGATGATCACCTCAACAACATCTCCGACTACGACAATGACTGACAACAGGATATTATTAAACTCCCCGACGACAAGGCGATATTACTCTGCATTATCATCTTCGTCCTCAAGTGCTGCCGCGGCATCAACGGCATCACAGACCATGCCATCGAATACACAGACACACCATGTCAAGCCGACATCACACCACCATCATCATGGACAGCAGCAACAGCAGCAACAACAGCAGACACATCCAAATAATATCATACCAGACTTCACAACTGATTCAATTATCAACAATATCAATAGTATACCGAGCAGCACGGTGATCATCCCGAGCTCAAACAGCAAGCACACCAGCAGCAACAGCGGCGATATCAACACGCAGTCGACTGCGACCATCTCAGCGGCGGCAGCAGAGGTGGCCAAGACCGAGGACGACCTGGAAATCAAGGACGCCAACATCATATTCAACACGGCGTGGAACAAGCTTGAGCAGAAGTATGGCAAGGAGGACATGCGATTTCCCCAGGAGATCATTTACTTGATGGGCGCGCCTGGATCGGGCAAGGGCACAAACACGCCCTTCATCAGCTCGGTCAGGGGCATCACCGCCCATCCCATCGTTATGAGCTCACTGTTAAACAACTCGGAGGCGCGCAGGATCAAGGCCACGGGCGGCATGGTCAACGATTCATTCGTGTTCTACAACATCCTCGAGGAGCTCAGGAAGACCGAGTACCGCTCGGGTGTCGTCGTCGACGGATTCCCGCGCACCAACATCCAAGTCGAGTGTCTGAACGCTCTGTACGAGAAGATGAAGGACCTGCGCAAACACTTCTTCAACACCAACCTGTCATCCTGCTTCCCTCGTCCAGTCTTCCGTGTCACCGTGCTTTTTGTCGAGGAGAAGGAGAGCATTGACAGACAGATCCGTCGTGGCCAGATCACACGCGAGACCAACATCAAGCTCAAGGGACAGGGTCTGCCACTGCTCGAGGAGCGCGACACTGACACCTCAGAGGACGCAGCAAGGAAGCGATACAAGATCTTCAGGGACCACTACTCGACGCTGCAGACGCTCAAGAAGCACTTCCCTTTCACCATCATCGATGCCAGCAAGGCCATTGGCGAGGTGCAGCAGAGCATCATCAAGGAGTTCCAGTATCAGAGCTCGTTGGAGCTGGCCGAGGAGACGTACGACATGGTGCAGCGCATCCCTCTGGTGTCCGACGTGACCAACCATGCACGTGTCGACCTGGTCACACGACTGGACGAGTATCAGTTCCGTCATACCGATCTATTCGCCTCAGTTATCAACGTCATTGACAAGGAGTTCATACCAAACATCCGTCGTCATTCCATTGCCGGTAGTGCCACGGTCAGAATCACCAATCGTATCTTTTCCAATCCAATCGCAGTTGACATGGCATTGGATGTATTATCAGAGAGGTAAGGAATGACCAAAGAAGTGCGAGTACATCACAATCATACTTAACATCAATCAAATATTCAATAGAGGATTCAGGGCAACTGTTGATGTTAGGACGTCACATATTCCTCACAAGATCAATCCGACTACGATGGAGATTGAGACAATCACTCAGCATGAATACCAATTCAAGGTGGACTTCCAGAGGCCATTCATCAGAGATGTACCTGTTAACAGTCTGTTGCCTCAATTCCAACAGAAGACCTTTAAGTGAGTGGCTGCCAGTCGTGCCACAGCTCATCCAACGCGCAATCAATGATTATTGTTTGTTTGATTGATTGTGGCTCCATTCACATCCATCATATACACCTACCCAAGTTATTTGGGGACTATCCCTTTGGTTTCTTCAACAACAATGTACATCATCCTACTTCCACCCATCACATTTGAAGTGAATGTTTTGATTGAAACCCATAAATTAATTTTTCGTCATTTTGAAAAACGAACGAGCCAAATGCTTGTTAGTGAGTCTCTCTCTATCATATTCACATTCATAATATAAATATATACATAGATATACAACATGCCTATACAATCAAAGAAAAAGACGACAGCAGTTGTTGTACCAAAACAACAACAACCTGTTGTTTCGACTGCAGCGGCTACAAAGAAGAAGACAGCAGTCCCAACAAAGGCTAAGGCAACAACAGCAAAAGTTGTAGAGCCAGTGGTTGTCGAGACTCCAGTAGATGACCCAAGCGTATTGAGCATGGTAGAGAGTGCAGTAAAGGATGTTAGCGAGCATCCAGAACACTTTATCGATAAACCAACACAGATCCAACAATTGACTACCAAGGTACTCGAGAGATTATATAACTATTGTATGTATACATATATGTGGAATGTAATGGAATGATCACCGACTAACACTCACTGTCATGTAGCCAAGGCAAAGGAGGTACAGCCCACTGATGCACTGGATAGACTGATGCTGGAGGGATTCGATAATGAACAGATTTGGGCACAAATACAATTGTTCAATGATCCAATGTTGGATTACATCACCAAACAAGTACAGATGTTGCAGCAGAATGATGACGACGAGGATGAGGACGACGAAGATGCAGACCAGTACAGTGAGGATGATTATGAGTTGGAGGACGACGAGGAGTTGGAGGATGATGCCGAGTTCAGCGACGAAGGTGACCTCCAAGATGGCAGTTTTGACGATGATGGAATCAGTGGCAGCCTTGAAGACGAGGACGATGACGAGCAGCTCGATGATGACGATGAAGATAACGAGGAGTTCGATGATGATGAGCTCGATGGAGAGGATGACGACGAGGACCTCGAAGACGACGACGAGGAGGATGGTGATGAGGATCAGAAGCTAATGTCAAGACCAGCCACAAAGGGCAAAGATATGAACTTCTTCAATCAAGAGGAGATGGAGAAGTTCTTGGACGACGCCGATGAGGAGGAGCGTGACTCTGACAAGTCCGAGGACTTTGACGAGGATGACGAGGATGAGGAAGGAGGATTTGGATTCGCCGAGGGCGAGATGGACGAAGAGGAAGCCAGACTCGACAAACTGCTGGACAAATACATAGAGAAGGAAGGTGTAGCCAAGAAGGAGAAGACCAAGCAAGTCAAGCCAGAGGACATGAAGTTTGACGACTTCTTCAAGAATCCAGAGTATGTAGCATCGCGAGGTTGATCATCGCGAGACATACACTAACTCACACACTCTGTCAATCAATCAACAGCGAGGATGAGGAGGAAGAGTTCCCAATGGAGAGAGACGATGATGATATGGATGATGATGATTTGGACTTGGACGACGATCTGGCAGAGGACGCCACCGCTGGTGACGACTCGGAATCAACACTGCCAAAGGAGGAGCTGTCTGCCTTTGAGAAGAGAGCACAGAAGGTACAAGAGAGAATCAGAGAGCTCGAGAAACAGAACTTGAAGAAGAAGAAGTGGACTGTCATTGGTGAGGCTGCTGCAAAGGATCGTCCAGTCAACTCGCTGTTGGAGGAGCATCTGGATTTTGAATATACACAAAAGGTCGCGCCAGTTATTACCGAGGAGACCAACAAGTCCTTGGAGGACATTATCAAGAAGAGGATATTCGAGGTATGTTTGGACTTGATTGATTGTAATGGACTGGACTGGACCGGATTGTTAACTAACCTTCAATCAATCAACAGAAAAACTTTAGCGATGTAATTAGAAAGACTGAGGAGGAGTTTGAGCAGAAGTTCAAGGCAAAGGTTGAGCTCAATGATCAGAAGAATGCTGAGGGTCTGAGCTCAGTCTATGAGAAGGACGTAAGTTACCTCATACAATCATCTCAATCATCTCAATCACTAACTCCATCCATTAACCATCCATCCAACAAGTTTTTGACCAAGGCTATGGGAGTAGAGTTGACAGACGAGACAAAGGAGAAGCATGAGAAGATTCACACATTGCTGGAAGCTCTGATGTACAAGCTGGACTCACTTACCAACTTCAACTACACACCAAAGCGCATCAAGAATAAGGAGCTCAATATCACCAATACACAGTCGATCTCCATCGAGGAGAAGATTCCAGTGGCCACAAGCACCGCACAGCTGGTGGCACCAGAGGAGGTGTACTTCAAGCAGAATGCCGACGAGAAGGGATACTCAGAGATGTCGAAAGAGGAGAAGAAGCAGCTGCGAAGCAAGACCAAGGAGATGTGGCGCAAGGACAAGAAGGAGAAGGATGCAAAGGAGCTCAAGGCCGAGAAGACAAACGCCAATCTCGCCAAGAGGAACGAGACCAGACGTGCAATGGAGCATCTCAAAGCATCAAGGAACACAACCATCATCGACCCAAGCAAGACCAGGAAGCATATATCATCTGGCAACGTCTTTGCCAAGCTCCAAGAAGAGCAAGATAACAAGAGAAAGGGTGGAGACGACAGCAATGGCAATGGCAACAGAAACAGCAAGAAGCCCAAGGTATCAAACGAATCAGGTGCCAAGTTCAAATTGTAGAGTGTTGTTCCTTCCAACAACTACTATTATTATTACTAGTATAAAGTTCATAAACAAACATTATGATCATAATCAACAACTATATGTCTATGAACAGATGTATGAAAGGTGGAATAGAATGGAATGGAATGGATGAATGAAGGTAGTGAATGGGTAGCAGTGTGCATGGACTCGAGTGTTCTTGGAAGGAGCAGGGACGACTGTGACCTCATGACTACAATATGGAGTGAAAGAGTCATGAGTAGATTCAATAGAGTACCAAATTATTACTTCTTTTGGTAAAAGTCAAAGGTCACATGAGAATGAAAGAAAACAGTGTGTGGGATAAAGAATGAAGTCACAATGAGATACAAAGACATACACCCCATGGTCATTCATACACATACTCACAATACACTCTCTCAAAGACACTCACACACACACATACACTTACATTCACACTAGATAGTGTTGGCAACGAGAATGAAAACATTACTAAATAGAGATGTATAGATGGTGAGGTGGAGGGACGATATCTAATGATTAATATCAAAGACAGTCTCCAAAGGGAAAGTCGTAAATGAACAAGGCATCTCCAAAGGTATCTACATTCATAGTCTCTCTCACTCACTCACACTCACCAATAGACTGTCAACGAGCCAGCCTGTCAACTAGTTGCAAGCGCAGTCTTCCAGTCTCACAGTCTACTAACCATCCAAACAAACTACAAACATAAACATTCATTCATTCATCTAAGATACGTCTTTAAACATATAATCATTCTTTTATCTCTCTATACCTCTTTATATATATCATCCTTCAGTCAGTCTTACAGACATTTTAATAATCAATAATTGTAAATAGAATATAATGGCCACCCTATACCAAGACCAAACAATCAGCAACTCTGTCGACCATGGTAAGTAATAACTTAATAATAATAATAATCCACTTCATTCAAATTGTTTATTGACGATAAATATTTCTAACACTCTACCTCTGTTCATTCATTCATATCCAGCTGGATACCAACAGCTTGCCTCCAACACTTCATACTCCTCAACCAGAGGTGCATTTGAGAAGAATGCTGCTTGGAGTGAGGAGAGTGGAGTCATCAAGTTAGAGCAACCAAGACAACGTGTTCTGGTTGACAGACAACAGACTCAGGTTCAGGTTAACGAAGGTTAGTGTTGAATTGATTGATTGATAATGAAACAAATATTAATATTTCCCAATACAGGAAAGGATGTGATCAATATTATTGAGATGGCACCAGAGATCAATATCAGAGAGAACGCACCAAAGGTTGAGGTTGTGCAGAGAGTGGTAACTGCTGATGTCACCATCCCACCAGCAAGAGTGGACATCACCCACCCAACCCCAAGAATCTTCCTGGAGCAGCAGGCACCAGTGATCGATGTCAACCAAATGGCCCCACGTATTGAGTTCATCCAGCGTGATCCAATCGTCAATGTTAACCAACCAAAGGCTCAGGTCATCATCAACCAGCAGAAGCCAGAGGTTAAGATCCAGTCTGCCCAGCCACTGATCACCGTTGCAGCTTGTGATGCCCCCAAGATCCAGGTTCACCAATCCGAGCCAGTGATCAAGCTGTTCAAGAGTGAACCAATTATCCGTATCTCTGAGCTTAAGGGAACACCAGAGGTCGTCTTCCAGAAGTGGGAGAACTGCACATTGAACTGGAAGCAGATGCAACAGCCAATCCTGACTGTGAACCGTCCCCAGGTTGCCTACAACCAGGCCGTGAAGAAGGTGGAGTCCACTGGCAATGTTCAGCTTGTCAAGGGAGAGCCCACATGGCTCCAGAGCAAGGACTTGAAGCAAGAGACCGCCACCTATTGAGCATGCTTTGGTCAATAATCAGACAACATTCAACATAAGTTAACTTACAAATAAATATATATTGTATATATGAATATCCATCAGTAGCTACATTCAATGATAATCGGATACAAGTTTATTGATAAAGACATGTGTACAGTATTAGAGGAAGGAAAGAGTAGGATATGAATTAAGATGGATTGATGAACAAGACTGAGAGACAGGCTATTCAGGGACTTGAATGAACTCCTTGAGTTCATCTTGATCAAGCTCATCATGGTCGACTTCTTGGTCCTGCTTTAGATCGTCCACACCAGTGATGCTGGACTCGTCAAAGTGCAAAGGAGTGTTGTTCCTGTTTCTTGTTCGCTCTGCGTGCAACAGCTCCTTCTCCTTCTTGGTGGCCAATGCTTCGACAATCATGCACTCGATAATCTTAACCTCCTTCTTTGAATTCTCCAACGCTCGTTGTGGATCATTGATTGGCGAGCGGATAAGTACTGGCGCCAACACCACTGCCAAGCTATGACAGTCCATCTTGGAGGCAATGGCGTACTCTGGCTCGCTAAACTCGACCAAGAAGTCTATAAGATATCGCAGAACCTTGATGTTGAGCTCTGGTAGTCTAGCTTCCATAATCGCCCATGAGTTGATTGGTGATGTTAATAGTTCGTCACTGAATTTGAGTATATATGGTTAGTGATCCATCACATTGTTTGATTGATTAACAACATACTAAATATCAGCTGATATTATTGGCGTTGGTAGGTCTCTAAGCCAGTTCTTTAGGAGTGATGCTACGAGATGTACATCAGTCAGGTGATCCAGAGTGCCACCTTCATCAAGTCTTAACTTCTCTTGCTGTATCTGAGTGTGTGATGGTGACATGCGGAAGATACCCTCTGTCTCTAGAGCGTTCAGCTTAAGCAATGTCTGAACAAAGTTGATCAGAATCAAGGGTACATCAACCTGCGGGAACTCATTCTTTTGTTGTCTCATCAACTCATCCAAGTCTGTTCCAAAGATGGGTCGACCAACGTGTACGCTCTGAATGGGTGTGGCCAGGGTAGGCGTGTCAGTATACTGTCCAAACGACGTGATGGTGATGGTACATACATCTTCTTTCTTTAGAACATTAAAGAATCCAAAGATGTTTTCTTTGAATGAGAGCTTGCGAGGTGGAGGCGACGAGGCAGTCAGATGCACAGAGCTGGCACTGTTGTTCAATGAGATGAGCTTGCCCTCGATATAAGGCTCGAATTGCAATGGTGGATGTATCTTTCGCAATGTTGTATGTGTCTGGATGAATGTTTGGATGTCTGTCTCTGGATCGATCCAATCAGTCTGCTTGCAACCATTGTTCAACTCACCCTCAAGTGTAGGAGGTATCTCCAACATCAATCCAAAGTAGTTCTTTATGTTGCTCTTGATGAACTGTATCCTCATCGACTCAAACTGTTGGAACTCCTATGTATTGGATTGATTGATGATCGTTAGTCACTGGCAATGGGGTCACTCATTCAGACATGTGACCGATCCATCCTTACATTCAAGTTGTCCTCCATCTTTGATTGATAGTATCCATGGATAAAGTTGTTGGTCTCCTTGATTTGGTCTTTGTACTCTTCCTCGGCAGAGATGGAGAGTGCCTCACACCTGGCCACCTTGGAGTCAATCGACTGGATCTTCTGACTGTTGTCAGGCTCCTTCTCCAACACATTGATCAACTCAATCTTTGCCGACTCTGTCTCCTTGCTGGCCTTCTCATACTTTTGGTACACACGTCTGACGGCCTCCAAAGAGTCCTTGTAATCACTCCTCAATCTCAATCCTTCAGAGACCATATTCTTCCTTCGAATCTCCATCTCCTTGACCATCGCTGTGAAAGGATGACATAGATTACTCATCAAGTTCTGTGCGAATGACTTGTGGATATTGGACTCTGACTCGCTGAACATTGACATGCATAGGAATCCCTTCTGGAATGAACTATGGTGATAGTGATATGTTATGTTAGAGAGACGTGAATTCAACATCATCATCATCAACATGATCTTCATCATCACTCACTCTGTATCATCCTTGAACTTGAACTTTGAGAACGGCTCTACGACACTCTTGGCGTACTTCTCCTCGAGTGCAGCACGTTTCTTGAAGAAGTCCAACAGCTCTCTACATTGATCCAGACCAAACTCTGTCCTCCTACATAGTAGATCAAAGCCATCCCACATATCCTGTGAGAATGACAACTTCTTCTCTTGTTGTTGTTGATTGATTGAAGATGTACTTGAAGTTGAAGTAGACAATACCTGTGTTGTAGATGTTGCATCATTGCTAGATGTCAATGTTTGTGTCTGAGTCTGAGTAGGTGACTGAGTCTGAGTCTGTGATTGAGTCTGTGACTGAGTCTGGGTCGGAGCCTGGGAGTTCGATGTCGGAGATTGTGATTCTGTATCTAATGAGAATACATCACCAGATGACGTTGGTGTTGGTGTTGATGTTGACATTATTATCTAATATCTAATATCTAAAATATATTTATATTATCTAATATCTGTATAGTGATAATAATGTATTCGTTGTGCAAAAGATACAAAGTCTTCATTAATTAAATAATTTGTGAAGTTGATGGAAGTGTGGGTTGTGTGTTGAAGACATAAACAATTGTTTATTTGAAATGATTGAAGGTAATCTATTCAAACTCAACAATTCAAACAAATACTTATACATTGAAATATTTAGATATATAACATAATATATATAACCTATTTATACTCTTTTATACTCTTATAACATTGTAAATAAATTCTAGAACATATTACTTCCTAATATGGTAAATGCCAAATCAATTGGAATAGCTGTTACAATGACAGTGACAAGACACACAAAGGGGGACTGTGATTCAAAAACTTCAAGATTCAAAGTTTAATTCATAACTCATCATTGTATCTCTATCTCTATCTCTATCACTATTACATACTTCTCTTTTATAACATGACACAGTTAATAATGACAGATGATGAACAAAACATTGATAATGATGTACATGTTGAGTTGAAGGGTGTCATCAAGGTCAGAGGTATCCTCTCCACTACGACAACAACATCATCAAGTACAACTAGTGGCAACAGTAGTATCAACAACAGTATCAACAGCAAGGATGTCGCTGTTGCCACTAATGATACAACAACCGCATCAACAACTTCAAATACAACTCCAACAACTTCTTCAACAACTCCAAATGGTACATCTGATGGATTATCAATCAAAGAGTACTCCTATACACTCGATATGGATCAATCGATACTATCATTCTATGAAGGTATATTACGAATAGATACATGTCAATCAATCAATCAATCAATAATACTTACTCATCATGTCTTCGACGAATCATCAACTCAAATAGTTGGATCAAAGGTCGTTGACACACCAATCTACTTCATACTGCTCAATGATATTGCAAAGTATGAAACGGTGGATGATGTTGATCACTCGCACTATACACTGTCGTGCACTCTGGACGATGGTACATCATTGCAGTTGGTGTTTGACACCAAGGACACTAGAAATTGTTGGATAGATACAATTGGTCTATTCCAACAATCAAAGTTACTATCAAGTACAACTGATGTAGATAATGATAATGATCATGATCATGATGATAATGATGATAAAGAAGTTACCAAGTCAAAGGATGACACCACACCCAGCAACAACAACCCATTGGCACAGAGCGATCACCTGGGAGGCTCAACATCATTGATGGTCAGAGAAGTCAAGTACAGTAACTTGGAGGAGAGGCCTGTAACAAATAACAACAACACGATCGTTCATCCATTGTCCATTCCCGAGAATATGGATCATGATGAGCACCATAATGAGCACGATCATGAACAAGGAGTCACAACTCAATTGGATCATTCAGATCTGTATCCTGCTGAGGACATGGATGACAACCCTCTATCAATGTATCCACCACCATCACCAACAACGACATCATCAACAAACAAGTCCAACAACAACAATGACCATTTGGGTGTTTCAGTGATGCCCGTCAACATTGGACTGCAGATCAATCAAAATGGATACTTTGTAGTGGACACACCAAATCAAATGAATATAATATTGGAGATGACTAATCATGGCGATACTCAATGTGCTGGAATGCTTGTTGGTCAGTTCAAACTGGATTGGAAGCCATTGTCAAAGATATGGTGTGTTAGTAACGAGTCATCTGTCGAGATTGGACCCGGCACACCATCCAAAGAGGAACTACTACATCGTATTAGAGAAAAGATCAACAGTGCCGCAGCCAATGGTGATGGTATGATGGTCGAGCTACTAGTGGAGCGCGAGAGGGTCATTACACTCTCGAGCAGTCATCAATACTGTCTTCCGGGAGGGTTGGTACTTGGCCTTCGCAATGAGAAATGGGAGTTACTCGATGCTCCCATCCCCTTGACCAACAACAACATGTCACCATTCCACAAGATGCGACAACAACAACAACAACAACAACAACATCATCATCATCACCATCAACAACAACAACATCAACAACAACATCAACAACAACAACGATCACAAACAAACAGCGCCAACAACTCACCGATGGTAACTTCGATGTCAACATCATTGTTGTCAAGTATATTTGGAACGACTAATCAGCATCGTGGTGACCAGCCAGTGTTGGACATTGATCATGTTGGAAACTTACTCACTCAAGTGAAGCATGCAGTCATTGAAGTGGTGACTTACTTTGATAATGCCGCAACGACCCCTGCCAAGGATTACTGTGGCGACGACACCAAATGCCGCCGTATCGCCGTGCTCGTGAGAGGCAAACTCTCTAGCACAATTGCCAACGTACTATCACATGGCTTCCGTGTCAAGGGAGGCGGCGGCGCTCACCTTCTCTCATCACTAGTGCAGCGTAACAATCACATCTGGGACTTTATCGAGTCGTATCGACGCATGACCAGCCACTCCTCGATTGCTGGCGTGTCGCTTTGCCAGACTATTGAAGCAATCAATAGACAAGAACACTCCTCGCATGCAGAATATGCGGCACAGTGGGGCGATCCCAACCTAAAGCTGCGAACATTCATCTGCCTGGCGCTAAACAATCATATACTGGACCAATGGCTGATATGTCTGCGACAGAACCAATCAGCCGTGACCACCTACTACGACAAGAATGCTTTGATCAACTGTCTCGATGTGTGGAAGTCATTCAGCCAACTCTTTATCCCTCTGCACACGATGACATTCAAACTATCATTGGACTATGAGTGCAAGATTAAGTTGAATGGTCGTCGCGAGGCACTAGCATCATCATCCTCATCAACATCGTCAACCTCATCATCATCTGGAGCCGCCGTACTCACGCCTGATCTACTCTCATCACAGCCAAGTCATAGTGGATCAATGGACACTCTAAAGAGTCTCAGACTATCATTCAGTACACTCTCATCATCGATCATGGAGAACACCAGTCAGATCTTCCACGCACTACCACGTACAACCCGACAGCCAATCATCAGCATCAATGACACTCACCATGATGACGAAGATAGCAACGCCAAACAATCACCATCACCATCACCTGGATCACAAACAATCACCCATGAGAAGATACAACAGAGGATTCAACAACTGCGTGAGAAGTACAATTCAAACCAGACTAGCATAAACAGGATGAAGGAATACTTGAATAAGGCCAAGTCAGACACTGAGCAGGACAAGGAAGTACCAGCTATAAGGGTCGAGCTTGACAACTTAATGGATCAACAACAACACCTGACACGTATTATATCACAACTTCAACAAAATGAACAACAACATCCAATCGATCAATCACAGAATAAGATACAGACTCAGGCCCAGAGGTCACCACCTCAGCAGCATTCCGAGCCCAAACAACAACCACCTCCACCAACAATAGAAGCCCCACAGACTACCTCGACCACGACTACAACTACTACTACAACATCACAGGAGCCGAACAAAACAACAGACAAGGTAGAGAAAGTAGAAGAGCATAATGGAGACATCCTGGATATGATCCAATCAACAATTCGTCCATTATCACAACGAATAGAACATTACTTTGATGGATACTAAGTCAACAAACAACCATTCAATCAACGAACAATCCAATCAAATGTACATTTACAAATATATTATTATTATATATATTAATTTCCAGACTGACTGACTGGCAATTATACTAAAGGGTGGGGAAGATTGATGCGATGGGATCATAGTAGGACACAGTTCTTGTCACCTTTCCTCCTCTCCTTATCCTTGACCTTGCCTTTGCCTTCGGACATTGTCTCGATGTAGATGCGGATCGCTTCTTCAAACACCTGTGGCACACCCTTCATCGTCTGAACCGAACATTCAGAGAAAGCGCGTGCACCTATCTTTCGCATCATAACCAGGCCCTCTTCATAGGTGATCGGTTTCATCTCTTTCTCCTCCAGTGATTTGAGCACTTCGGCATCCTCGCGCAAGTCAGTCTGTGTACCAACCAATACAATAGGTACATTCTTTGTATAATGATTGATCTCTGGTAGCCACTTATCAAACACATTAAGATATGATGGTGGATTGACCACTGAATAACACATCAGGAATATATCTGTTGAAACGTACCCATGGAATCTAAGACGATCAAAGTCCTCCTGTCCAGCTATATTTGATTGTTTGATTGGTTGAGTCAGTGGAATAGTTCCAATGATTGATTGATTGAGTGAGTGATCCAATTGGTGTCCTCCATGTAATGATCATACCTGTATCCCAAAGACCAAGTTTAAATGCCTTGCCATCATACATCTTATGTGTACTAAAGTTGTCAAATACTGTTGGTTGGTAGTCTCTTGGAAAACCTCCTGATGCAAATGATATAAGCATTGATGTCTAAGTTGAGGGTATAATTGTAATTGTAAGTCAACCAATCAATCATTTTGATGGTGAACATCCAGACAAGACCATTACCTTTCCAATCGCACCATCGCCAACCACTACAACCTTGATGTGGAACATTGTGAATAAATATAAATATTATTAATAATAATAACTTTGTTGATAGCTATCCTGTCAGATGTCAGACATCAATCAAATTGAATATGACTGACGAATGGTGATTGTCGACTAATATGGGACAATCAATGCGTAGAGAGTGTGTTTGATCGATTGATTGAGTGAGTGGAGTAGACAAGATTGACAGAGAGGTGTTATTTATATTATATTTGTTGTATATATGTGAGTGTGGAGAGAGAGTATTGGAATGAGGAACTGGGAAATGGATGTTACACCTCCGTGTAAAGTGGAATACCTAGTTAATATGTTAATTAATTAGTCAGTCAGTCAGGGCAGGCAGGTGTTTTGATAACAGGCTGGAATCAATCAATACATTATCACATGACCTTCTTCTCCACACATCCAGGATGTGGTATGTGTGATTGTTTGTGTGTGAAGTGAGGTTAGTGTTATGAGTGAACAGAATGATTGGTGTGTGATTGATTGATTGTTGTTGGCAGCAGCAGAAGTGTGTGGTCATGTGATGTGAGTGTGTTTGTGTGAGTGTCTGATTCTGATCGATGACACATATAACTCATTTACATTTATATAAATGTACACTTACTCATTGTTGTGTGTATGTATCCATCACTGTGATTCCATCGGGCACGACCTGGAGGATCGAGAGGACTAATTAGACCATTGGTTGAATTCTCACCGTTCAATCTTCGATCATTTTATTCCTTTCCCTTCGTTAACCTAAGTGCAATGAATATAGCCATTATCATCATAATCAAACAGTGAAGGGCTTTGTCAACAACACCAAGTTCCAAAGTTGACCAAACTTTTAATTTATGGGAGTTTTATAGTGATGACGGGGTGGTTGGAGGATGGTGAAGTGCATTGGTTCTGATGATTCACTTGATCATTCAATCAATGTTGTACAAGTAATCTTTGTCTCCCTTTTATTAATATAATATAATATAACATATAACACAACAATGCATTCAGTATCACAGAGAGCCAATTTGATAATATGCTTTGGAGCTGTTGTTCTGTTTGGTGTATTGGTACTCAATGTACTCTCAAGATCATTCTTTCCTGATCGTATCGATATAACGTTAACGGGAAAGGCGCACAAGTTGTATGTTATCATTGAAAGAGGATGAACTATACCTCATCTCTATTTGTTAACTTACATCAACTCATCCCATCATCATCATCCATCCAACAACAACAGTGTCAATAGGAATCCAGTAGAGTTGGCACAAGTCGTTGTCGACCTTGACACTGATCTCACACCTCTATTCAACTGGAACACAAAGATGTTGTTCCTTTATATAACAGCAGAATATCAAACAACTGAGAATGTAAGATAGTCATCATACTTGCATTGGAGTGTCGACTAAGTACTCATTCACTCACTCATCAATCAATCAAAGGTTGTCAGCCAAGTAGTTATCTGGGATCGTATACTTAATGACAAGACAAAGGCAATCATCAATGAGAAGAATCTGATCAAATATATATTGATTGATCACAGTGGAGAACTGAGGTAATGTCGTCTCACATGACCAAGGATCTGGACACTCACTAACTCCTCCTCATCATCATCATACATACATACAGGAGCGCAAACATAACATTGACATTCAACTATAATGTCATACCAATCAGTGGACCACTGACAAGACACAAACAGGGATCATACTCATTCAATATGCCAGTTGACTATGTGCAGTAATACATCATCATCATTCATTATAATGGACATGAAGGTACTTGTTTACTTTACTTTCACTCAATTACTTCTTGAATATGGATGACAGTTGCGATGTTATGAAGGTGATTGATTGATCGGCCAATGGAGTGCCCTGCTCGGACAGTGCCTTGAAATGCTCTTTGCTCTTGAGATTGTCCAGTCGCTGTTGGAACAGGTCAAGACACAGATAAAAGTCCCTCTTGCTGTACTCATAGGCGACTGTGGCGGGCGGTGATGGCGCTGGCAGACTCTGGAAATGATTATGATAGCTCTGGACAAACTGGCAGATCACCTGAAGCAGGGACGGCAACACCTGGAGTCCGTTGATGATGGGATTGCTCTTGCTCTCTGCGTAGATAGCTGGGTCGATGAGTCCCGTGAGCGAGGTGTCGCCTTCGGCCGAAAACGTGAAACATCGATCAAACAGATTGTTCCAGCTGCCTTCGATCGACGTGCAGTCAATTATACCATCTTGTAGCAGCGTGAGGAAGATCCAGTTGTAGCAGTGCATCCATGCCAGTGATTGATTGTTCGTCTGGCGCACCAGGCCAAAGATACGCAGCGGTGACAACAGATGTGTTGGTATCAGTTGCTTAAAGCTGGTCTGTATGCCAACCAATCGCTTGATGAACTGGACGATACTGCTGCGCAGATGTATGTTGATTGAATGATTGATGTATAGGGGTCGAGTCTGCTTGACCTTGATGTCACTTGTGACTGTTACAATGAGGTCGTTACTGTTGCCGCTGTTTCCACTGTTGTTGTTGGTGTCATTTTCCATGTGTCTTTGGGCCTCGTAGAAGTTCTCAATGACTAGGAGGTCAGTGAACACTGAAAGTACCACACGGAAAAGTGTGGATAGGATGGATTGGATGTCGGTCGTGTCGCCCTTGGCCGCGTGATGCTCCAACAGTGCAGTGGACTTGACAATGAGGATGGAGATATCGTTGGTCAGCTTGGTCCTGTCCTCCTCGGACGTGAGCAACTGCTCGACATTGTCCTCGCTGGCAAACACCTGTGCCAATTGATCGTGGATGGCCTCGAGCTGAGTGCAAAGGGTCCTGAGGTCGGTGCGCTCATCCAGAACCTTGAGATGATTGCTTGTGACGCTGGTGATAGTGTATCTGTGCTCCTTGTTCTTGACGACGTCGGCCAATGATATGTTGAGCAGCTGCAGTGACGACTTGGTCATCGATACCGTCTGCTTCTTGGACGTGATCTCAATCGCCAAGATCCTCGCACGTTGCTGTGCCAGGCTTAGACTAACGTCCTCGGCACCCCTGAGCAAGTGTGCCGATATCATTGACGTGGCCACGCTGAGCACCGAGTCATCAATGCTCATGGGTGCCAACATCATCACCAGGGTCTTTATGTTGTCCTTGCAGTATGTGTCTATCTCCTTCAACGCGGCCACTTTGAGGCGTTGATACAATGTCTGAATGAGCTCTTGCAGCTTCTGATTTCCACTGTCCATGAGCTGGAACACGTTGTCCTGATTGTTGCTGTTGTTCTTTTGTGGACTCTTTGAGGGCGATGATGATGCAGAGTGTGGTCGAAGCTCTTCAATGTACGCGTTTGATAGCTTGATGGTGATGGGCACGGCAAGGTTGAATATGACCTCACTAAAGAAGGGCAGTAGTGTGTCTTGTAGTAGATTGGATAATCGAGCAATGTCTGGATGTGACCAAAAGAACCAGTACTCCAACTGGTTCTGCAGCTTGCTCTCGCTGACGTACTCTGAGGAGGTGGCCTGTGACGAAGCTGTGATGGGCGCGATCTTTTTGATTGTCTGATTGCCCTTCTTCCTAATCAGATGCTTCGAGGGTGAGATGGATGCTGGGTTGGATGACAAGTCCGATTGGCTTTGCAAGTTGCGATCGCCCCCGCTGTGTGTAGTGGCGGCATCGCGCAGCGTCACAAACAAGTCGTTCAACATTAACGTGATGTTGTTGCTGTCGGCCCAGAGCATCGAATATCCAATCGTTGGGTTGAGGTCGGCTGCTGGCTGTCCGCCCGATGGCTTGGACTTGGTGGGTGTGGTGGCCGACTGTGCAGCCTTTGATGGAGTGGTTGGTGTGCGTGGCGTTGATGATGGCGAGGGTGATGTAGTGACCAGACCACTACCTGCGAATGGCAACGAGACGTGTGTGTAGACCAGTGCCGAAGTGTTGGCGAGCTCAAAGTATCGCTCGAGCTCCAACAGGATGAACAATGATGTGTAGTTGAATGATGAATGGTTGCCGGGCGTAGGAATGACGCTGGGCAGATTGTAGATGTTCTTGAGGATGTTCGTGAGCTCCTGGAAGAGCGGGGTCTCACGCGTGACATTGTCCGCCATCTTGAGGAACTGGACGACACAGGGGATGCCCACCACCATGGTCTCGGACGTCATGCTGTTCAGGAGCAGTGTGCGCCAGTCAACGGGTGGCGGAAGTGCATTGCATCGCGTGCTGATGTCTGCGAATGATGGTGACTGCCATGACGAGCTCTTGTGGTACGTCTCGGTGGGCAGAAGGTGCAGCAGGGTCATGAGGCGCACCAGGCTTTGGAGATGACTGATGCGATCGTGGTAGTCGCCGTGATTGTGGTTGACGTTGCTGCATTGGCAGGTCTGGAGTGTGTTGAACTTGTCCACAAGGCTGGCCTGCAAGTGGTGGTAGAATTGGAAGTCATTGTGCGCCAGGATGAAGTTGGCAAAGAACTGTTCCTTAATGTTGAAGAATGAAAGGAGACGGGCGAATGTGTTTGGTGAGGTCTGATGGCTGTGGCTGGGTGCGCTGCTGCTACTACTCTGTTGTCCACCGCCACTCTGATGTCCACCACCACCATAGTGATGCCTGCCTTGATACCTATGTTGCTGATCATGATTACGATGCATTGCTGGATGTGATGGTTGAGGTTGTTGTGTCTCTGCTGTTGCTGCTGGCTTTGTCGTCGTCGTTGTCGCCGTCGTAGGTTGATACACCAAATGAAGTTGATTCAATGGTATTATCGTTTTCTTCTGCTTTCCACTCGTTGGTGTAGGAGTGGCTGTGTTTGGTTTACTTGTCGTCGAAGTTGTTGTTGCGCTCGTTGTGTTGCCTTGCTTATTGATTGTACTATTACCGCCCCCAAGTGAGGGCGAGGGTGATGGCGAGGGCGAGAGATGGATGGCTCCACCTTGCTCCATACGCTTCTGAAGTAACATCATCCTCTCTTGATTCCATGGTGATTGCTCTTTGTTGGTGCCAGAGGTGGCGAGCTCGGATGGAGTGTAATGCTGTTGCTGCTGTTGTTGTTGCTCATCAATGTCCAGCTGGCAGCACTGTTGATACTGATCAATGAAGAAGTCACAGAACCACCAAATATTCTTACGATTGAGTAATTGATTGAAGAACTTATCCACACGTGATGAGAGCATATCAATGGATGATGATGTTGTCGTTGTTGCTCCACCAGTACTGATGGAGCCTGGCGTTGCCTGGAACACTCTGATCAAGTCATGGAACTCATCCAGACACTTCTGGCGATTGGGGTCCTCAGTCTTTCTGAACATCTTCTGATATGGATCGGTCTCGCCTTGAGTCCTGAACGGTGAGATCATTCTTGATGACTTCTTCCTTGCGCTCAATGATTGTTTGTTCTCCTCCATGACCCTATTCGCACTTGCCTTGAGTGATTGAGACAAGTGTTGATCGTATTGTTCAACTCTATATTGATTGATTGATTGAATGAGTTAGTGAGTGCACTCCAAGGACTCATTCTATTACGACTATAGCTTACATCTTGTTATCAGATAACTGTAACAGTAGCTTGGGATGAAGCAGGACGAGTAGTGGTTGTAGATTGTTTAGCGCTCGGAGACAAAAGTGAAGTGCCCATGCCACAGATGGAAAGAGTGATTGGTCAAGTGTGGATAGAGTGGCCACCATCGAAGCCTTTGAGTGTTGGCCGCTGCCACCACAGCCACTACCACCGCCAGTGCCAGTGATTCGTTGTATTGCCGACAAGATCATCAGTAGGAAGTTGAACTCTGTGAGCATCGTGCTCGTATATAATCTGTTAAACATTATTGAGCAGTATATCTCTACTGCCGCATCCACCTGGTCTGATTGATCCTTTTGGATCGTCTGCCAGGCATCACTCTTGGCATCCACATGTTGTCCACCTTGTTGTTGTTGTTGATTATTATTTGAAGATGATGCTGACTTGCGATGTTGTATTGGCGCGGACAATGGAGGAAAGTCATTACTACTTGGTGTTGTGGCGGTGGGCACTGTTAAAGTTGGCGTGGCAGTCAACTGCCCACTCCCCAGTGGAGTTGAATGTTTAAACATCAATGCATTGAACAATGTCTTTAACTCCTCTATATAGTACTGTGCAAATGATACTGGTGATCTCTGATTCAACTCCCTTATAGATGTATACTTATATATTGATTGATTGAGTGAGTGAGTCAAGTCGAGTCGAGTCAGGGTCAAGATGATTGATAACTTACATCATTGGATGACGAATACTTTGGTGTCTTGGTTGATGATATCCATTGTACAACCAATGACAATTGTATCTTTGATTGAAGTATCAACAACAATAGTGATTTGAACTCATTGTCTGCAGATGTTACCCCTTGATTTGTGTCACCTGACATGACATTTGAAGTCGGAGTTGTTGTGTTTGTTGATTGTGTTTGAGTTTGAGGTTGTACTGCTGCTGTTGTTGTTGTTGTTGTTGTTGCTGCAACTACAGTCGATACATGTTTAGTAGCAGTATTCATTACTGTATATACAACTGATTAATTGATTGAATGATTATTTGTACACAACAAGTAAGTTCACCAAAAATGAAGGGTACCCCCTTTGCTATGAAGAGTTTTTTTGAACATCGTCTCAATTCAACTCCAAACAAAGTATTACAATCAATACTACTAATAATTTAACTTATGACATTGTACAGTTATAACTACTACTATAAATAACAAATAATAATTTATGTTAAAAAAAGTGATTTATCCCATAAATAAAGAATTAAAAGGAAAGAAGTAAGGGTAAGTTTCGTTCGTTTTGTTAGAGTTTCGAAAAGGAAAAAAACCCTTTGTAGACGATTCGACAAAAATCGTCCATCCCTATCTGTTCTATGTTACAGTGTAGGCATGCGGCCATGTACAAAGTAAGACTTATCGCTATTCTTTATATGCTTGTCTCGGCTGGTTGAAAGACTAGATCTGGGAGAAGTGCGCGGGATAACATACATTCCAATCATCATCATCATCAAATCAAATCAATCAAAAAGATAAACTAAACTAAACTTATTAATGTTGTGTGGGGAAGGAAGGAAGAAGAATGGAATCGATGCTTGGGTTCGATTCGAAAACACAACACTTCAGATCTGAAGTGCCCAAGATGTGGTCGACCTCAAGATTGATCTCATTCAACTGCCTACCTTATTGATCAAGAGATATAGAACCAACACAGATAATAATGGAGAATAACAACAACAATAACAACAAAGTTGAATACTACGATGATGAACATATATTCTATCAAGAGGGTAACATACCTATTGTGTATGTATCAATGAATGATTGATTGAATGAATGCATGGATGCAGTGGATGGATGGATGAATGGATGGATTACTGATACTTGAGTGAACAAACAGTATGACATTCCCTCATAGTGGCTGGCTGCGGATTAATGGAGTGGAGACAAGGAAGAAGGGCGTGTTGGACAAGGATGACTATACCAATATAATGGCTGTTCTCATGCTACAATGTTTCAATTGCAGTCAATGTTGTTGTCCACCTTCATGTTGTTCAGACCTGAACAACGCCAACAACAATAACAAGTCAGATGTTCAAGTAAAGTCCACGACTACACCTGATGATGTTGGTGATGATGATGGAGATGACTGTTGTGGCAGCACCACAACACAGGTCAATGATGCCAATGATGATGGCGATGATTGTTGTGGCACAACTACCGCGACAACAACCACGACCACAACCAACACGGAAACTCCATCATGTTGCAAAGTAGGCAATGATAAGAATGAACCAACAACAACAACAAAGAATGAAAGATGCTGTTGCTGCGCCAACAGTACATACCCTTTGGATCTGTCTGCATTCAGCTTCGATCCAACATTGGCAAGACCATTCGTCATCTACTCAAAGATCAATCGCGAGATTTGTGACATGAACCGTGAACATTCCAGAGCCTACGAGGACCCGCGTATGGTACCACACTACAACCGTTATCACGACACCATTGCCAGCTTTGTAAAGAGGGCCACAGCACTGTGCGATGGCAAGGCCAGTCGTGTACTGTTGCTGGACATGCACGGCCAGTCAGACCTGGTTGGACACATATTGCGCGGCACCAAGGACCTCACGACCGTGCAGCCAATGCTCAAAGAGTCTGGCATACAATCAATCAATGGTCCCAACAGTGTACTTGGCTATCTGCATGCGAATGGCGTGCCGACATTCCCAACTCGCGTGCCTCTTGAGGTTGATGCCAGCCAGACGGCCGACGTGGTACCGACGCCCCGTGGCCGAACCGTCCTCAACGCATTCCAGGAGCATCCAAAGTTCAATGGAGGCTTCACCGTACAGAACTATTCATCCTCGCCCTTTGGTATCAATTGTATTCAAGTGGAGATTGGTATCAAATGGCGTCAGACCGAAGAGAATAGATTACTCTTTGCAAGATTACTTCGCGATTCTATATTGAACTATTACAAGACTTATATGATTACAAATGTTGTTGTTGTATAACAATACAAATACAAACATAATATATATATATTTATATATAACAAGGACATCGAGTCATGTGTCCTTGTGAGACACGTGAACATCCCGATTATTGTAATTCAAAAAGAGGCGCGAACACACACTCACACACAATCCCACAACCAAACTCGACTCCTTTGACGTCTTCTCAACACTTCACTTCACTTCACTCACTTTACTTCATTCACTCATTCATTCATTCAACATCCACACATACGTATACACATATATATCCTATCACATATATTATTATAAATATATATATTCAATATATCATTTTATTACATTTTTGAACATCATCTAATATTGTTGACATCGACATTTGCAAACTGAACATTGACCATTGACCAGGTAGTTAATCAACCAACAAAAGGCCAACAATGTCAGGATTCATAAAGAGATTGTCAAGTTACTTTTATCCAGGCGCAGAATCCAGGTCTACATCAATCGCCGAGTTCTCTGGATACTTCTATCATTTCTCTCGTGGACAATGGGCATGTTTGTAAGTCACTCAACCAACGAATCAATGAGTGAATGAATAACTAACATAACCTACATACATGTATTCAACCCAACAGGTTCATAGATTGTGAACTATCAATTGTTAAGAAGCCACAAACAAACTATAGTTATTACATTCGTATAACAAAGGTTGTCGATGAGGATGCTGTTGAACAGGAGGATAGGAATGAGGATGAGGATGGGGATGAGTCAGAGGACCAACAATCAAATAGTTTTGAATTCCCAATGACGGCAGGTGGCATCGACCTCAATCGCGAGGACGGACCAAACGGCGGCATTGCATTCAGCTGGCGTGGAACCCAGACACGATTCCTATTCGAGCTCGAGAGCAACGAGAACAGCGAGGAGGATGCAGACCGTCTGGAGCTACTGCTGTGCCAATGTCTGTTTGAAGCCAAGCACCAGCAACATCATACCACCGCCCCCATATACGACATCCAGACCATGTGTCGCCACACCAAGACTGAGACAGTCTCGATCCAGACCAATGTGCAGACGATTCAGCCTCGCAATTCTGTGGCCCCGGTCAACGCACCACCTCCAGCAGAGGAGGCGGCGCCAGCTCCCTCGCTCTACCCAACGCAGGTCCTCCAGCCTGAGCCGCCCGCGCCCAAGATGATGGTCGGAAAACTTCCCGCGCCAAAGGGCGCCAGTAGACTGCGCAGCCACTGCTCGCTCTACCTGGAGCACAACAACACGTTCAATCTGCAGGATGCCAACATGTTTGTCCTTCTCAACACCACGGGCGACTCGCCAATCGAGCACACACTCTACGTTGTGATGCCCGACGAGAGCACGGTCATTGCCCAAAAGATCGGACCCGATATGAACCCGCACTTCTACGGCGAGCAGATCTCATTCATCTGGTATTCCAACGTTGCCAGCGAGGTGCTCACCAGATGGAGTGTGCGTTTCGATTCACCCGAGGAGTACGAGGAGTTCCGCGAGATGTTCACCAAGCTGCACTACGAGGCCATGCACCAGATCAAGTTCAAGGGCAAGAAGGACGAGGTGTCCTACCTGTCCAATGCAATGACCGACGACTATGAGGACCCCAACATTATGTTTGACACTGACGATGGATTCACCAACAAGGATCTTGAAGACTTTGCCGATGTGACCATCTCATCAAAGTTCACCGACGATGAAGAGGCTCAATTGAGGAAGTTGCAGGGATCGATCCTTGAGGACGAGGAGGAGGAGGATGAAGAGGAAGAGGAAGAGGAGTCAGTGGATGTCGAAGAATCCATCTCAGAGGAAGTCAGCGAGGAAGAGGTCGAACAGCCTGGAAGATTTGTCAAAGCACCAACAACAACAACATCGACAAGAGCTACCAAGCAGGATGATGACGAGGTTATAAGACAAAGGAGAGTGAATGACTCGAGGAAACCAATTGTCTTGGATGAGGAGGACGAAGATGAGGAGGAAGAGGAGGATGACAGCGATGATGAGGTCGAGCAGAGATATATCTCAACAAAGACACCGGTCAAGCCACAACAACAGCCAAGACAACCAGTACAGCAGGTTGAGAGCGAGGATGAAGATGAGACGGATGAGGATGAAGAGGACGAGGAGGAAGAGGTGGACGAGGTACAGAGTGTCAAGTACGATGACAAGGGACCAAGAAACAGTGAGCTGCTCGTTGGCTACAAAGACAGATCATTCGTCGTCCGTGGCTCCAACATTGGCGTCTTCAACACTGGCGAGAACGATGTCCAATTCAACTCAATCATCAAGGGCATCAAGGACAAGAATGGTGCCACATTCTCTCCAAAGAAGGTATGTTATGTTCATCACACATTGGATGATGATGTTTCCCCGACATGACTAACACAACTCACTCAATTATACAACCAACAGCTGATGCTCCAAAACCAGGACACATCATTGCTCATGCTCAACCCGGGAGACAAGAAGAAGGTGTTCAAGATGGATTTGCATCGCCCGGATGTGGTCCAGGAATGGGACTTGAACTGGAACAATCAACAGTCGTTGGCAGAGTCTATCCTTCCCCAGCACAAGTTTGATGAGACTCAGAATGTGGACTCATTCATTGGTATGAATGGCAACAACCTGTTCCTTGTGGACCCCCGCCAGAACAAGAACAAGGTCACCCAGAAGTTCTCGGGTGGCTCCAAGCCGCGCTCACTCAACACCTGTGGTGCCGTGTCTGGTCACGGCCACATTGCGCTGGCCACCAACAAGGGTGAGATCAAGCTGTTTGGCAAGAACCAGTTCGATACCAACAAGGTATCGGCCACCGCCAACGACCCACAGGGCAAGCTGCTACGATCCAAAACCACGCTGCCAGGCATTGGTGACCCTATCCTGGGCGTCGACACCACCGTGGACGGCAAGTGGGTCGTGGCGACCTGCCAGCAGTACCTGCTGATAGTGCCCGTCGAGACCAAGGACGGCGTGAACGGCTTTGACCAGCGCCTGGGCGACAGGAAGCCCATCCCCAAGCGTCTGCACCTCAAGCCAGCCGATCTGAGGAGGATCGGTGGCCGCGTGTCATTCACGCCCGCCAAATTCAACATTGCGCCGGGTGAACAGGCCGAGACGTCGATTGTTACGTCGTCGGGCCGCTTCCTAATCACCTGGAACTTTAGAAAGATCAAACAGAACGTCTTGGACATCTACCAGATTCAAGAGTTCAACACTGAGATCGTTGCCGATCAGTTTAAGTTCAACAGAGACAACTCAATCATCGTAACACTGCCAAACGATGTTTGTATGAGCAAGAAGGTCTACAAGCCACAATAAGTAGGAGTACTTAGTCAGTCAGTCATTCAAGAAGCGAAGCGAGAACAATGCAAAGACAAGATAAATCATGTACATAATACCATCCCTCAAACTACCCCAAGTCGACTGGACTATAGACTAGACTGGACGCTGACACTCAAGACCCGAGAAGTACCACAACATATGTGTTGTGTTTATAACAACAATGTTGGCGTCATTGTTTGAGAAGGACCAGACCATTTCTTTGCACTTTCGTATTTGTAGAGCCCGATAAATAATAAATTTTAATTAGATATTCATGATTCGATCAAAGACTTTTTGAGACCAGGATTGGGGATGGATGTGGGCCAGAATGAGCGGCTTGTGTTCTCAATACAAACAAGAATTGAGAATGAACGACAAGGGTTGTCCTGGGTTGAGATCAACAATCACCATCATCACGAAATCCATTCATTCAATTCATTATCCTTCAATCTAAATCCAAATACTTAATCATAACAAACACCTTTAATTAATCCAATTAATCAAACGTTTAACGAGTATGATCAATCAAACAACACAATGTCATATCGAATATTCATCATTGCACATGTACAATACAATCAATGAAAAAGAAGAAGGAAACCGACAAAAAAATAAGATATCTTTGTTCGGAAGGGCAATCCATTCATTGGGTTGGACTGTCCTACCTACCCTTCTTCCACCCCACCCTGCCCTACTTCAATCAATCAGCCACGCTATCCCTCAACTCAAATCTCACCAGAGTCACACCAATGTTGGTGATGGGTCATACAATCAATCACACTTAATGTTTACTGCAGCTGGTGATTGGATGTGGGTAGGGTCAAAGCATACCCCTCACCCCCCAACTGACATCACCAGTCCGTCTGTCAAACACACACATTGAGTGATTGGCCCTCACCCATCATGACTATGACGGTTTTTTTGATGATTTTAAAATCAGTTTCTTTTTATTAATTTTACCCGCGATGTGTGTATTTGTGTTGGTTTGTTTGTTGGTGTGTGAGAAAGGGCAACAAAATGGCTTCAGCGATTGAGACAGCATTGGCCCAAGACATACAGGACATAGATATACAGTGATCAAGTGATAGTTAGATAGATATATACATACATACATAGTCAACATTACTATTACTACTACTACTACCACTACATAACATTAACATTAACATTATAACATAACACAGACAGGGTAGACAGCAGATAGTTACACAGACTCAAAGATAGACAGACAGACAGATAGAGTCAGGAGATATATATATAGATTAAAATAATACCAATATAGATAAAGTAAATCATGGGAAACATTTGTGGAAAGCAAGAATTGGGAACAGCCGATGAGATCAAGGCCAACCATGCTATCAACCATCTGTTGAAGCACGACAGAGTCAAGCTCGAGGGAGAGATAAAGTTGTTGTTGTTGGGCGCTGGTGAGTCCGGAAAGGTATGTATATCACTTCATTCATTGATCGATGCTCAAGAGGGATTGTCAGTCACATGACTAACTAACAATCAATCAAACAATCAATCAATCTTAAACAGAGTACCATCGCAAAGCAGATGAAGATTCTTCATTTGAATGGTTTTACAGAGGAGGAGAGAGGATCTTACAAGACAATCATTTATAACAACACTGTTGGTTCAATGAGAGTGTTGGTCAATGCCGCTGAGGAGCTCAGGATTGGCATCAGCGAGAACAACAAAGAGGCTGCCTCTAGAATTTCAAATGACTTGGGCGATCACTTCAACGGTGTCCTCACTCCAGAGTTGGCCAAGGACATCAAGCAGTTGTGGTCCGATCCAGGCATCCAGACTGCCTTCTCACGATCATCCGAATTCCAATTGAATGACTCTGCTGCATAGTATGTATATCAATCAATCAATCAATCATGGTGGTGATCACAACATCTCACTCACTCACTTCACTTCACTTCAAGTTACTTTGATGCCATTGAAAGGATATCAAAGCCAGAGTACCTTCCATCAGAGTCTGATGTGTTGCGTTCACGTACCAAGACGACAGGTATCATTGAGACACAGTTTGAGGTTGGTGGATCGCAGTTCAGAATGGTCGACGTCGGTGGACAGCGTTCAGAGCGTAAGAAGTGGATGCACTGCTTCCAGGAGGTGACCGCCGTCATCTTCTGTGTGGCACTGAGCGAGTATGACCTCAAGCTGTACGAGGACGACACCACCAACCGTATGCAAGAGTCGCTCAAGCTGTTCAAGGAGATCTGCAACACCAAGTGGTTCGCCGACACAGCCATGATCCTCTTCTTGAACAAGAGCGACCTGTTCGCCGAGAAGATCACCAAGTCGCCACTGACCCAGTGCTTCAAGGAGTACCAGGGTCCATCCACGTACGAGGCCTGCAGCGACTACATCAAGCATCAATTCCTGACCCAGAACGAGAACCCCAAGAAGCTGATCTATCCACATCTGACCTGTGCCACCAACACCTCCAACATTGCCCACGTCTTTAACAGTGTCAAGGACATCGTGCTCAACATCACCCTGGACCAGGCTGGTATGACCATTTAAAATGCTCATCATCATCCATCATCATCTCCATCACCATTAAGCAACGAATAGCAGCAACTCCCCATCACTTCCACTTCCACTTTAACGTCATCGCATCACATCACATCACATCAACGTCCATCCATCGACTCTCTCAGTCATCCATCAATGACACAGATTGAATTCACTTCACCTCCACCCTCCTCTATCCACCAAGACTCCTATCTCTAGGCATGCACCTAGAAGGGAATGCCTGGGCCTCATGGAGGTCCAATCAATCAATCAATCAATCATCTTCAATCCAATCATTCAATCAATCAATATTTTTTCTTATTCCATAGCCAAACAACCAACCAAGCCAACCTTCCAGTCTCACTTCCATGTACTTATACAATAAAAGAACCTCGTAAGACTTTAACATTCATTATCGATATCGTCATCGTCTCTATCTTTAATTGATGGCGTGCTCAATCAATTGGCAACAGTAATCTTCATACTGACATTGTTCTTGTCCTGGATGGTGGTGACTGGAGAGGAAGGGGATGGTTAGTCGCACGCGCGTACATTTATGGTGTCCACAATCTCCACTTACTTGTGAAAGGTGCTTTGATCTCTGGTCCGAGAACCTTGCCCTCGGAGTAGTCCTTGACTACGATGGTCTCCTTCTCGATGACACCCTTAAAAGTACAGTTGGCCTTGTAGTGTGGCCATTCGATTGTTCCCTCCAACTGGTTGTCCTCGCGCTTGGTCACCTTGAGCTTGAACTGGTCATACTGTGTGACTGATCCCTTGTAGTTGGTGAGTGGTCGCAATAGATCGACTGATGGTGATTTGGCTAACTTGAGCTCAAACTTGGACTCGTCGACGCCACCCGAGATCTTGTCCAGGAAGATGGTTGCTGTGTACTTGTTGGGCAGCTCAATCTCGTCAGGGTCGCCCGAGACCAGCTCGTACTCCTCAAAGGTGATCTTGTGATCCTTCAGTGTGCCCTTGAACTTGGTCACTGCTTGGCTCAGCGTTGGCCAATTCAGAGTTCCATTGATCTCGCCGGCTTTATCAATTGTTGCCAGATTGAGGTTCATAACATATTGGTCTGATCCAGAGCCACAAATGCCAGTCCACTCGCTTCCAGCCAAAAAGTATTGAGAGTCAGCAGCAACCGCTGTAGCCGTGGTAGTCGTGGCCGCAGCAGCAGCAGCAGTAGAAGTGGTGGCAGCCACTACAGGAACAGTTTCTAAAATGAATGAGTGGATATGGGTTGGAGTAAGTACAATGAGCTAAGGTGTCAAGCTGTGTTTGATTGAATGATGGATGTAATTACTCTTGCTCTGTTGATGTGATGGAGTGTGTTAGTAACATGGATGGATGAGCTTGGATGTGATGTAAGTATACTTACGACAACGAATGAAGCATGGTCAACCTTCTTCTTGGCAGAGATACAGCTGTTGACAAAGGTGGATTCGATGGCGATGGTACCACATGCGGCAGCACTGGCGAGCACGTTGTTGAATGCTGCGGCATCAGTGCTTTTGATTTCGTTTGGCATGACGATCAGGTATTGGACCTTTGAGTCCAAGGTGGTGGTGACTGATCCTTGCATTCCGGTGATGTTGTCTTGGATCGACTTCAACTCCTTTGACTTCTTCTTCTTACTGTCAACAATCTGTGAATCCATGAAGCAGAACTTAACGCCCTTGAGATAATCCACAGACACAGCCTCTCTCCTAACAGCACGTCTCTTCATTTTATCATCATATCTCCTTTGTATTCCAATCAAGTTTGGATCCTTCACGTTATTGAAGTTGGTAACAATCTGATTGATTGATTGATTGATTCTATGTTAGTCCAGTCTATGATTTGATTGATGATTACTACTACTACTCGTAGTACATACATCATTGAATGATAGTGAAACGTCTATGTATCTATCTTTATCAACATTGATCTCTGTTTGTTTCTTTGCCAATGCTTCATCAAACTGTTCACATTGTTGCTTTGTGTATTCCTGCCATGTGTTATCATTCAACCATGACCAAACATATCTAACAAGTGAAGCTGCGTTTGACATCCTTTATTATGTATGTATGTGTATATCTATCTGTAATTAGATTATATGAATGATTCAATGAAGACAAGTCATCTGATCAATGGAAGTTTGAGGTTCATCGCGCCTCACAACAAACACTCATTTCGAATAAATATCCAACTTTTGGGAGTTTGTTTGGACATGTCACCAACTCACTCAAGAGGTGATTGGCAACCTTCTTCGAATGTTGGTTTGGTTTCTATTGTTGATGACAAGATAATAGTATAGAGAGTCGATACGTCGGATGGTACTTGGTTCGATACTCTTGTCTTTGGCTGGGTATATCACGAGAGTTGCTGCCTTGACATTTGGTGCCTTGGCAGGCTTTAGGAATTCATAAAGTAGTAATCGTTCTGATAGTGGTTGGAACACCTTGAGTGTTCTTATATGTTCGTTGAACATTGTATGATCTGGTATAACTGGTGACGGTGTAAGGCTATTGTCCATTAAACAAACAGTATGTATATGACAATGTTTAAATGTGTTTGTAGTTCTATGATCCTCCAACCATCTATTGACACAGCATAGTGATGTAAGTGATGCTGGCAGCGAGTCTGCCGAAATCAGTTTCTTATAGTTGCAACCAAGTGTCAGATGTTTGAGTGATTGAGGCAGACAACCGGGTGGAAAGTGACAATTGAAGGACAATCCAAACTTGAGTGATTGAAGCGTTGATGGGAGTACACCGATAGGTATTTTCACTTTATAATGTGATCCAAACTTCAGCCTGATGAGCGAATGGGGCAGCACACCAGGCATCAATGGCGCATTAAAGAGGGAACCGAATGTCAGTCTGATCAGGGTGGTTGGGAGCCCACCCAAGAGTGATGGTGGCAGCGTGCTCGCCATTAAGAGCGGTAGAGTGTCATCTATATTGGACATATTTCCAATCCTAAGTTCCTTCAGGGATGTGGGCAATGCACCTGGAACGAAGGTACCTGGCCTGAAACCCATGATCAGTGTGGTGAGTGAGTCTGGAAGAGTTCCAGGCTGAAGTTGATGTTGGTATGCATAGTCAAGCGATAGTACTTTGAGTGATTTTGGTAGGGTCTCGGCTGACAGTTCATGGTAGTGGTCGTGAATATAATTCTGTGACGGATGATGGAATTACACCAATCTTTATAGGTCGTTGTATACTTCCTCGCAACACCTTGACTGTTGATGGTATATCACCTGGCACCAATGGATAAGGATAGGATGGTGGCAATGTCAACTGACTAATTATGAATCCATGAGGGAGATTCACACTTGACATCAAACCTCTAAAGTTATTTGAGAACCTTAGATCGAAATCTGATTGGTCACACTCATAAATAGTGTATTGACCATCTTGTTTAGCGACCAACCCTTTGTTGATTGATTGATTAGAGTGATTAGAGTGATTAGAGTGATTAGAGTGAATGATAGTAACATAGCTTACTCTCTCTGGGGCATGTGTGGAAGATGTCTATGCCATTTGGAATGAATACGGGATAACAATTGCAGTGACAAGGCCTTATGAGTTTGTTTCTTGATCGATATAATGACTTTGATGTTAATAATAAACAACATATATCAATACTACTATCCAAGTAGCTAAAAATATATCTTTGTAAAGGAATACTAATTATCTCCATATTTGATTGAATACTTGTTGACAAAGTTATTTACAACTGATCATGTTTAGAACTTTTGATTGTGCTAGTTTGTTGACATGGCAAACCAAACTCGAGTTTAAGAGTTGATGCGTTTATTGGTCAACTTTCCGATGTGGAATTTTTCACGCTTCAAGACAAGATAATGTGATGAGTCAAGACGTCGGATGATTCTTGTATCGATATTCTTGTTGTTGATTGGATATATCATGAGAGTTGTTGCAGCCTTGACATTGGGAGCATGAAAGGTATTTAGGTATTGATTAAGAAGTATTCGTTCTGATAATGGTCGGAACACCTTGAGTGTACTTATATGTTCGTTGAACATTATACTATCTGGTATTACTATTGACGTTGATGTGCCATTGTCCATTATACTAACAGTATGTATATGACAATGCTTGAATGTGTTTGGTGTGATATGACGCATCAACAATCTATTGCAACAGCATAGAGATGTCAGTGATGCTGGCAATGAGTCCTCGGTAATCAGCTGAATATATTCCCAACCAAGTGTCAGATGTTTGAGTGATTGAGGCAGACAACCAGGTGGTAGGTGCTGATTGAAGTTGAATCCAAACTTGAGTGATTGAAGCGATGATGGGAGCAGACCCACTCGTATCTCACGATTGAAGCATGCCCCTAACTTCAGCCTGATGAGCGTCGGGGGCAGCACACCAGGCATCAATGGCGCGTTATAGAGATGACCGAATGAGAGTCTGAGCAGGCCGGATGGGAGATCACCCGAGGCAGGGATTTCATGTTGGAAGTTATAATTGAGATCGAGCTTCGTGAGTGATGAAGGTAGAGTGCCCGCCATCAGAGGTTGATTGAAAGCATCTTCAAGTATCAGCACTTTCAGTGACGCTGGCAATGCACCTGGGACGATGGCATTCATGCCACCCGTCATCAGAACGGTGAGTGAGTCGGGAAGTGTTCCAGGATGTATTGGATGTTGGTATTCTTTGCCAAGCGATAGTAGTTTGAGTGAGGTTGGCAGGGTCTTGGCAGCCAGTTCATAGTAATAGTCGCGAATATATAATGATGTGACGGATGATGGGATTACACCAATGGTTAGAGGATCTCGAAAGTTTCCACGCAACACCTTGACTGTTGATGGTATATCACCTGGCACCAATGGATATATATAGAATGGTGGCAATGTAATATGATCAATGATCAATCCATCAGGGAACTTCACATTTGATATCAAACCAGTAAAGTTTCTTGCGAACCTTACGACCAATTCTGTTTGATCATTCTCATAAATAGAGTATTGTCCAGCATGTTTAGCGATCAACCCTTGAGTGATTGATTGGAGTGAATGATTGATTGATTGATTAGAGTGAATGATTTATCATTGATTGGTCAATGTTATAACATAACATACTTTCATTATTGGGACATGAATGGAAGATGGACAGGCCATTTTGGATAAAGGTTGGATCACAGTTGCATTGGTATATCTTTATGAGATTAGTTCTTAATTGATATAATGACTTTGATGTTAACAATAAACAACATATATCAATCCTATCCAAATAACTTATAATATATCTTTGTAAAGTGATACTTATTATCTCCATCTTTGTATGATTGAATGATTGGAAGTTTGAATTTCCAACTTTTAATTTAGAGCTCCCTCACTCTTGGATCTTCATTCACTTCACACTTTGAATAGAGATTATATATACACATATACTCATTCATACATACATACATACAAGATGACTTCAAAATCAGCAGCAGCAGCAAAAAGGAAGCTTAAAGATATACAACAATGTGTAAAGACTGTAGATATAGATGACCTGATGTCCTTGAAGGATGGTACACTCTCAAATGATCAACTTCAACCAATGTTACAAGCATCATTCCGTATCAATATTGAATGTACAAAGAGTATGTATCATGCATGATTGATTGAATGAATGACCATTAACCAACATATACACACTATGATCAGGGAGACCAACTGCAAACTGCATTGACAATCCAGATTGTTTACATAATATGGGACAGAATGAAGTTGGGATTGAGGATGAGGAGGATGAGGATTATGTAAAGACTACTATAATGAGACTGCATCACAAGGATATACTTAGACATGCAAAGAGAGTTGACAATACACCAATGGGTCTGCGCAATCTAGGCGCTACATGTTACCTCAATAGTGTACTTCAAGTACTCTTCATGAACACACACTTTCGTCGACAGATACTATCATTCAAGTTGAAGTTGCCAGCACATCAACCTCAGCCTCAGCCCGATCATCAATCAAACAATGGAGCAAATGAAGTTGTGATCGATATCAAACCAGATGACCATGTCAAGGCTGATAGCAATGGTAATGGTAATGGCAACGGCAATGGAAATGGCAACGGCAATGGCAATGACAAGACAGGCTTCCTTCATCAGTTACAATCACTCTTCTATTGCATGCAACAGTCGGCTAGGAAGGTCGTGGACCCATCGCCACTCGTTCATTGTCTTCAGATTGCTAGCGATCTTCAACAGGACCCACTGGAGTTCTTCAACTTGTTCATTGGACTGTTATCCTCACGTCTTGACCATCACCTGATCGACCAACTCTACCAAGGCCAATACCAACACGTCTCCTACTGCACTGGCTGCAAGAAGAGCTCCTCAGTATCAAGTACATTCTACGACGTATCACTACGAACTGATGTATGTTGTTATGTCGACTGATCAATCAGTGGAACTATTCCATACTCACCCGCCCCCTTCCCATTCATACAGAACATGAAGACATTGAAGCAATCATTGGACGACTATGTGGCCAAGGAGACACTGAGCTTTCAGTGTAGACATTGTATGAAGAATCAGGAGTTCCAGAGATCGACACAACTCACAAAGCTGCCGCTGCACTTCAACATGCTGTTGACGAGATATGTGTTTGATCGCGAGACATCAAAGAAGAAGAAGTTGAGCGATCCTTATATATTCCCACTCGAGTTGGAGTTGGCTCCCTACACATCAACATCATCCTCTACTACCAGTGGCAAGGATGAAGCAGCGGCAATGGATGTCGATGTGGACATTGATCAAACATCTGATACACTCTACGAGCTGACTGCAATCCTAATGCACAAAGGTGTTGTGGTCTCCAGTGGACATTATGTGGCGCATATCAAGAATGAAGTGTAAGCCATCCAGGAAGCATCCATTTGATCGATCACATTCACTTACCTGACACTTACCATGCGACAGTACTGGAGAGTGGTGGGAGTTTGACGATGAGGACATCACAAAGATACCTAACGAGAGAATTGGAAAGGATCAATTGGGCGAGAAGAGGAAGGCAAAGGATATTAAGGAGGGAACGGTCACTTCACATAGCGCATATATGTTGATATACTCAAAGAAGAATAGGACTGTGTATCAACAACAGTCTCCACTGGCACCACACAATCAAACTGTGTTGGAGGAGTTCACAGAATCAGAGCAATCATTCATCAAAGATGTGGAGGAGTTCCAGAAGTCTATAGACGTGGCCGTTGAGAAATGGAGACAGAGGAAGGACATCGTGCGTAATCTTGAACCAATCATGCAGTTCAAGGAGGAGCAGGAGCAGGAGCAGGTGGAGGATGTGGATGTGGACGAGGATGAGAAGAAGAAGAAGAATGATGTATTGGCCAAGCCTTACTATTGGATCGAGAGTGAGTGGCTGGCAAACTGGATTGGTGGCCTTGAGAATGGACCCATCGACAACTCAAGTCTGCTGTGTGAGCATGCCTCGCTCGATCCCAACAAGCTGACGAGTATGAAGCGTGTGAGCAAGGAGTTCTGGGACATCCTGTACGACATGCACAAGGGCTCGCCGAAATTATCCAACGACAGTTACTGCAAGACCTGTCTATTCAGTCTGCTCAGCACGACCAAGGACAAGTCCGATGGCACATCACTCAAAGAGCAACTATTAGCCAATGACCGTGCGGTCAAAGGTCGCAAGCAAGGCTACTACATATCCAAACAATGGTTCAAAGGTAAGTCTGATGAATGATGAAGTGATGGAGTGGAGGTATGAGACGTCATCACTAACATCCATTGATCAAACATGGATATAGAATGGTCAAAGAAGAACTGTGATGAACAATCATTGATGGAGAAGGGTGCATTGGTGGATATATTGTGTGATCATGATCAGTTGGGCATATATGATGGCGAGAGAAAGATTGTTGGGGAGGAGCTGTGGCAACATATCAAGTCCAACTCACTTCGCCAGCTGAAGGATCTCAAGACTGACGAATGCGAGGAATGCCCCAAGTGCTTGGAGGAGGACATACTCAGACAGCAAGTGACTGGTCGCATCAAAAGTGAGAGGTCCAAACTGTAAGTTCCAAATTCTGGCTCATTCTCATGCTCATCCTCACTCATACTCATGCTTGTACTCACTCATACTCAGGAGGGAGCTGGTAGCGATGCTCAAGAATGGACAATACAAGTCTAACTTTGGAAGTGGACAACATTACTTGGTGGCAAATGGATGGCTGGATACATGGTGGAAGTATATCAATGAGGAGGAGAACTCTGTGCATCCTGGACAACTGGACAACAGCTCATTGCTCTGCGATCATGCTATGCTGGCCTACCATATCGAGGACTTGGCAAAGCTAAAGGTGGACCTTCAGAGTCAGTTCTTACTGGCTGATACACCCACTCAAGCCATACCATTCAACGTTGTGCCGGCCACTGTCTGGAGGATATTGGTCGATATTTATGGGTTGGTTGGCAAGGATCAAGGTGTTGGTGTGGAGATCGCCATTGCGAATGGAGAGGTCGACACGCCACAATGTGCAGACTGTCACAAGGCCAAGGATGAGCAGTTCCAACAAAAGCAAGTGGCATTCGAGCAAGAGACACTCTACCTTCACATCATCAAAGACAAAGACAACGAGAAGGATGAGAAGTATTACAAGTACCCTCCAATCACTAAGAGAAGTATGTACATCACAGGTTGATTGAATGACCCATTGATTGACTGACACGTATTACCTGACCAGCATACAAACGAATGGAGATATCACCTGTGGACAATACATATACGGTGGAGCAGCTTAAGTTACTGATTTGCACGATTACGATGGTTCCGACATTCCAACAGCAATTGTATATTAACAATGGTACGGCTTTGAATAAGGATATGAACCTGTTGTCATCCTACGGATTGGTTCCCAAGCAAGCCATAGTGATGAAGCAATCGGACGACCTGGATGGTTTCTTCATGGGTAAGATATTGATTGATTGAGTGAGCGACTCGCCACTCCAGTGCCATCTAACTATCTTCCGTCCCATCCCCATCACATTATCTAGACGAAGAGACAGAGGCTGGATTCAAAGGATCGATCATGTTATAAACATCATAAATGACTTCACTCTCCCTCACAGCTAGAGAGAGAGACACATGTTGTACATACATATTGATGAAGATGCTGTTTGTTTATTGACGTGTAAGTGATTGATGGATGGATAGATGGATGTTTAAATAAGATTGATGGTTGCGATAAGAGAAAGAAGTAGTATAGGTAACATTGACTTGGTGGAGACAACATGGCTGGCATCGTTGGGTTGACAGGCATCACCTGGGAGGACAATGGCACATGAGAACTCCTGGCGTAGACATGCAGCTTGGTATTTGCACAGAGTCTTGGTGCATGCCTTCATCTGGCAGGAGGTCTGGCTGCTGGGATTCTGGATATGAATAGGACATCCAGAGCTCTGTAGACAAGCTTGGTGATCCTTGTAGGCTTGGCCACAGATAGCACCGGGCTCCAACATCTTCTGGCACTTGCCCTCACCATTGGTCACATTGGTACATATACACTCTTCAATACCATTGAAGCAAGCACTATCATCCAAACAGAACACCTGGTTGTCTGCCGTTGGGTTATACAATGTGCACACTCCATTCTTGCACTGCAGGTAGTTCACAAGTTAGTATGATGTCAATGAATGAATGGATGAGGTAAGTACTTACACCAAGGTTCGCACCGATATCACAAGACTTGTCATTGTTGCATGACTCTCCTTCACCTTTGCTGAAGGCGGCTGTGCATACTCCTTCGGTACCAGTGCCAGTGAATGAACAAAATGATCCAATCATACACAAAGTGGACTTTGTACAAGAATCACCATCCTTGAGATAAGGTACACAAGCTTTGTTTGATCCACAGAACTTGCCAGCGGGGCAAGTATACTCCATACAATCTTGAGGAGTCCTCGAGCAAGTACCATTCACACAGCTCAGTCCTCTTGCGCACTCATTTGGTAGGATACATGACTCATTAGCACTGATTGGTTGAGGAAGTAAGTTAGTATGATTGATCGATTAAATGATTGAGTACTCAATTACACATACCCAAGATATCCAGAGTTTGAACAATATTGATCAGTGTCGGCAGTAAGACATACAAGACCATTGTCACAGTATGGGTCTGTTTTACAATCTTCCAGCTCGGCGTTGGTAGGGAAACAGGTAGGCATGTCCAAAGCAGAGTTGCAGTAATAACCGGTGCGACATGTTTGACCTGTCAATGCACAGGTCTCACCCAACTCCATACAAGTTAGAGGTGTACATTGATTGGATGCTGCCAATCCATAATCAAATAAATAAATAGATAAGTAAATTATTATAGTTATTATTATATTATTATTTATCTTCATTCTTTCTAATCCTATATAAATATTTATTTATTTATTTACAACTTATATTATAATATTAATAATAATAAAATAATGATGGACAAGTAGTTAATGAATGACTTATTGATTGTCCTGTCCTCTCCTGTCCAGTCCATCCTTCCACATTATCATCATCATCATCATCAACTCCAATCAATCATACTCCTTCCTCAATACTCAACCCCGACCTCACTCCATCAACAATCACACTTTCTTACACATATAAGTGTACACTCAATCAACGCACTTTTAAAAGAGATACATACTACAACTTCTAACTTGTTGTACTAGTATGGTTATTAAATCCATGTTGGGTGTGTGATTGATGATGTGGTGTGGTGTGGTGTGGTGTGGAGTGATCACTAGCATGTTGTGTTTATCATCAATTCACACTGTAGTTTCTAGTAAAGGCTGGTGTGTGTCATATAGATTGATGAACTCAACACCATCAATACTGGAACCAATCAATGTTTCTAATTCCAAGGCTTCAGTGAGTTTCAAAATGAGGCAAACCTATATTTCAAAGAAGTTGCGATTCAACTTGCAATGCTCATTGTTAATAGTGAGATATCTCACTTAAAATTAGTTCAACATAGTAATATCAACATAGTAATATATATACCAAGATGAGCGATACAACAATAACAAATAGTGTTATGTCTGTATTCAAAAATAGAATGCTGATGAGGACTATTTTCTCAGAGATCTACAAGATACATGATGATCAATATCGTAGAGCAGTGATCAGTAGTGCCAACCATAGTCACTCATATGATTGGCTCTCAATTAGTTTGAACAAACTCAAATATGGACATTGGACTGATTGTAAAGCTATTGTAAAGAATGGACACTATGGACTATTGCGTGACAAGATCAAACGTGGCCAATACCTCGAGCATCTAGATAGTTGGGCAATTAACGAAATATTGACCCATAACATGGACAATGATACTTTCGACATGTTCTACACTCATTATCAAACAAGTTTCACAAATCCTGTGGTACTTGAATGGGCAATCAAAAGTGGAAACATTCATATCACACAGACATTGATCAATCAGACTTTTCCTGTCAAGTTAAAGATCCATCATCAATCAATACAACGTGCAGCCATTGAATCAAAGAGTGTCCATATGATCAAATTCCTATTGGAGAACCCATGCGTTGTATCATCAATCAATCAATTAGAATTTATCAAGTCGATCATCGGGCCTCACTCCAGCGAACTGATCAGACTTGTGAACGGACTACTGCCATCAACTTCATTATCAGTCCCAGCTCATGTCTCCGAGATGGCCCGCTCACTCATACCAACCTACAAGTACTACATCCTTATGACTGGCGACCAAAAGCTCATAGATCACTTATTGCCAGACCTCATCGTCGATCAATTGGAGTATCATAGATATTCAGGCCTGAACGATATACTACTCCTTCTCCCCAATTTGCCTGTGGACCAACACGTGACACACTTTGAACAAATGTTCAAATACAAGTTCATCAATCGGAAACCAATCACTGACCAACATGCCACTGACGCACTCACCAAGTCCAAGGATGATGCCAGAAGAATTATTGGCTATGACAACAATCAGGACATATTATTATTGAAAGAAATTCAAGATGACAAGTACCTAATGGACATCATCAAGATCCTACTATTTATAGATCCGACGAAGGACTATGTTGCGGACAAACTTATCATTCATATATTGAATGAATACATATCAACTGGCGATCTGGCACTCATTCCTTTATTGGCATCGATTCATCATTTTAGATCATTCTCATTGATCTCCAGTATAGTCGAGCATGGCTCACTGGCTCAAGCCAAGTTACTCATTCAATTTATGGCATCCAAACCAGAACTTCGTCCTTTATTCGTTGACCTTTGCAATGGTGCACTACACCCCGTGTTCATGTCAGCACATAAACGATCACTCAAGCTGGAGGTGCTCATAATGCTCAACGAACACAATATCATGTTTGAAAATACGCATAGACCATGGTTATTCGCGAGTTCGACTGAGATGCTCGAATTCTTCTTGTCCGACTCGAACAAGATCATCAAGTTCACTCCATTGTTTATCGATATCAAACACGTGGAGTATGTTCTCGAGAAGACACCATCACTGATCAATCACCAATGTCAGCTCAAACTTTCTGTGAAGCTTGGTCAACACGATATTGTCCAACGCATATATGGACTCAAACAATTTGATGGTGATCAATTGTTTGATCTCGCTATGGCTGGTCGTCCGGACCACTACATGTTCAGATGGCTGATGGATCATCACACCTCTAAATCATATTCATTCTTTCAACGAATTGGTTGTAATGGAGATATTAAGCTGGTTGAACTGGCCATCGAGTATGTACAACAACTTAACACAAAATCATCACAATCTGGCAAAGATGTATTATCAATGTTACATGGTATTTCCAAATGTATTGGTGAGGCGATCAATTCGAATCAGACACATCTCATCACTCATCTATACAACAATCATCGATCATTGATCACTGGCGATTTTGAATATATCCATCGAACTGCAATAATGAAAGGCAACACGGAACAACTGGCCATCTTACTTGGTATGGAGCCTCTCAATATCCCCTATTACGAGTCCAATCGAGATGCAAATCGTGATGGTTTCTATCAGATAATGAAGAAAGTCATCGTCGATGATCGAAGGTGCACATATAAGGATCCCAGGCCAACATTGGATTGCATACTCAAACATGTTTGTGAAGAGGACAGAGTTGGAATCAAGTGTTGGGTACTACCAATCTATACAGTTGATTTGGTAATGAGTAATAATGTTATGATGTTACAATATATGTTGGATATTGGTGCCACCTTCCAACTTAAAGGTGTATCAAGATGTCCCAACTACAAGTCAAATCCACTCATTCAATCAATATTCAAACAATACACTGATAGAAATGGAAAGAACAAGAAGAGAGGACGAGGAGAGAGCAACGATATTGAGCAGCTCGATGATGACCATCAACCTTTAAAGGTGACCAAGAATAAATAATGTATTGAATTAATGAATTAACAAATCTAGATTGTTCACTCACACACAAATAGTTTAAAATGATCATTATTTAAATCAGGTGGTAGTCATCAATCAATCATTTTCAAAGGCTTCAATCAACAATCAAATATATAAAATATTATAATACAACCTCAATGACAACAATGACAACTAATATTATAATGTTTGTATTCAGAAATAGATTGTTGATGAGGTCTATTTGGTCAGAAGTCCAAAAGATACACAATGATCAATTTCGCAGAGCAGTGATCAGTACTGTCAACAACGTGTCGTTGTCAAGATGGCTTAACATTAGTTGGAACAAGCTCAAATATGAACAATGGACTGTTTGTAGTGATATTGTAAAGAATGGACATTTTGGACTATTACGTGACAAGATCAAACGTGGCCTATACCTTGAACATCCCAGTTGTGTCGTTGCCCAAGATCTGGACAATGATACATTCGACATATTCTACAAGCGATATCAAAGCACTTTGGATTGTAATTCTATACTGAATGAGGCAATCCTAGATGGAAACATTTATATCGCACAGACATTAGACATGCAGAAATGCATGATGATCTTTGATGATAACTTATTTATTTTTGTGATGTGTGGTGTTGTTCATGTTGTGGTTGGTGTTGGTTAGGGGTTGTGGTTTCAAATTAGTGGTTGGACTCATCACATTGG